GGTGCAACGAACCTGGGAAGCTTCTCCAGGAGACTGCATGGAAAGAAAGACAACGATCATGTGGCAGGCAAGGTAGAAGTGTACAAACAGGATACGAGAAAGGCAATGACAAAAAGCACCTGGACAATGGGTATGTGAGAGGACGCAGCAGCTGTGGATTAAAACATCCGCCTTACGCGTCGGGGCGCGTGTCGCGGTCGAGGTGCGGCCAGAACTCTGGGCGCAGCTTGTCCCCGCGCCTCACATGCACGGCGTCAAAGTCGCCTCCATTCATGGAGGCGGAGATGTTTGCTGCCAGCGCCAGCAGCTCCGGGCGAAACCGAATGGCCGTCTCGTTCACCCCTGCCGGGGTGCTCTGGCGCTGGAAAGGAAAAGGGGGGAGGTGGAGGGGGGTGGGGAAGGAGGTGGGGTGGGGGGAGCGGAGATGTTTGCTGCCAGCGCCAGCAGCTCTGGGTGAAACCGAATGGCCGTCTCGTCCACCCCTGCCGGGGTGCTCTGGCGCTGGAAAGGACAAGGGGGGAGGTGGAGGGGGGTGGGGAAGGAGGTGGGGTGGGGGGAGCGGAGATGTTTGCTGCCAGCGCCAGCAGCTCTGGGTGAAACCGAATGGCCGTCTCGTCCACCCCTGCCGGGGTGCTCTGGCGCTGGAAAGGACAAGGGGGGAGGTGGAGGGGGGTGGGGAAGGAGGTGGGGTGGGGGGAGCGGAGATGTTTGCTGCCAGCGCCAGCAGCTCTGGGTGAAACCGAATGGCCGTCTCGTCCACCCCTGCCGGGGTGCTCTGGCGCTGGAAAGGACAAGGGGGGAGGTGGAGGGGGGTGGGGAAGGAGGTGGGGTGGGGGGAGCGGAGATGTTTGCTGCCAGCGCCAGCAGCTCTGGGTGAAACCGAATGGCCGTCTCGTCCACCCCTGCCGGGGTGCTCTGGCGCTGGAAAGGACAAGGGGGGAGGTGGAGGGGGGTGGGGAAGGAGGTGGGGTGGGGGGAGCGGAGATGTTTGCTGCCAGCGCCAGCAGCTCTGGGTGAAACCGAATGGCCGTCTCGTCCACCCCTGCCGAGGTGCTCTGGCGCTGGAAAGGACAAGGGGGGAGGTGGGGGGGGGGGAGGAAGCGGGGGAAAGGGGGGTTGGGGGGGCAGGGGGTATACGGAAAAGTGAGAGGACAGAATGGCTGGAAGCACATGGCTGTCTCGTTCACCCGTGAGGGGGTGTTTTGGTGCACGGGGGGACAGGGGGAAGTGCGGAAGACAAGACATGGGATTCTGTGAGAAGGGGAGAATGCAGAGAGTGTGGAGGAAGAGTGAAGAAAAGACATGGGATAGGGGGGGATAGCGCAGGGAGTGTGCAGGGAGTGTGGAGGAAGAGTGATTCCAGCTGGAACCAAATGGTGGCTTCAACTACCAATGAGGGGGTGCTGGAGCTGGAAGAGGTGGGGAGAGATGTGGAGAGAAAGGAGTGGAATTCTGTAAGGGAAGGCTAGTCCAGAGAGAGAGTAAAGGAGGAAGAAATCTCGCTGAAACCAAACATAGAAAAAAAAAAAAACAAGAATCACCCCCATCCCACCAATTCATCCCCACCCATCAATCCCAGCCCAACCTCATGCATCCCCAACCATACTCACCTAGCTCTGCCCATCTGCACCCATTGCCACCCACCTTGCACGTGCTGAATCCGTAGTTGGTTTCGCGGATAACCAGGGGAGTAGCTCCATCCGCGGCCAGTGCGGCCATACGCGCCCTTGCATCCACCACCCGTGCGCGGATTGCCCCCTGCTGCCCATCCCCACCCATCTCGACCCATCCCCACCCATCCACCCACTGCCACCCACCTTGCACGTGCTGAAACCATAGTTGGTTTCGCGGATAACCAGGGGAGTAGCTCCATCCGCGGCCAGTGCCGCCATAGGCGCCCTTTCATCCACCACACGTGCGCGGATAGCCCCTGCTGCCCATCCCCACCCATCTCAACCCCTCACCACCCATCCACCTACTGCCACCCACCTTGCACGTGCTGAAACCGTAATTAGTTTCGCGGATAACCAGGGGAGTAGCCCTATCAGCGGCCAGTGCAGCCATACGAGCCCTTTCATCCACCACACGTGCGCGGATAGCTCCCTCCCGCCCCGCCCGCCTCTCCTGCACCTGCCACTCGCGCGCCCCCCGCAGAAAGCCCTGCAGCGGTGTGAAGGGCACGGTCCTGGAGGGGAAGAAGGGGAGGCGAGGAGGGTGGGAGAGGGAGGGTGGGTGAGGGGGGAAGGGGCGGAAGGGAGATATACTAATTTGAGACAATGCCCGCCTCTCCTGCACCTGCCATTCGCGCGCCCCCCTCAGAAAACCCTGTAGCGGCGTGAAGGGCATGGTCCTGGGGGGAAAGAAGCGGAGGGGAGGAGGGTGGGAGAGGGGGTTTGGGTGAGGGGGGAAGGGGCAGAAGGGAGAGGAGATGACTATATTTGAGGCAGGGGAGGGGAAGAGGGGGGAGAGTGGGAGTGGAAGACGGGGGAAGGGGCGGAAGGGAGAGGAGATGACTATATTTGAGGCAGAGGAGGGGAAGAGGGGGGAGAGTGGGAGTGGAAGACGGGGGAAGGGGCGGAAGGGAGAGGAGATGAGTATATTTGAGGCGAGGCCCGCTGCTCCTGCTCCTGCCAGTCCCGATCCCCCCTCAGAAAGCCCTGTAACGGCGTGAAGGGCACATCCCTGGGTGAGGAAGGGGCAGTGGGGTTCAAAGGAAGCGGCAGTAGGGGATTTGGGAAGGGAGGGGGAGTGGAACTTAACGTGAGTGCGTGACACAGCTGAGGATGAATCAGGTGAGAGAGGAGGAGGAGAGCATATCATCTGGGAATGAAAATCAGAGGGGGAAAGGGGAGCAAGATCGTCTCAGCTCAAGATGAGCACAGTGGGAGGGTGTGGTGTGGGTGTGGTGTGGGTGTGGTGTGGGTGTGGTGTGGGTGTATCAGAGCGGGAAAGGGGAGCAAAATCTTCTCCTGAGATCACTCAAGGCCCAGAAAGGGACAAACAAATCAAACATGAAATGATTACCTGAGCGAGTCCAGGTCATAGTACACGTGGATGGATCTGATGTGGTGCATGCCTCCACTGTGCCACGCGTTCACGCACTGGGTCATGTCCAGAATCAATGTACGGTTCAGATACGCCGCCTCCGCGATCAGACACGTCACGCTGAGGTGGAAATGCTTCACTCCAGCGCAGTAGTCGCGTGAGCCGGTTATGAAGAGGTAGCGGCCGTCAGGCCGGAAGTAATCGTGACGGCTAACCGGCAGCCATGGCGTCTCCCAGAGCACGGAATGCAGTACAGGCATTCTAGACCGGATCGCCTTGTCGTGCAAGAATCCCAAGAACTTCGTGGAAGCTTCCAGCCGCTTCAATTGGTCTACGTCATCGTTTCGGACAAATTCAAGCGGTGAGTTCCTCCCCTGCTTGTCTTTCTCGCCAGCCTTATCGCGAAGTTCGCCGTCCACAGATGGTAACCCGAATTCCGGCGTTTCTGATGCCAAGTCGACCACATTAGAACTAGCCCGAATTCCGGCGTTTCTGCTGCTGCTGCTGCTGATGCTGCTGATGCTGCCGGATCGAGCCGCATCAGCGAGGAGGCTCTGCGACGGTGCTTTACGAAACGACTGCCGCGTAACAATGGCGCCAGCCGCACGCTGTTGCTGCTGCTGCTTCTCCTGCTCCTGCGAGGATTGCGGGTGTTTCCACAACAGGATCCCGCGATCCGACGTGGCTACGTCGAAGGGACGGCAGAATGATGGGGGAGAGAGGAAGGGAGAGAGAAGCAGGACGGCGAATGCCAAACCGCGAACGGACGAGACGGTGGAGAAAGGGGAGAGATCCCGGCTCAATGCACGGAAATTCCGCATTTCAGCGTTTCTGGGACTATTTCGTCGATAGGATCGGCCACTTACAGCGCCACGGGAACGCCTAAGAAAGACATACAGTAACAGCACCGAGCCTAATGTCCGTTTCGTGAGGGAATAAAAACGGCGTAATGCGTCAGAGAGTAGTGCCGGATTTAATAAGTCGAGCTCATTGTCTTGCACACTGGGAGTCCATGGCGGTTCTACCGTCTCACCGACCCCAGCCTGTGGCCTGTGATAACTTTTCGAGGCGCCTCAGAAATAGTAATAGTCGGGATTAGTACTTGCACAACTGGACTTTCGTGGCGGATCTACCGTCTCACCGGCACTAGCCTGTGGCCTGTGATTAACACGCACACGCGCGGGGCGCTTGTAATAATTTCAGACAGCTTTCCAGGTTTCCCATACTCACTACGTATCACTCAGTAACTACCATGGCGTGAGGTGACGACTGGCTTGCTTCCAACGCAAGCTTGACTGGTGTGGATTTCAATTTTCAATAAGGTGCCACGGTTATATATGGTTCACTACGATACAGAACGGTTTAGAGCTATCATCCTAGGTGCTGTCGTGTGGAGGATTCGCTGAATTGCGGATCAGCGGACGAACAGGAGCGACAGCTTTAAAGCTTTCGTATACATTTGAAAGTACTGTTTGTGGTGGAACAGTAGCCACCAAGATTTCGCCCCAACGAAAAGAAAGGGGCTTGACGAGAGGGGTTGCGAAAATTTGGAGGATTGAGGGGTGGGAACACGAGAAACTCTCCCGTCACCCAACCCTTGAGCGACACTCACAAACGCAAGTATAAGCAACTAATTACTAGGAAAGGCCTTGATAGAACTAGCAGCGCAACTACTCACCCTGACCTAATCGCCCGTGGTAAGGGGACACGGGGCTATACAAAAGCCTTTAGCTGCAGGGGCGGTTTGCATTCGGATGGGCCGTCGCGTAGCATTCGTCGAGCGATGCCATGCGGCACACGGGCGAGCGCCTCGACGAGTTGCATTATGCTGGCTCGCTGCGATGCAATCGTCGAACCAGCGATAAATTATTCAGTGAGCCGTCGCGTTCCACCCTGCGGGCTTCTCGCCTAGCGCCATTATGCATCGCGAAACCCGCTGATGGCGAAACCCGCTGATGGCGAAACCCGCTGATCGCGATACCCGCTCCTCGCCAAACACGGTGCTCGCGAAATCCGTTTAGCGCGTCACCCGCTTCTCGCCTCACCCGCCGCATGCCTCACCTGCGAATCGGCAAAATACTTGCCTCACGCGCTGCTTGGCTCATAACCTTATTTCGTCATTTCCCCCCCTTCCGCCTCTCGTTTCCTCAATCTCGTTTCCCCCCCTTCCGCCTCTCATTTTCCCGGAGCTCCTCCCTCTCGTTTCCCCCCTTTCTCCCTCTCGTTCCCCCCCCCCTCCGCCTCTCATTTTCCCCCCTTCTGCCTCTCGTTTCCCCCCCTTCTCCATCTCGTTTCCACCCATCCTCCCTCTTGTTTCCCCCCTCCACCCACTCGTTTCCCCCCCTTCTCCCTCTCGTTCCCCCCCCATCCGCCTCTCCTTTCCCCCCCTTCCGCCTCTCGTTTCCCCCCCTTCTCCCTCTCATTTCCCCCCCTCCTCCCTCTCGTTTCCCCCCCTTCCCCCTCTCGTTTCCCCCCCTTCTCCCCCTCATTTTCCCCCTTTCTTCCTCTCATTTCCCCCCTATGCTCCCTCTCATTTCTTCCCCTGCTCCCTCTCATTTCCCCCCCTGCTCCCTCTCATTTCCCCCCCTGCTCCCTCTCATTTTCCCCCCCTGCTCCCTCTCATTTCTCCCCCTGCTCACCCTCACTTCCCCCCTTTCTCCCTCTTCATTTCCCCCTCTCCTTCCCCTCATTTCGCCCTCTCCTTCTCCTCATTCACCCTTTCCTTACCCTCATCTCCCCATCTCGTTTCTCGCATTTCCCCTACTCCGTCCCCTTGTTTCCCCCTCTCCCCTCATTTCATCCTCTCGTTCCTCTTGTTTCCCACATTTCCCCTTATCCGTCCTCTCCTCTCCCTTTCTCCGTCCCCTCCTTTACCCCTCCTTCCCCTCATTTTCCCCTCTCCCTCCCCTCATTCCCCCCTCTCCTTTCCCTCATTTCCCCCCTCCTTACCCTTCCCTGCCCCCACCCTGCCGGCAGGTGAGTGCGCTCATGCTGCTGGCGCGCGTGAGGGAGCTGCAGCGCCCTCACATGCTGCACAGTCCTTCCCCTCCTCCCCCCTTTGCTTACCCTTCCTTACTTCCCCCCGTGCAACCCTTGCTCCCCCTTTGCTTCCCCTCCCTTCCCCTCCAGCTTACCCTCTGTTTCTTCTGCAGCTTGCCCTTGTCTATAATTTTGTTTGTTTGTTTGTTTTTTTTCAACAGCACGACACGAAGGACATCAGGCCTTCTCATTCTGAGTGCTGCTCTTAGCAGCTTAGTGAAACCAAATCAATAGGCAGGAAGTTCCAGCTTGTGTGTGCTGTTAGCGTATCAATCAAGTGAATTGATAGCATAGCATAGCATGTCATAATACATTGGAAATGTTGATGACTGTACCTAGACACAACTTCCCTTCTTTGCGTACAGCATCCTTGCATGATGCACATGGGCACAGCACAGCATTGTATGCGACATCTGACGTGTGTTGTACTCAACTCAAGATACATGGAGGGTTGTCCCCAGCTCTAGCTGGTCATAATTTGTTCAACACTTGTTGAAGAGAGCTGAAAAGAGAGAAAGGCAGCACGAGAGGGGAAAAGAGGGAAAGGCAGGAGGATCGTGAAAAAGAGGGGAAGGGTAATGCAGGGAGGGGAAGGGTAATGCAGGGAGGGGAAGGGTAATGCAGGGAGGGGAAGGGTAATGCAGGGGGGAAATGAGAGGGAGAAGCAGGGAAAATAATGAGGAGAAGGGGGGGGAATGAGAGGGGGAAGGGGGGTAAACGAGAGGGGGAGGCGGGGAAACGAGAGGGAGAAGGGGGGGAAACGAGAGGGAGAAAGGGGGGAAACGGGGTAATGGGGAGGCGGGAAGGGGGGTGGCGGGAAGGGGTAATGGGGAGCGGGAATGGGAAATGGGGAGGCGGGAAGGGGTAATGGGGAGCGGGAAGGGGAAACAGAGAGGTGGGAAGGGGAAACGGGGAGCGGGAAGGGGAAACGTGCAGGCTGGAATGAGAATTGAGGAGTAGAGAAGGGAAAACGGGGAGGCGGGAATGGGAAATGGGGAGCGGGAAGGGGAAACGGGGAGGCGGGAATGGGTAATGGGGAGCGAGAAGGGGAAACGGGAAGGTGGGAAGGGGAAACGGGGAGCGGGAAGGGGAAACGGGGAGGCGGGAATGGGTAATGGGGAGCGGGAAGGGGAAACGGGAAGGTGGGAAGGGGAAACGGGGAGCGGGAAGGGGAAAAGGGGAGCGGGAAGGGGAAACGGGGAGGCGGGAAGGGGAAACGGGGAGGCGGGAAGGGGAAGTCGGGAGCGGGAAGGGGAAACGGGGAGGCGGGAACGGGAATTGGGGAGGCAGGAAGGGGAAACGGGAAGGCGGGAAGGGGTAATGGGGAGCGGGAAGGGAAAACGGGGAAGCGGGAAGGGATAATGGGGAGCGGAAAGGGGAAACGGGGAGGCGGGAAGGGGTAATGGGGGGCGGGAAGAGGAAACGGAGAGGCGGGAAGGGGAAACGGGGAGCGCGAAGGGGAATTGGGGAGGCGGGCAAGGGGAAACGGGGAGGCGGGAAGGGGTACTGGGGAGCGGAAAGGGGAAACGAGGAGGCTGGAACGCGAATTGGGGTGGCAAGAAGGGAAACGAGGAGGCGGGAAGGGGTTGGAATGCAGTCGTTCGCGCACTCAAGTGCGGCTGCCGGGGCTAGTGCGGAAACATGGTAGCGAGGCTGTGCGATCGGGCCGCGACTGTGATCGTGCGTGTTCGGCAGTTTGAGACGAGTCGTACGCGTTCACGGTGGCGTGAGGAGGCAGCGTCGTGAGGCGACACGACGGACGACGAGGCGAGGCCGTGAGAGGAGGTCCCGCGGGATCGCTGCGTGAGAGGGCGGAACTGACGTTGGTTTATCCCTATAATTACACTAAACTGCCCCACGCGTCTAGGTTTGTGTCGGAAACGAGGGTAATTTGCGCTGGCTGTTGAGTCGCGATGTGCTTAGCTACGTATTATGCTGCCCGTAGAGCGTACTGGCGTAGATCTCACGTAGGCTGGATTTCGTATACTTTTGTCGACCCAAAAGTTTTGAATCACCAGCGAGTGCTGGGTGTCGGGGAGATCTCCCTCCCTTGTTCAGAGAGTGAACTAGCTGTAATTGGGATACCAATATTTCAAATTTCAAAACTTTTGAACCTCCCTCTTTCAAATGTATACAAAAGCTTTAATTACCAGTGTGTCTGATGTTCGCTTGGGTGTGGTGCGAGAACTGTGCTCGGGGGGAAGGCTGTTTTTGCGGGTTTGGCGTCGGTCTGATACGGTGATGGGTTACAGTTAGTCGGTTTGACCTGCACCATGTCGACTTCTCTCAGCTCCTCGTGGCAGTGCACCCTGCCAGGCTGCCACCGACCACTCGAAATTGACGAACTCCACTGATAGCTGTTGGCAAGTGCACGTGGTTAGAGAATTCATACCCACTATATAACAGCTCAATACACTATAAACTACCACCGCCGAGCACATCTTTTTCCCGTTACAGACACGGGTGGGACAATCCCCTCCATGGAGCCTGCTAGTGGGAGCAGCAGTTAAGACACTATGGCAGGCACGCTGTGACCACAGATATCACAATTCCTCTTCATCAAGCTTTGAGATCATGCAGCTGATACTAGCTCAATTCCTCATCGCCTTCAAGATTTTTCTGTGGAGAAGCCGTCGCCAATCTACCAAGAAGCGACAACGCACATCCTCCAGTATCAAGCGAGCACAAAAGTTTCGCTTCCTCTTCTTTGACAGACGCGGCATACCATCCATTCATCCCGACCTCCGATCCTCATGGCTCCTAGGGAACCCCTTCCACCCCCCGTAGACAGCTACTGCATAGAGCGTCTCCCCAGTTTGCTGGTGGTTGTCCTTTAGGACAAGGAAATAACGTGTGCTCCACGTGCTCCTTATAGGATGCTGGTCATCTCGGCCATGTTTCTAGATAGCTCTATGATTTGTGCATTGTGTACATTGATTAAGATCAATATATAACCTTAACTATAGTAATCGTCCAATCACACAGCTGGAACATCCAGCATGAACACCGCCACTCTTTATTTGTGCATGTTTCAGTTTGTGCCTGCTCAACCCGAGCCAGTTTGGAGTAATGAGTAACTGTTTTACTGACATATTAGATGTGATATAATGTCCATTACGCTCGTTGTAATCCCACACTCCAACATTGGCCCGTTTGGACTTCGCTTCTTGCCATTGGCTCGGTCTGCCACACGGGATATTGAGCCAGGGAAGAGGAGGCCATGTGGCACTTGGATGAAGCAAGCAAACCCGCCCGATTGGCGTGACGCGCGTGCGTGGCGGGAAAGTTCCTTACAGAGCCAAGGTGGTCCGAGGGTTGAGCCCTGAAGCGCGGATGGGGGGGATGTTCTGGTCTGGAGCCCCCCAGTCAGCATCATCCATGTCATGTCAATGTCATTTGGTCAAGATTCAGTTTCCTTTTCGCAGCCAATGAGAGTTGATGGCGGTTAAAGCAGGCGACCAATGGAGGGGAGGAATGAACTTTTGGGATTGGCTGAGCTGTTGGATGATGTGCTGTATCAGCAAACTGATGGACATTTCGGTTTCGGTATTTATGGGATGGCAATACACAAGATGCCCGTTTGACTAACCCAAGGTTGCCTCGTAAAGAGGGCTCTTAATCGATTCTTGCAGTCACGAGTCATGTCATGACTGCCGTACCATCCGCAACCCGGGACATCTCCCACTGCCCGCCTTTAGTCAAGATGCATCTTTCGACGGCACGAAGCAGAACGGAACGGGGTTGCGGAAGACAAGCAACTCTGTTGGTCGGAGTGGTCTGGGTGATGCGCGACGCGGATCAGCCATGCGATTCGAACGAATATGCCTTCAGCTCAGCAAGTGTAGCAGAGCAGCACCACAGCAGCACCCGTCGCACAGTGACTACAGTTTCTTCGACTGAAAACGAGCTTCAAACGAAAGATGGACGCGGCAGCCTGCTTGTCCGTCAGTCAACGTCGGATGAAAGGGAAGGAACTCCACTACTTTCCCGAATTCGGCAGATACCTCAAGCACCACCAGTAAGTGCAGTGCGGAACCGAGTGGATCGCAACTAACCGCATTCAAACCTACCGCAACTCTTCATCCTCCATTTCCAATCTTCCTCTATCCATCCATCCTACATTCCAATACACCACCTCCATGATAGGAGTTGATGCAGATACTTTGGGTTTTGTTACGGTTCATTGTAAGTCCACAACGGTGAAAAGGGTTTTCCAGCGAAAAAACTCTTGCATCTCCCTGAACTTTCTTTGTCCGCCTGCTGTTCTGTGACCATCCCTTGGCTGCTTCTGCTGCTTTTATCCGCTAACCCTAGATCAGGCGTTAGAAGCCATAGCGTATCAGGGAGTTCTGTGAATGTCAGAAAGCCGTTTTTCGAAAACTTCGGACACAGGTCTCCTGGTGCTGGTGTCTTTAGTTTGCGGTAACGCCTACGAGAGTTAGTTATTGTAACTTCGAATCCCGAGCCAATTGCGTGTGGCTTACTTGTCTCCGTCTGACCTGATGCTGAATAGATGATACACTTTTGCCTGCAGCTGGCATGTGTTCGTTATTAACTCAACGGGTTCGTTAATAAGTACGGGAAGTATAGGCTGGTCTTATGGGCTGTGCGGGATCGAAACCTAAGGACCATACCTCTCCTCGACGGAGAGATGCATCAGAGGAGGCCGTTCCCGCGCCGAAAGTTGCACCGGACGATTTATCAGGTAACTCTAGGCGCTCGTAATGTCTTTGAAGCTTTCAGAGGTAAATTCCACGTCCCACTTGGTCGTACTCGGTACAGTCATGTATGATTCGTTCGGTCGAATTCTAGGAGCATCTTGTTGAATCTAGGGGAAGCTGCTGTTCAAGGCACTCAGAAGTCTTGAGGCGGACTGACGATGCAGTTGTAGCATCATTATGTCAGAATTTGGCGGATGCGGTTGGAAGGGAGAGTCACAATAGTCTCACCTCGCAATTGGATTTTAGTTCGTGATTCTATGAAGGCTTACATTTGAGAGATTTCCGTTACGCTCAGGGGTCCCGAATACTCAAATATGGTGGAATCCAGTGAAGATTCTCCGTAGAATCGTTGAGCTGCTTCTTTACCTACAGCCAGGCACTTCGACATTCCTCAATGTATCATTCATTGCTCTATCGGCAAATCCAGAGTGAATATTCTGTGCTTTCTTTTTTTCCATGGTGTGTTATTTGTTCCTGTTTTTTCCCCTTGTTCTGACTCGATTGTTTGCAGATAATGGACCATTGCTAGCTCAAAGCCCGAAGATTAAAGCCCAGAGCGGCCTTTCAGAACCTAATAGATCCGACAAATCCCCAACCGCCGCACCGACAGACCAGTTGCTATCACGAGACGATGGACCAGCAGCAGATTCCCAACGGTCAAATCAACCGGCACAGGTTACCGGGTTACCACCAGGAGGTCCACCAGGGTTACACGGGTCACCAGGTGTTCCCGCGCAGGAACTGCGACCGCAGGGCGAAATGCCAGCAGTGCCAGCTCCGTCGCCGGGGCCCACAGGAGCGCGAATTGCGGCCCAGACGTTCACTTTCCGAGAGCTGGAGCGAGCGACGGGCGGGTTCTCCGAGAAGAATTTTATAGGGGAAGGCGGGTTTGGACGCGTGTACAAAGGGTGGCTGGAGTCTACAGGCCAGGTGGGTGCCTAAAGTCTCGTGAAACGTCGCACAGGCGTGAGGAAGCTTGTGACGGGGTTGGGCGCGAGGCTGTCTGGAGTCGACGGGAGAGCGAAGTGGTTTGTAGTTGATTGAACGAATTTATTCTGAGCAAGCTTATAGGGAAGCTCATGCTCAGCCTGCTGCACCATCCGGATTCCACACGGCTCCTTCCCTTCCTGGTCCCTGCCATGCCTGTAAATGCACATCCTCGTTACTGAACAGGTGGTAGTGGTGAAGCAGCTGGATCGGAACGGCGTGTAGGGGAACAGAGAGTTTCTAGTCGAGGTTTTCATGCTCAGCCTGCTGCGTCTGTTCACAGCACTCCCCTTTCCTGCCCCTTGCCATGCCTGTGAATGCTTGTCTGTGCTGCTTGAACAGGTGGTGGCGGTGAAGCAGCTGGATCGGAACGGCGTGTAGAGGAACAGAGAGTTTCTAGTCGAGGTTTTCATGCTCAGCCTGCTGCGTCTGTTCACAGCACTCCCCTTTCCTGCCCCTTGCCATGCCTGTGAATGCTTGTCTGTGCTGCTTGAACAGGTGGTGGCGGTGAAGCAGCTGGATCGGAACGGCGTGCAGGGCAACAGAGAGTTTCTAGTCGAGGTGCTCATGCTCAGCCTGCTGCACCATCCGAATCTCACACGCCTCCTTCCCATGGTCCCCTTCCGTGCGTGTAAACACTTTTTGGTGTTGCCCTAACAGGTGGTAGCGGTGAAGCAGCTGGATAGAAACGGCGTGCAGGGAAATCGGGAATTCTTGGTCGAGGTTCTCATGCTGAGCCTGCTGCACCATCCGAATCTCGTGAATCTCATTGGTTACTGTGCGGACGGTGATCAACGGCTGCTGGTGTACGAGTTCATGCCACGTGGCGCTCTTGAGGACCATCTGCATGGTGAGAGAGGGAGAGAGTAGTGCGGACGGTGTGGTACGGGAGGCGAGGAATGAGAAAGAAGAGGAATGAGGAACGAGAGGAGTGAGGAGGAGGAGAGGAGTGGGCGGAGAGGAATAAAGGGGGAGATGAATGCGAAGAGTGAGGAACAGCACATAGATCCACATATGTCCATAGCGTCACTATGTGCATGTTGATAGCAGGGCGTGATCGTTACACTTGATTACACTTGTGAGCTCCCCCACCTGAACCGTTGGTCCACCTCCCCCGCTGCCGCCTCCTCCTCCCTCTCCTCTTTTCCTGCCTCTTCCTCCTCCCCCGCCTCTTCCTCCTCATACCCCGTCTCCTCCGCCCTCGCGACCACCTCCCCGCCTCCACTCTCCCCCCCTCCCTCCCCCGCCCCCCTCCCCCTTCCCGGCCCCTCTCCACCCCAGACCTACCCGAGGGCAGGGCGAGTCTGGAGTGGAGCAAGCGCATGAGAGTGGCAGCAGGGGCGGCCAAGGGCCTCGAGTACCTGCACGAGGAGGCCTCCCCGCCCGTCATCTACCGCGATTTCAAGTCCTCCAACATCCTTCTAGACGAGAACTGGCACCCCAAGCTCTCGGATTTCGGGCTGGCGAAGCTGGGCCCTGTGGGGGACAAGACGCACGTGTCGACGCGCGTGATGGGCACATATGGGTACTGCGCGCCCGAGTATGCCATGACGGGGCAGCTGACGGTTAAGAGCGATGTGTATAGTTTCGGAGTGGTGCTGCTGGAGCTGATCACGGGGCGGAAGGCCATTGACAGCTCGAGGCCGCATGGAGAGCACAACCTCGTTGCTTGGGTGCGTGTTTCCGCTCTTTGTGCTTGGGTGGGTGTGTGCTGTTGCTCGTGGCTTGTGCTGTTGTGCTTCCTGGGGCTGCTGGAGCTGATCACGGGGCGCAAGGTCATTGACAGCTCTAGGCCGCATGAAGAGCATAACCTCGTTGCTTGGGTGGGTGTTTTTGGTCGTTGCCCTCAGGGGTCAGGGTGGTTTGATTTAGAAACCCCACCTCTTCCACTCTACCCATGCTGCATGTTGTACGAGTATGTCACTGCTCTGTGTCTGTTCACAGCTTCACAGACTCTCTGCCTGTCATAGCAGTTGTTTGTCCTTCTGCTATGGGGGCTGTACCTTTCTAGTCCACTCAAGCACCTCCTCTCTTCTGCCTCCTCGGTTCTTTCCAAACTTATAGATTTGGAAACACCATACTCCCTCCCCCGCTCCACAACCCCCCATCCTTCGCTCACAGGCGCGGCTGCTAGTCAAGGACCTAAAGGAAGTTCTCAGCCTTGGCGGACCCCTTGCCGCAGGGGCGCTACCCCATGCCTTTGTGTCTCTTTCTCTGTCTTATCCTCTCCCTTTGCCCTTTTTATCCCCACCCTCTTCCCTCACTCACAGGCGCGGCTGCTAGTCAAGGACCAAAAGGAATTCCGAGCCATGGCGGACCCCTTGCCGCAGGGGCGCTACCCCGTGCTTGTGTGTCTCTGTCTCTCTTTCTCTCTCTTACCCTCTCCCGTTTCCCCCTCCCCCCCTTACAGGCGCGGCCGCTCTTCAAGGACAGGAGGAAGTTTCCAGCGATGGCGGACCCCTTGCTGCAGGGGCGCTACCCCATGCATCTGTGCGTCTCTCTCTCTCTTTCTCTGTCTTATCCTCTCCCTTTCCCCCCTGCCCCTTCCACCCCCTCCCCCCCTTACAGGCGCGGCCGCTCTTCAAGGACAGGAGGAAGTTTCCAGCGATGGCGGACCCCTTGCTGCAGGGGCGCTACCCCATGCATCTGTGCGTCTCTCTCTCTCTTTCTCTGTCTTATCCTCTCCCTTTCCCCCCTGCCCCTTCCACCCCCTCCCCCCCTTACAGGCGCGGCCGCTCTTCAAGGACAGGAGGAAGTTCCCAGCCATGGCGGACCCCTTGCTGCAGGGCCGCTACCCCTTGCTGCAGGGCCGCTACCCCATGCTTGTGTCTCCATCAATCTCCCCTCACCATCTCCTCACCTCTCCCCCCCTTCTCCCCTGACAGGCGCGGCCGCTCTTCAAGGACAGGAGGAAGTTTCCAGCCATGGCGGATCCCTTACTGCAGGGCCGCTACCCCATGCGCGGGCTGTACCAGGCGCTGGCCGTTGCTGCCATGTGCCTGCAGGAGCAGGCCAGCCAGCGACCCATGATCCATGATGTGGTTACCGCGCTCAACTACCTGTCGTCACAGCCCTACGACCCAAATAACAACCCGCAACCCAGGTAAGACCTCGGCCCCTAGGGGTTTCCCTGTTGCCTTTGGGGGATTTTGCTCGTAGCAGGAGCACGCCAGCCAGCGACCCATGATCCATGATTTGGTTACCGCGCTCAACTACCTGTCGTCACAGCCCTACGACCCAAATAACAACCCGCAACCCAGGTAAGACCTCGGCCCCTAGGGGTTTCCCTGTTGCTTTTGGGGGATTTCGTTCTTAGCAGGAGCAGGCCAGCCAGCGCCCCATGATAACTTCTGAGGCGCCTCAAAAGACGCCCCATGATTCATGATGTGGTTACCGCGCTTAACTACCTGTCATCGCAGCCTTACGACCCCATCAACAACCCACACCTTGGTAAGGCTTTCTAGTGAGGTTCAAACCAGGGGAGTTGTTAATTCGCCTGTTATCCCTCGCCCCTCTCACTTCTCTTTCCCTCCCCTTCCTTTCGTCCCCATCCCCACCCACACCTCCATCCCCCCTTCAAGGTTCTCTGCAGCACGCCTGGGAGATACACGCCAGGCTCCACACCCCTTCAGGAGAATTGTCGTCAACTAGCCTGTTATCCCCGCCTCCCTCACTTTCCTTTCAAACCCCCCTCCCTCCTCTCCCTCCATTCCCTTAAATTTCTCTTACTGCAGCACGCCTGGCAGATACACGCCAGGCACGACGCCCCTTCACGAGAAGAAGGGGTCTCGCTCACCCCGTGTGCGCAACCTGCAGTCCCCCCGCGCATCCCCCCAACAGCAGCACCAGCACCAGCACCAGCACCAGCACCAGCACCGACAGGGGGGTTCCGGGGGTAGTAACCAGCAGCAGCAGCATCGGTCAAGAGGGGAGAGGGAGAGAGAGCGAGGGAGGGAGAGAGAAGGGGAGGAGAGGGGACGGCAGCACCAGGGGGGGCAGCAGAGGGGGGAGAAGGGAGGGAGAGGGTATCGTGAAAGTCCTGGGAGGGCAGGCAGCAGGGGGAGCGGAGGGGGCGGAGAGGGAGAGAGCCCGAGGCAAAGGGGGACGCCGAGGGGAAGCAGTAGTAGTGGGGGAGGCGGAGGGGGAGGGGGAGGGGGAGGGGGAGGGGAGTATCAGAGTAGGGGTTCGTCGGGACGAGGGATGGTGAGTCCAGGCAGGAGTGAGTCAGGCAAGGAGAGACGAGGTGACTACTGAGTATACTCGAAAGGTTTTAGATGGTTGTTTTCGACATGAGGGTTGGGGAGTCTGGGGAGGGGAGGCTGAGGTGAGGAGAGAGCGGCAGAGGCAGCAGCAGGAGCATGTGGGGGGGTGGAGCAGACTAGGTTTGGAGAGGCAAAATTGGCTTTTGTATGCGACCGTAGCAGCAGCAGCTGTAGCATAAGCAGGAAAAGTCGAGGCAGCAGCAGGAGCAGCAACAGCAGCAACAGGACTGGAAGCAGAGCAGCAGCACAAGGATTGAGGAGGACCGTGGAATTTGTTGGGCTGTGTGTGAGTGAGAGAGAAGAACGGTGGAACTTGGAGTGTGTTGTTGCAGGGTGTAACTGTTGCAGTTTTTCAAGTGTACGCGTTGTGTGTGGGTTTGTGGCAAGTGTGCATGCCTGTGTGGTATGAATGGCAAAAGCGTACGCTTTGATTGAAGGTCCACGTAACTCGTGAGTGTATGTCATGATGCATGGTTGACGGAAATTTGGTTATGGTGGCAATTGAAGCTGACATTTGGGAGCAGAAAAAAAATGGCTAGGAGTTGCAAGGTTTGGTCGTGGCTGCATTGTAACGTGCAGTACTTTCCCATCATGGTGCTAACATTTATCCCCCTTTGTGTTTTTTTTTTTCCTTCCCTAGCCGTCTAAAGCTTGAAATGCTATGTAATAATATTATATCAACCTACGAATATTAACGTTTCTGAAATATGTAGACCATCTTGTAAACCCTTAAAACTAGTACACGGCAGAATGGATTTATACACTTCCAGGTTGAAACTTGAGAGACATGGGGGTGGTACGCTCTCCGCAATACGGAACGGAAAGTCGACGATGAGGCAGCAGTACAGTACAGTAACGATTTTGAGGCAGCAGCAGTGCCCAAGGTTTTGGAGCGTAGCCAACGTTGAAACGACCTGACCTGACAGAACACCGCGGTCTTGAGCGGATACGAGAACGTCCAGAGCGTTACAGAGCGGTGCTTCATGGTTGTCCGATGGGAGGAGACCAATGCATGCGACATGACGAAGCTCTTTTTCTGCGAAATACCCTACCAAACCGTTGTGATACGCATTATGACCGAGTACAGAAGTAGTGCACCTAGCCGTACAGCGGTGTATGCTCACTTGTTTGGTTTGTGTCCAGCCATGTCCGTCCGTACCTTGGACAGGAAAGGGAGGGTTCTTCTGAGCGGCGGTTACGGCTCTCAGGCACCTTCTCTGCAGGAATACACGGACGGACCATTCCAAATTCCAGATTCCAAACCAAGCAGCGTTCGCCATGGTTGGCCAATGCTGCGAGCGGCAGTTACGGCTGCGTTCTGTTTGGTTCCATTGCCAGCCCCATCCCGAGTGTTCGAGCCTGGTCGTCGTTTTGTTGCACCTGAGTGACTGAAAGGAGGAAGGAAGAAGCCATGGATGATTGTTAGCGTAGGCAGGCACGGGTGTCATCGTCAGCACGATGCACTTCATTCCTAACGAAGTCTTTACATTTTTATACAAGCCAAACCTTCCCCAGATTCCCCTCGTCGCTTCCTCCATCTACTGTACACTGCACCATTTGGGCATATACACCGGCTCCAGTACCGGCCATAGTACCGGCCTTAGTACTAGGTTAGTACAAGCTTATTGTGCGAAAACTACCTGGGACACGTGCCATTACTCGCAACAGCGAGTGCTCTTGGTCGATCCTCCGCTCACGTTTGAGTGAGTCGACTCATTAGTCATCGCTCTTCGTGTCACGAGATTCGAGTGCATTCGCCTGGGTATAATTTCGAGGCTCCTTAAAGCCCGCGTCCCAAATTGCGGGCCGCGAGGGTCAAGTTTTTAAAACTTGACGAAGTTGAGTGTCCAAGCTTTTGAAAGTCATGCACTTGCAATTTGGGACTTTCGAAGACAGATTCACTCACCAGGGGGAAAACCGAGGGTTGGCTGGGTCTCGCGAAAAAAACGAACCTAGACGAAATCGGAAACTCTCGCCAAAGCCCACACCAGAAAAACTCCCTCTGGTCAACTTTTAAAAGCATGAACAATTTGGGCCGCCGGCTTTAAAAGCAGTCTGCGTAATCAATAAGAATAATATACCACGTCGCTCTTTGAGGCGCTTCAGAAATCCGTTGTCGTCCCTTGTCGCACACCGGCAACAATGGCGCCTGATCTCTTTCGACGCCGCGTCAGCCGCTGGTCGGAGCCTCGTCGCGGCGGCACGACGAAGCTTCCGCCGCTCCTCTTGCCGCTTCTACTCTCCCTCCTTCTCTCATCGTCGCATGTCACTCGCCCAGTCGTCGCACAGCAGTGCTCTGCGACGATTCTCTGCGCCAACAACCTCTGCTGCAGGTGCGGTCGGTCCCTATGCGTCCCATGCTCGTGAGTTGACCTTGCATATATCGACTCGGAGAATCTTGAGTTTCTCCGGGCTGACCTTGCATATACCTAGTCGGACTCGGAGAATCTTGAGTTTCTCCGTCTTCGAGCCTCTTTCGATTCCGAGCCTTCGATTCTAAGCATTCTCCCGCTCCCCCCCCCTTCCTCCCTCCCTTTCCCTCCCCCGCGCGCCTCTCCCCTCTTGCATCTCTCGCCGTTCATTTTCTCGCAGCAAGTGGGGCTGGTGCGGCTCCACCGTCGATTACTGCGGCGCTGGCTGCCTATCCGGGCCGTGCAGTGGAGCCCCTTCCGCCTCCCCCCCTCCGCCTTCCGCCTCTCCGCCTCCCCCCAAAAGCTCTCCCCCTCCGCCAACCAGCTCTCCCCCTCCGCCCACGAGCTCCCCGCCTCCGCCAACCACCGGGTCCCCCCCTGTGTCCACCAATGGCCGTGAGTGTTCCATTGCATACCACAGTGATGTAACTCCGGATTATTTCAGAGTGTACTAAGTGGAACTGTAACGTATTTCTTTCATGTTGTCTCGCGAATGATGGGTGCGGAGGCGATCGTTTCATGTTCCACTTTGCATGTGCTGTTTTACTCTTCACTCCAGTTGCGTTTACCAGTGTCCCCCCCGCGACCAACCATTTTTTAGGGCCTCTAAAATTAGACTCCTCTCTTTGTTCCACTTCGCATGTGCCGTCTTACTCTGCGCCTAGGCTCTCTGCAGCTTCCGTACCCACCCCTCCCCACCCATCTCCCCTCCCTGAATTTCACCCACCTCGCCTACTAAGCTCTCTGCAGCTTGCTAGAGTGCTGCGCTCAGAGTCAGAGCCGCAACAGCATCTGCCCCCAACGGCCTGTTCTGCAGCATCAGCATCAGCATCCACGGCTGCTTGGTGTTTTCCTTCTCTATCTATGCTCTCACTTGCACCTCCACCCACTTCTCCCCACCCCTTCCCACCCTTTCCCATCCCTCCCCACCCCTCCCACCCCTGGATTCTACCTTCCCCAGAATGCGGAGCGCAGAACGGCAACAGCATCTGTCCCAACGGCCTCTGCTGCAGCATCCACGGCTGGTGTGGCTCCACCCTCGACTACTGCGGCCCCGGCTGCCAGTCCCAGTGCTGGCCCTCCTCCTCTCCCTCCTCCCCTCCCCCTCCTTCTTCCCCCCCCTCCTCTCCTCCGCCTTCGCCCTCTCTCTCTCCCTCCCCGCCTCCCCCCTCCACGTCCCCCTCTCCGCCCCCCCCTTCCACCACTCCCTCCCCGCCTCCCCCCTCCACGGCCTCTCCCCCTCTGGCCTCTTCGGGCCTGAAGCGCATGGCATACTTTGTCAACTGGGCGGGCATGGACCCATCCCTCATCCCTGCCGCCAGCCTCACGCATGTCTTCTATGCCTTTGCTCTCATCAATGCCGCCACATACCAGGTATGATGCCACACACAAGGTTCATCTAGAAGGCATGTGCATTGGGGCATGGACCCATCGCTCATCCCTGCTGCCAGCCTCACTCACACATGTCTTCTGCGCCTTTGCTCTAATCGACGCCACACAGTATCACAGAAATCTCATGCTAAGACTTCTTTTTTTATCCGTTTTGTTTTCTCCCTTTCTTTGTTTCATTCTTCAGTTTTCTTATATTTTAGTTTTCTTATCTTTTAACCCACAACAAGGCTGACCATACCCTAAGCATCCATAATCTCCTCCTCTTTCTCTCTCTATTCCCTCTCCAGGTCGTCCCCTCCAACCCAGCAGTGGATGTCACCCAGGGTCTCTACCTTCGCTTCAGCTCCGCTCTAAAGGCCGCCAACCCCTATTCACCCCTAACCCCGCACGCACCTTCTCTTCCCCCCTTCACAGGTCGTCCCCTCCAACCCAGCAGTGGACGTCACCCAGGGCCTCTATCTGCGCTTCAACTCCGCTCTAAAGGCCGCCAACCCCTATTCACCCCTAACCCCGCACGCACCTTCTCTTCCCCCCTTCACAGGTCGTCCCCTCCAACCCAGCAGTGGATGTCACCCAGGGTCTCTACCTTCGCTTCAACTCCGCTCTAAAGGCCGCCAACCCCTATTCACCCCTAACCCCGCACGCACCTTCTCTTCCCCCCTTCACAGGTCGTCCCCTCCAACCCAGCAGTGGATGTCACCCAGGGTCTCTACCTTCGCTTCAGCTCCGCTCTAAAGGCCGCCAACCCCTATTCACCCCTAACCCCGCACGCACCTTCTCTTCCCCCCTTCACAGGTCGTCCCCTCCAACCCAGCAGTGGACGTCACCCAGGGCCTCTACCTTCGCTTCAGCTCCGCTCTAAAGGCCGCCAACCCCTATTCACCCCTAACCCCGCACGCACCTTCTCTTCCCCCCTTCACAGGTCGTCCCCTCCAACCCAGCAGTGGACGTCACCCAGGGCCTCTATCTGCGCTTCAACTCCGCTCTAAAGGCCGCCAACCCCGCCATCAAGACCCTCCTCTCCATCGGCGGCTATTCCGCCGGCACCACCGTTTTCACCAACGCCGCCTCCTCCCCCTCCTCCCGCTCCGCTTTCATCCAATCCGCCATCCATTTTGCCCGATCGTACAATTTCGATGGTCTGGATATTGACTGGGAGTACCCGACCGGGCAGATGGCGCTTTTTTCTGCCCTGCTCACGGATTTCCGGGCGGCGATCGAATCCGAGGCGGCCAGTTCGGGGCGGCCGAAGCTGCTTCTGACAGCAGCGGTTTCTGCCTACGAGCCGACTGTTACGCAGGCATACGATGTCCCGACGCTTAACAAAACACTGGACTTTGTTAACATAATGACTTACGATCTGCATGGGTCGTGGGAGGCAAAGACCGGCATGCACACTGCTCTGGAGGATCTGAGCAACCCGCAGCTGAGCCTCAAGGGCGCCATGGCTGCCTGGGTGTCCCGAGGCTTGGCCCGAAGCAAGGCCATGCTAGGCTTGGCAATGTACGGCCGGACCTGGACTCTAGCCTCGACAAGCAGCACTGGGGTTGGAGCTGCGGCCACCGGGCCTGGTCTGGCTGGGTCTGTGAGCCAGGAGTCTGGAGTCCTCTTTTACAGGGAGATTTCTCAGATGGTAACCACTGGTGGTTACAAAGCTACACTCCATACTGCGTCGTCATCCATGTATGCGGTGAAGGGTAACCAGTGGGTCGGTTACGATAACCCGTCCACCATCACCACCAAGGTTAATTATGCCAAGGCGCAAAGCTTTGGAGGGTGGTTCTTCTGGGCCCTGAACCAAGATGCCAACAATGCTTTGCTCAGTGCTGCGTCGGCTGTGTGAGATGTAGCCCAATATGTATAATGCGAAGGACCAGATTCTGTTTTTGGTAGGTTGTTTTGCAAATATTGTACTGTATCTAAGATTCAATTACGGTATAAGTTATTTACCAGCGGACAAAGGTTTGATATGGCTTTCGCTTGAGCTCATCACTGAATCGCCGTTTTTTTAGACAGATAATGTTTCCCATTCAACTTCAATCTCAACGACATACTTACAACGAATCCCTTCACACGAAGAGCCTTTTCCATGCTGGCGTTCTGTCCACCTGGCAATCGCTTGAGGCACGTCAGCCTGGGCCCTTTCGGATTGATCTGAGACATTTCCTTTCACGCTTGGGCTAGTCGGGCCTCTCACGATCTCACGCACGCTAGGCTCGGTGACACAGCGACGGCACCGATTCCTCCAAAAATCAAGCCAAGCCAGCCTATCATCTCGTCACACAAGCCTAGCCTGAACTGGCCAATGACCAAACCTCATCAAGCGCATCTGGTTGCACTTGTTGACGCAATCCACGTGATTGATGAACGCATGCCAAGAAACGTCCAGCAACCTCAAGCGGCTTTCTGTGAATGCCCTGCTTCGCCTATCCTCGTTGGCGTAACAGCGTGCTGGCGAAACGCTGGTCCTGTCGCCACCAGCTCATCCGACGATGCCGCCATTTGAAGCCCCATTCAGTTCTCCTTGTCGAGGAAGCAGATTTGTCGTCTTCAGTTCGTCGGCGTCGCATTCACCCAGTCTTCTCCTGCGTTGTTGCAGGTCGCAGTCGCAGCTGAATGCTTCGAGAATAGCATACGACTATCTCGAGGTCGCACACACATCACACTCTGTTTCCACGCCGCTGCCGCCAAAAAAAGCACACATGCACACCACACCCATCCACCCCTGATTGATGTGACGCCTCCAGCCCAGCAGCAGGAGGCAGGCCGTCTGCTTTCATGCTCCCTTTGTCTGCCCAGCATGCCCTTGCTTCGCACTGCCCAATTTCGGAACAATTCAATTATGTTCCAGTTTGACAATTGTTTCCAGCACAAGTTCGGCCTAAATACACTAAACAAGCATCTTCAGTCAATGTTCTGTCTGCCCGAAAGCCCTTCTGCACTGTTGTCCAACATTTCTCTTGCTGCACACCATGCCTTGCCCCCCTCCATCTCCTCCATCTCTCTCTTTCTGTTTCATTATTGCGGCTGCTGCTCTGCTGTTGCTCTTGCATATATTCACCGCAAGCTTTCATGCAGAGGGGTGGAATCTGTGCGATTGAGCTCCGCAGAAAGCCCAACCCCGTTCTTGTAAAGAGCAGCTATTTCTTGTTTTTCCTGTTTTCTCAAATGCGTTCCTTCTATACTATTCGCGATCCTCCCGCGACCAGAACCGTCGATTCCGTTTCTCCGGATTGCTGTATCCTTAGTCGTCGGATGTTTCTTCCTCCCAAACTCATGCATTCATGTCACTTCGGCGTGCGTGTGTGTATTGAATCCTTGCTTGACACTACTGTGCATAGCTCCCTCGTGACAGCCGCTAGTGAAGCGTTAGAGATTGAAGTGCCTGGATAACACCACAATTATCCACAATTTTGCTCGCATGCGAGCAATCCCGCAAGAGGAGGTACTCTTTTTCCGTCGGCTTTTCACCAGTAACGACGGATAAATCTCTCGTCTAGTAACCAACTAAAGTGTTCCGCAACTGCGACTTTTTAGGAGTCTGCGACTTCTCGACTTCTGTAACGGCGGCCGTCAAAGCGAGCTGAATTACTCTGCACGAGGAGATTGGTGTTGGAGGATTCTCGGAAATCCATTGCATAAGAGCTGAAGGTCCTTGCGTTGACAGCGAGTCATGGCGTTCGGTGATTCGATCGGTGACCGCATGATGCGACGGCTCACGGCAGCGGGTCGCAGGGCAATGCGACGGAACGCGAGCGACAGTTGCTTTCTTCGCCAGCAGCAGCAAAGCGTGGAGAACGCGACATCAGCGACCAAGGTAACCACGAGATTTACGCGGCACGCACGAGTCACGACGCCTGGATAAGTTCTCAAGTTTTGTTGTGAGGAGATAGGCTTCTCGATTTCTCTTTTGTCTCCGAATGTTGATGGTAGATGCACTTCACGGTTGAACAGGATTGTCCTAGGATGTAGAGAGGACCCGTGCATAAATAACCGTTGTTGCTGCTCCTTCTCGGGTTTGCGCGTGCGGTGCCGCTCCCCCACATTCAGGCATCCTGCTCTCGCCTGATGGGTCGCTGCAGCAGCAACAGCTGCATTCACGCTATGAAGAAAAACGGCTCCAATCCGTTACTATCCGAGGCCGCCTCTACTCCTCAAAGGACCCCGTTATCATCTCTCACCATGTTCCTAAAACGAAAGGGCGCCGTACAACCTGCTGCAGCTGCCGAGCCTATTTTCGAGCCTTCTACCGAGCCTGTCTCATCCGCCTCCAATCAGGACAAGGCGAAGGCCGGAGTGGGCGTTAAAGACAAGGCAAAAGCGTTTCGCGCTGCTGTATTCCCCGTCGCTGTAATTGAAACCGACGAGGAGGAAAACGAACCCTCCGACGACGGGACAGCACTATCGAATGTGACTAAACCGGAAAGCGTGGGTGATTTTCTCTCCACAAGCACCCCCGAGGATGCGAAGCAACCCCTGACCGTACCAGTCGCAGCACCAGTCGCACCATTAGTCGCAGCAGAAGCACAGCCGACGAAATCGACCCCAGCAGCATGCGCGAAGCTTCCACCACCCATCCCTTCTCCCGGCAAGCAGCCCGTCAGCCAGCCAGTCGACATCAAGCAGCCGGCGACGGCCGTTCGTAACCGTCAGCAGAACCGTCCGATCTTCCAGCGGCCGGTTCTGGACACGATCCCGTCCGCACAGGAGCTGGAAAGCGGCGAGCCGCTATTCTCGCTCTCCCTCACCAACAACCCAGTAACCTCCCCTCCGACTGTTACCACTCCCGGCGGTTCGTCTTTCTCCTCGTTCATCCTCTCCCTCGTCACGCCACGTGGCAGCCAGAGACCCGCGTCGTCTGCTACCGCTTCGTCCCAATCCGCCGCATCGTCTGTATACTCGCTTTCGGACTCCGATGGGGATTCGGATTCTGACGAGGAGAGTGAGGGAGATGGGGAGGAGGAGCGCGGGCGAGAGGAGGGTGGGGGAGGTGAAGGGGGAGAGGGTGATGGGAGCTGGAGCAGGCTGGCGTCTGTTGGAAAATCCTTGAGTTTTGAAGGGAGGAAGGCGGGGGTTCGGAGCGGTGGAGCTGGGTTCTGGAACCAGAAGAGGTGGCTGTCGTTCTCCCCTCGCTCCGCGTCCGCTGCTCGGGCGTGTGCGCAGGCTGTTGCTTCTGCGGACGGTGGTAATGGTGATGGTGATGGTCGTGGCGCCAAGTGTGTCAAGTCCACGCCTTCCTCTTCGTACACGTCTCCTTCGAAGCGTCTCGTCACGAGCCCTGACGCAGCTTCGGAATCCGGTTCGGCAAGCTCTGCTCCGGATGGAGGCTCGGGAGGAGGTTCGGATGCAGGTCCTGGAGGGAAATTCGGTGGTGGTTTGGGAGCGGGCGGCAGGATCAGATCTGGAGCGAGGATGGGGATGCTATCCAGAAGCATGTCGGAACGACTGCCGCCACTCACTCCGCTGGCGACTGTGCTGGACTGCGACATGCCGCTGACGTGGACTGCCAGCCTGGACCCGGATTTATGGGCAGTTCCGGAGCACGGGCCCCATGGGGGTGGTGGAACGACGGGCGAGTGTAGCAGCTGTGATCGCTGGAGAGGCGAGAAGACATGGCCTCGGGAAAAGGACAAAGACGACAAGCTGGCAGCTCGCCGACCACGTAGCATCGAGTTGCCGGCCAGGAATGCAGCGGGTCCTGCTTCTGCCCCCGTGGCAGGGGATGCTGCGGTGGCGTCGCCGCCAGCTGTCACGTCGCCAGCTGTCACGCCGCGATTGCCCGAGCTGACGGAGGAGTCGTTTCTGCTGTCGGAGGCGACGCGTGCCGCGGTGTTCAAGCACCTGCCTGCCACAGTCAGCAGTCGCAAATGGGTGCTGCTCTACAGGTAACGACGGAACACATGTGAGGTTGTTTTGAGTCGACTCAAAACGTGTCTCAGTGCGTGCTGCGGTGTTCAAGTACTTGCCTGCCACGGCCAGCAGTCGCAAATGGGTGCTGCTCTACAGGTAACGACGGAACACATGTGAGGTTGTTAGATAATCAGTTTGTGAGGTTGCGCATACAGCTTCATTGCTGCTTGTTCGTGAGCTTGCCATCTCGCTATGCTCCTCCATTTCCTGCCGTTTCTCTCATTCGTCTTCCTGTTCCTCCCCTTCCTCTCTCCTCTTCTCGCCTACCTGTATGCACCCCTTACAGCACGGTGAAGCACGGCATATCGCTCCTCACGCTCTACCGCAGGGCCTCCATGCTTCCCGGCCCCTGCCTCCTGGTACGTGCCCTTCCTGCTGCTTTTGCAGACGTTTCAGAAATTCTCTGCTTTCTCGTACATGCCCTTCCACTGCTTTCTGTCTTTCTGTGTTCCGCTGCTTCCGGCCGTACTGCTGCTTTTCCCAATTCCATTCTCCCCCATGCACTCACATTGATTCCGCCCTCCATTCTTCCACCCTTTCATTCCACCAGGTGGTATCAGACAGTGCAGGCACAATCTTCGGCGCATTCTCCTCCCCCTCCGCGCTCATCCCATCAGACCGCCGCAAGTACCAGGGCAGCAACCACTGCTTCGTCTTCTCGGACATCTCAGGCGCCCCCACGGTGCATGCTGCGACGGGGCGCAATCACTACTACGTGCTGCCCGCGCATGACTGCCTCGCCTTCGGTGGCGGTGGGAGATTCGCCCTGCGCCTGGAAGACGACCTGTGAGTCCGTGTTTGTGTTCCATCCGTGCATCAATAGGTGCCATTCCTCTGTCACTGTCTGCCTGTCTGATAGACTCCTCTTCCACGAGAGTCTGCTTATTCTTGTCACTCAACCTTGTGTTCATCTTGCCCCATTCTTTCTTCTCGTCTCTCATCCTTTCTCCTCGTCTCTCCTCCTGTTTCGCCTCATCTTCAGGCTGTCTGGCTCCAGTGGCGAGTGTGACACCTTCGCCAGCCCATGCCTGGCGGGGAAAGAGGACTTCTGCATCAAACACGTCGAGGTACTTCCCTCACTCCTCTCCCCTGCATGCACACTCATCTGCATAGAGGTGATTTTTCAGGCGCCTCAGAAATCACCTCTCCGCCAGCCCGTGCCTGGCGGGGAATGAGGACTTTCGCGTAAAACACGTCGAGGTATTTCACTGCTCTCGACTCCTTCGCATGCACACTCATCTGCCGTATTTCTCTTGTACCCTTCACCCCTTCCTCCCTTCCCGCCCTCCCAACACCTAGTAATAGTTTTTCCCTTGGCATGTCAATTTTTGCACTAGTTTTGTTCCGCACTGACTCTACTTACCCAAGTGGCTGTTCTCTCTCCTAACCTTTCACCCCCCTACTTTCCTTTCCCGCCCACCCTGGTCCACTCGCCTTTGCAACCACCACCGTTGCCACGGTTACTTCGTGTGTTGCAGCTGTGGGGGTTCGCCCATTTATCTCGCTACACGCCCGCCAGAGCAGCATGGAAGGAGCCCGAAATGCGCCACAGCTTCCACGCTTAGCCGCACCCTTTCTTGGCGCACTTTCTTGGCACAGCGGCTTCCATGTTTGGCCGAACTTTTTTTTTACGCACCTCAAGAATACACGCCTGCGAGAGCAGCATGGAAGGAGCCCGAAATGCGCCACAGCTTCCACTCTTAGCTGCGCTTTCACGACACAGCAGCTTCCATTCATGGCGGCACCTGCATTTGACTACAGCTTCAGCTTCTGTTGCTAACTGCGGCTCCAACGTCCTCTGCTATTCGCACCTGCGTTTTGAGAATTCCCAAAGAGTGACTCCAATACTTCCACTCATAACGGCACCTGCATTGTGCGGCAGCTTCTGCTGCTATCTGCGGCTCCAGAGTCCTCTCCTATTCTCCCCTGCGGCCTCATCTCCTGTTCGCACCTGCAGCGTCGACGTTTATCACGCCTGCAACTATATTGTATTTACAAGGGCTATGCAGGCACACAGCCCTCAGCCCCCGTCTTTATCTCACCTGGCAGAAGCTCCATGCAACGGCACAACAGCAAGACGGCCAGGATACTCCCATTCTCACTTGCTTGGTTCGACTCAAAGCTCATTACTCCATCCATGTGGCTGCATGGATGATGGATACAATCATGCAAGGGTACACCGAGCAACAGCAACCCTGGTTTCGGTAGAGACTCGTTTGAAGCGCCTCAGACACAGCAACTCTGGTTTGAGTCGGGAATTATAAGGCACCACGTGCGGCTGGCTGGACTTCACCAAGGGTGCCAAGGGCGCAAGGCTACAGCAACCCTGTGTAACATTTTGTAACATTCTGCAACCCCTTCTGCAATCTGCAGCATCTGAAGTGAGTCGGTGGTAACCAGCGTCTGTGCGCGGCTATTTTTTTCTGCACTGTAAGGTGTGTCTTTACTTGTAAGGTAATCTGCTCTTTTCTGGTTCTTGCGTGACACGGTGTTGTGGCGTGTCTATTTTGCACTACTGGCAACTTTTTGTGGTGGAGAGTAGGGGGTGGATGGTCCGTAAGTGTGTGGCAGGTTGGCAAATGAAAGGCAGTTAGGGGGAAGCAGAGGAGGGGAGTGAGGAAGAGGTGAGTAGCATAGGTGAAATGAGCAGTTGTTGATGAGAAGTCAAATAAGCAGCGGAGATGTTGCTGCAAGGTGTTGTGTACTGGCCAACCCACCCCACCCAATACCCACATCCCATTTCCTAAGCGCCGTGCGCATGTATAGGTTAGTGGGAGTAACTGTACAGATTTACGTTTTGCTTGTCAGTGCTTGCATTTGCCACGCGACCAAGGGCTTGGTGTGTGCTTGTTTGTATATGCAGTATATATAATATACAGATTTAAGAATTCCAGCCGGTAACAGAGGACCTCATCTGATATTATACAAAGCAAGTGACACTAGAGTTGATGTCACGCTTGTATCGGATTTGCGAATGTGCGTACGAATGCGTCCCCAACACCAGCACCAGAATCCCAGCAGAGACAGCAAACCCAATTTCCTGTGCCAACCCAATAGGGAGCAGCTGCTGGTCTGTCGCTGGCTGACTGACTAACACGTGGCTGGTTCGCTCCCTTCACTCATTCTGCACACCCCGCAGATCGGCCCAGATCGCCGCATTCCTCGCCGCATTCCTCGCCGCAGACCTCGCCTTTCGTCGTTCCGTACCAGTCGCCGACCCTGTAGTGTCTTAGCCCGTTCAACGACAATTCATTTCGTATCGGAGCAGTTGCGACAATGACGCAGGCGCTCCTTTCGTCACGTGCATCGGGTTACCACGCACGGAGTCTTCTCGCAAATGGGTCGCAGCCGTCGAAGTCAATTCAATGCCCATTCGGCACGTGGCAGGCACACGCCGGACCAGGTCATCCGCTCAGCCGAAAGTTGACGAAGCTAGACGAGAGGCTCGGAATCAGGCTCGGCAGCGGCGGCATTTCTAGGCTCGGGACCCAGCAGCAGGGATGGAGAAGGGGGTTCGGAGGAGAAGGCGTGGGAAGGGAGGGTGAAACGGTTCGGGGAAGGCGGCGAACGATCACAGCCATTGGATTCACTGCAGATCCACGGCCTAGGTAGCATGAAACTTCTCCACCTGCTCTTCCATAGAAACCTTTTTAAGGTTCAAAGATGTGTAGGTGGTTTACGCGAATTCTCACAAAGGCAGCAGCGCGGCTACTAAGAGACGGGGGGGCCTGCTGCTTTATTAAGACGTCTTTTGCAAGGATGCTCCCCAGGCGTTCCGCTTTCTCTCTTCCCTCTTCTCTCAACCCATCCCTTTAGTGTTGCGAAATCAGCAGCGCGGCCACTGAGAGACGCGGCAGCCCTGCTGCTGTACTACCAGGACGACTTTCGAGGCGCCTCAAAAGCCCTGCTGCTGTACCAGGACGACTGGAAAAGCTTTTGAGTCGACTCAAAAGCAGCGCGGCTACTGAGAGACGCGGCAGCCCTGCTGCTGCACCAGGGCGCGTTCAAAGGCTCATCTTCTCTCTCTCTCTCTCTCTCCCATCCCCGCTCTCTTCCGTCTCTCCCACTCCTCTCCCTTCAGTGTGGAGAAAGCAGCAGCGCGGCTACTGAGGGACGCAGCCGCACTGCTGGTGTATCAGGATGCATTCAAAGGCGCTGCTCCCCTTTGTTCCCCCCTCCCCTTGGCCCCCTCTCTTCTCTCCTTCCCCTTTCCAACCCCCCTCAGTGTGGAGAAAGCAGCAGCGCGGCTACTGAGGGACGCAGCCGCACTGCTGGTGTATCAGGATGCATTCAAAGGCGCTGCTCCCCTTTGTTCCCCCCTCCCCTTGGCCCCCTCTCTTCTCTCCTTCCCCTTTCCCACCCCCCTCAGTGTGGAGAAAGCAGCAGCGCGGCTACTGAGGGACGCAGCCGCGCTGCTGGTGTATCAGGACGCCTTCAAAGGCGCGGCCCTGCAGGCGTTTCTGAGGCTGCTGCTGCAACTGCGCCGCTCTGATGGTGAGGAGGGGAGGGGAAGGGAGGTGGGATGGGGGGTGTGGGGGTGCAAGTGGGGGGGGTTAGGGTGAAACAAGGTTGCGCCTTCAAAGGCGCGGCCTCGCAAGCGTTTCAGAGGCTGCTGCTGCAACTGAGACGCGCTGATGGTGGGCGGGAGTGGTGGGTGGGAGAGGAGGGATGGTGAAGTCGGTGGGGGTGTGGGGATGTTGGGAGTGGTGGGCGTGGTGGCAGTGTGAAAGCGAGGTGGGTTTTGGGCTCCTCAGCGTTTCTGAGGCTGCTGTTGCAGCTTTTGAGGCGCCTCAAAAGAAGGCTCCTCAGCGTTTCTGAGGCTGCTGTTGCAGCTGCGCCGTGCTGATGGTGGGGGGGCTGAGGGGGAGTTTGGGGAGACGGGGCGTGGTGGGTGGGGGTGGTGGCAGTGTGTGTGAGGACTGAAGGGTTCATCATCTTGGGAGATGGGGGTAAATCATTTGCATTACCCCGTGCATTATCATTACCCGATGCGTCATCATTACCCCATGCATCATCATTACCCTATACGTCTTTATTAACCAACCCCCCAAACCCACAATTCCCCAAACCCCCAAACCCCCCCTTCCCCTCCTGCCTCGCTCCCCTCTCCTCTTTCCATCCCCCCCCTTCCCAACAATCCCCCTTACAAGCAGACCCACTGCGTGTTTTGGAGAGCTATGGGGAGTTTTACCGTCTCATGGCCTTTGAGGAACATTCCAAGTAACTTCTCCGCACTTGGCCGTTTCCCCACGTTATTCCTCACATCGCCATCACACTTGGTCAAAACGCAACAAAGCATGCATCCAATGTGTGTGTGCAAGGCGTTTGTGGTTGAATCCTCTTCCTCACTCACCCATGCCATCACCAGTGGGTCATGCCACCACCCATGCCTCCACCACCCATGGGCCATGCGTCCACCACCCATGGGCCATGCGTCCACCACCCATGGGCCATGCGTCCACCACCCATGGGCCATGCGTCCACCACCCGTGGGCCATGCGTCCACCACCCATGGGCCATGCGTCCACCACCCATGGGCCATGCGTCCACCACCCATGGGCCATGCGTCCACCACCCATGGGCCATGCGTCCACCACCCATGGGCCATGCGTCCACCACCCATGGGCCATGCGTCCACCACCCATGGGCCATGCGTCCACCACCCATGGGCCATGCGTCCACCACCCATGGGCCATGCGTCCACCACCCATGGGCCATGCGTCCACCACCCATGGGCCATGCGTCCACCACCCGTGGGCCATGCGTCCACCACCCATGGGCCATGCGTCCACCACCCATGGGCCATGCGTCCACCACCCATGGGCCATACGTCCACCACCCATGGGCCATGCGTCCACCACCCATGGGCCATGCGTCCACCACCCATGGGCCATGCGTCCACCACCCGTGGGCCATGCGTCCACCACCCATGGGCCATGCGTCCACCACCCATGGGCCATGCGTCCACCACCCATGGGCCATGCGTCCACCACCCATGGGCCATGCGTCCACCACCCATGGGCCATGCGTCCACCACCCATGGGCCATGCGTCCACCACCCATGGGCCATGCGTCCACCACCCATGGGCCATGCGTCCACCACCCATGGGCCATGCGTCCACCACCCATGGGCCATGCGTCCACCACCCGTGGGCCATGCGTCCACCACCCATGGGCCATGCGTCCACCACCCATGGGCCATGCGTCCACCACCCATGGGCCATGCGTCCACCACCCATGGGCCATGCGTCCACCACCCATGCCGCATTCCACATCCCATCCCATCCCATCCCATCCTTAACCTCCCCAACTTCATCCATGCAACCCTACCCCACCGCATGCCACCCCATACCAGCCCACGCCACCCCATGTCGCCTCACCCCAACCCAACCCACCCCACCCCATTCCACCCCATGACACACCGCACCAGCTGGGAGGATCTGCTGCTGCATCGCATCCTAACCGTTGAAAACAACCCCTTTGCCGAGGCAGCAGCAACCGCAGCAACCGCAGCAGCTGCGGCAGCTTCTGCCTCTGACAGAACCACTGGAGCGGTTGCTGGTACTGCCGATTTGACCACTCCGGGCGGCAAACAGAGCAAGCTGAGAGCGGCAGCAGCTGTGGACTTGAGCTCCTTGCAGCGGCTGTGCGTCAACGAAACCACCCTTGCTTCCTGGGTACGTGGGTGGGTCTAAACGGGTGAGCTGTAGTGCTTCTTTCGCAATCCGTCCACTAGCCAAGAGGCAAGGGCGGCATGTCGATAGATGAAAAGAGTAATCTGTAGAGACTGCACTCACACTCACACTCACACTCACATTCACACTCACACTCACATTCACATTCACCCTCACACTCACATTCACACTCACACTCACACTCACTCACACTCACATTCACACCCACACTCAAATTCACTCTCACTCTCACACACTCGGCAGCAAACAGTGCAAGCTGAGAGCGGCAGCAGCAGCACCAGCAGCACCAGCAGCAGCAGCAGCAGCAGCAGCACCAGCAGCAGCAGCAGCAGCAGCAGCAGCAGCAGCAGCAGCAGCAGCAGCAGCAGCAGCAGCAGCAGCAGCAGCAGCAGCAGCAGCAGCAGCAGCAGCAGCAGCAGCAGCAGCAGCAGCAGCAGCAGCAGCAGCAGCAGCAGCAGCAGCACCAGCACCAGCAGCACCAGCAGCACCAGCAGCAGCAGCAGCACCAGCAGCAGCAGCAGCAGGGGATCTGAGCTCGCGAATGCCAATGAATCAGCAATGGCTGTTTATCAAATGAAACTCGCTTTCGATTCAAATGCCAATTTTGCCCCCTTGACCTTGATTTCAATGCTTTGCTCTCCACATGTGGCGGACATTGTACCAGACATGCCGGTCGAGTGGAGTGAGGCTGCCACGGGTGCTACTTTCGAGTCGAATCACAACTCGCTTTCGCATAAAGAATCGATTTTGCCTTCAATGCTTTGCTCTCCATGTGTCCAGGTGGCGGACATTGTACCGGACATGCCGGCCGAGTGGCGTGAGGCTGCTGCCGGCGCTGCGAATGGGGTGGCTAAGGGGAGCCGAGACAGCAACGGAGCTGGCGAGGCCAGGGTGATGGGTTTTGACTTGACTGCAGCAAGCAAGGAGGCATTGACCCCTGCTGCCCCTGCTGCGTCCGCTGCATCCTCCTCTTCCTCCAGTGAAGGTGTGCCATTGTAACGAGGTGACATTTGAGTCGACTCAAAAGTCTCCTGCTGCCCCTGCTGCGTCCGCTGCATCCTCCTCTTCCTCCAGTGAAGGTGCACCGCAGCTTAAGGAACGATCTCTAATTCGACGAACAAGCAATCTGGGCCTATTTTGCCTGGCTTTCTAACTAGAACCATGATTGGGCCCATTCCCTTCATCTCATCTCATCAAGGCCTTCCTTGCTTCCATGCTTGCCCTCTGCCTTCCCCTGCCTTCCCCTCCCTTCCCCTCCCTTCCCCTGCCTTCCCCTGCCTTCCTCTGCCTTCCCCTGCCTTCCCCTGCCTTCCCCTGCCTTCCCCTCCCTTCCCCTCCCTTCCCCTCCCTTCCCCTCCCTTCCCCTCCCTTCCCCTCCCTTCCCCTCCCTTCCCCTCCCTTCCCCTCCCTTCCCCTCCCTTCCCCTCCCTTCCCCTCCCTTCCCCTCCCTTCCCCTCCCTTCCCCTCCCTTCCCCTCCCTTCCCCTCCCTTCCCCTCCCTTCCCCTCCCTTCCCCTCCCTTCCCCTCCCTTCGCCTCCCTTCCCCTCCCTTCCCCTCCCTTCCCCTCCCTTCCCTCCCTTCCCCTCCCTTCCCCTCCCTTCCCCTCCCGTCCCCTCCCGTCCCCTCCCTTCCCCTCCCTTCCCCTCCCTTCCCCTCCCTTCCCCTCCCTTCCCCTCCCTTCCCCTCCCTTCCCCTCCCTTCCCCTCCCTTCCCCTCCCTTCCCCTCCCTTCCCCTCCCTTCCCCTCCCTTCCCCTCCCTTCCCCTCCCTTCCCCTCCCTTCCCCTCCCTGCCCCTCCCTTCCCCTCCCTTCCCCTCCCTTCCCCTCCCTTCCCCTCCCTTCCCCTCCCTTCCCCTCCCGTCCCCTCCCTTCCCCTCCCTTCCCCTCCCTTCCCCTCCCTTCCCCTCCCTTCCCCTCCCTTCCCCTCCCTTCCCCTCCCTTCCCCTCCCTTCCCCTCCCTTCCCCTCCCTTCCCCTCCCTTCCCTCCCTTCCCCTCCCTTCCCCTCCCTTCCCCTCCCTTCCCCTCCCTTCCCCTCCCTTCCCCTCCCTTCCCCTCCCTTCGCCTCCCTTCCCCTCCCTTCCCCTCCCTTCCCCTCCTTTCCCCTCCCTTCCCCTCCCTTCCCCTCCCTTCCCCTCCCTTCCCCTCCCTTCCCCTCCCCTCCCTTCCCTTCCCATCCCCTTTCCCTTTCCCCGCTTGCAGACCTCTTACCGCCGCGCATCAGCAGCATGTGGGACTGGGCGGATGCCCTGCCTTTCATCCGCGCCTTCCATGCTTCCTTGCTCTTTGCTGCCCCTCTCCTATCCTCTTGTCTCCCCCCTCCCTCTCCTCCCCGCTCTGCCCTGCACTGTCTCTGTCGCAGATCTCTTGCCGCGGCGCATAAGTGGCTTGTGGGACTGGGCCGATGCGCTGCCTCTCATCCACGCCTTCCATGCTTCCCCTCTCCTCTTGTCTCCCCGCGCCCTTCACTGCCCCCCCCCCCCCGCACTGTCCTTCTGACAGACCTCTTACCGCCGCGCATAAGCGGCATGTGGGACTGGGCGGATGCCCTGCCGCTCATCCACGCCTTCCATGCTGCCAACGGCTATGGGGAGGCAGCGGTCAGCTCAGGTAGGGTCGGTGGGAATTGATAAGCCTCGCTGCCTCTCATTCTCCTGCCTCTCATTCACCTCATGCCCTGCCTCTCATCCACGCCTTCCCTGCTGCCAACGGCTATGGGGAGGCAGCAGTCAGCTCAGGTAGGGTCGGTGGGAATTGATAAGCCTCGCTGCCTCTCATTCTCCTGCCTCTCATTCACCTCATGCCCTGCCTCTCATCCACGCCTTCCCTGCTGCCAACGGCTATGGGGAGGCAGCGGTCAGCTCAGGTAGGGTGGGGGCTGTGGAAATCTGATGTGCTCCATGTGTGTCATTCGCCTGCCTTTGTTCTTTTCGCTCTAATTTGAGTTTGAGTTTATTTGTTTGTGACACATTCGTACTCGGTTAGAGTGGAAGGTGGTCAAGTGAAGAAAATCGAGGGTAATTGCAGTAGTGCACCCTTTTTCCCCTTCCGTCTTCTCCTGTTCCCCCTCCCCTCGTTCCTTCAGCAAAAGGAGGTCGACATAAGTGATTTGAAATACTGGTGTTAGTATAGCCTCTTTCCCCTTACCCTCTTTTCCTGCTTCCCCCTTCCCCAAGTCTCCTGTTTCCCCTTTCCCCGGTTCCCATCAGCAGTGCCAGAGTGCAAGGGAGGTTGCTTCGTGGCAGCAGCACCGGACATTTGAGGCGCCTCAGAAGTGCCATTCCCTGTCCCCTTCCTCCCTTCCCCCTTCGATTTCCCCCCTTCAACTGGCAGTGCTGGAGTGGAAGGGAGGTCGCTTCGTGGCAGCAGCACCGAACCTTTGAGGTGCCTCAGAAGTTCCCTCCTCTGTCCCCCTCCCCCTTTCCCCTTTCCCTCTTCACTTTCCCCTTCACTTTCTCCCCTTCAACTGGCAGTGCTGGAGTGGAAGGGAGGTCGCTTCGTGGCAGCAGCATTAGTCACCCCACCGCCCTCACCGCTCTTCTCTATCTACAACGAGCAGCGAGAGGCTCTGAGAGGATTGGTGCACACACACGTGGACGGCCGACCCTCCCCCCATGTGCTGCTGGTAGGCCTTTTGTTCCCTCCCTCCCTCTCTCACCCATACCTCCTGCCCGTCACCCCACCGCCCTCACCGCTCTTCTCTATCTACAACCACCACCGAGAGGCTCTGAGAGGATTGGTGCACACACACGTGGACGGCCGACCCTCCCCCCATGTGCTGCTGGTAGGCCTTTTGTTCCCTCCCTCCCTCTCTCACCCATACCTCCTGCCCGTCACCCCACCGCCCTCACCGCTCTTCTCTATCTACAACCACCACCGAGAGGCTCTGAGAGGATTAGTGCACACACACGTGGACGGCCGACCCTCCCCCCATGTGCTGCTGGTGCGTCCATCCTTCCCTCCATCCCTCCCTCCCTCCCTCCCTCCCTCCCTCCCTCCCTCCCTCCCTCCCTCCCTCCCTCCCTCCCTCCCTCCCTCCCTCCCTCCCACCCAAGCCTCTTACCATTCAAGTCATCCCACCGCCGTTGCCACACTTCTCCATCTACAATCCTTCCTCCCCCCCTTCTTTTGAGTCGACTCAAAAGTCAACTCATCCCACCGCCCTCTCCACTTTTCTCCATCTACAAACCTTCCTCCCCCCTTTTTCTTCCCCATCCCTCCCCCCTTCCCATCAACCCATCTCCCATCCAATCAGCACGGGCCACCTGGCACGGGCAAGTCAACTCTCCTGCGATCCGTACTCCTCCCCATGGCCCTCCCCTCCTCCGCCCTCCTCTCCATCCCCTCCTCCGACTCTTCCTCAACATCCCCTCTCGCGGGCGAGTCAGGGGAAGGCAGCAGCAGGGGGAGGCGGGAGCTGAGGGTGGTGCTGCTGCAGAAGGGCGAAGTGAAGAGCATAGCAGGGGTGCTGCAGGCGGCTGCCAAAATGCCCTCCCTGCGTTTCTGCCTCCTGATCGACAACCTGAACTTGCGGGTGAGTACTGTGTTCTCTTCAGTTCCATTGGAGAGAGTGTGGTTGGGTGGAGTGCAGTGAAGGGCATGGCAGGGGTGCTGCAGGCGGCTGCCAAGATGCCCTCCCTGCGCGTCTGCCTTGTCATTGACAACCTCAACCTCCGGGTGAGTGCTATTGCAAGCTCTTCTTGGTTCCAGTTGGGAGCCTGTATCGAGCGGTGGTGTCCGACTGTGTATCCCGGCATCATGCATGCCTCTGCTCATGCAGAACTCTGAGAACTCTGAGTTCTCTGAATTCTCTGAATTCTCACAACTGTATCGCGCGGTGGTGTCCGACTATGTATCCCGCTCTTCCTTCGTCAGTCTGGCTTCAGAGGCATCATGCATGCCTCTGCTCATGCAGAACTCTGGATTCCCAAAACTGTAGCAAGCGGTGGTGTCCGACTATGTATCCCGGCATCATGCATGCCTCTGCTCATGCACAACTCTGAATTCTCTGAATTCTCTGAATTCTCTGAATTCTCTGAATTCTCTGAATTCTCTGAATTCTCTGAATTCTCTGAATTCTCTGAATTCTCAAAACTGTATCGAGCGGTGGTGTCCGACTGTGTATCCCGGCATCACGCATGCCTCCGCCTGCGCCCCTCTCACTCCATTCCACTCCCTCGCCCTTGCTCGCTCCTTCTCTCTCTCACTCGCCTCTTGATCGCTCTTTCTTCTTCTCCTTCTCCCTGCAGGCAGGAGAGGAGGCGCTGATTGCTCTGCGCCAAGTCCTCCACTCTTCCTTCGTAAGTCTGGTTGTCAAGCCCTGTATTTTTTAGGCGCCTCAAATTGAGGCGGCCAAAAAATCGCCCTACCTCCAGGCAGGAGACCACTTTTGAGGCGCCTACATAATCGCCCTACCTCCAGGCAGGAGACCACTTTTGAGGCGCCTACAAAAACGCCCTACCTGCAGTCAGGAGAGGTATGTAGAACCTCCTTGCTCTGCGCCAAGTCCTCCTCTTTCCCTTTGTAATTCATTACCCGGTTTTCATTCCTTGCATCTCTTGTTCGCTTCGTCTTTGCATTTCCTACTTATAGCAGCCTTCGGTTGAAGGTGCCGACCTAATCCGTCATGCTTCCATTCGGTCCCCTGAAAACCCTGTACCAAGCAGCCTGCAACTTTTGAGAGTTATTCTGCAGATCCCGTTCTCTTTCGGCTCCGGTTCAAGGTGTTTCAAAGCCTTTCTCTCTCCACATTTTCTTTTCAGGTGTGCCGCCATGACAAGCCCTGTGCCTTCTCCCATCCCATCCCTACCCGTCCCTCCACCTCCCAACAACCCTTTCCCAGGAATGTACAGCTTCTTGCCACCTCTTTTCCTCATTCGCTCTGCTGCACCTGCACCCTGTCCCCTGCCCCCTGTCACCCCCCACCTCCCAACAGCCCTTTCCCAGCAATGTACAGCTTCTCGCCACCTCCCTTTCTCCAGACCTCATTCGCCCTCCTGCTGCCCCCTCCGCTCCTCCTCCTCCTCCTGACGTCAAGCCAACTGAAGTCCACACTTCTGAGTCGTCAATTTCGCCAGAGGCAGGCCAAACGAGCAGTGCCAGCAGCGGCAAGGGAGAAATCGGCACTCACTTTGCCTTTGCCCTGCACGTGGGCCGCTTGAACCCACAGCAGCTGCAGCAGTGCCTCTCCGAGCTCGCTCCTGCTCAATCAATTGACCACACCGGTGAAGCAACAGCTGCTGCTGGTGGTAGTGCTGCTGCTGGCAGGTGGGAGGGGCAAGGAGAGGCAGAGGACCTAAGTCTGGTCTCTGTCATGCAAGCAGCAAGGTACCACCACATGCTGTAGGAGAGGCTAGGGGGGTATCGGCACTCACTTTGCCTTTGCCCTGCACGTGGCCCGCTTGACCCCACAGCAGCTGCAGCGGTGCCTCTCTGAGCTTGTTTCCCTCCGCACTGGCTCAGTCTGGCTCTGGTGCTGGCAGGTGGGAGGGGATAGGTGAGACAGAGGACCTAAGTCTGATCTCTGTCATGCAAACAGCACGGTTCCACATGCTCTAGGCGAGAGTACAGGGATCATAGCCGCCGCTGTTCCTGCTGCTGCTGCTACTGCTGGTGCTGCTCGTAGTGGAGCGGGCAGGTGGGAGGGGACAGGAGAGGCAGAGGACCTAAGTCTCATCTCTGTCATGCAAGCAGCACAGTACCACATGCTCTAGGCGAAAGTTTAGGGATCATAGCATGTAGGCACCTCAGAAAATGTCTTGGTAACCAGCTGTCATGGTACTGTACCTACGGAATTTGATGGAAGTAAGGCCTTTCGCAGCCCACCTGTCTACAGCCTACAAATTGCTCTATCAAACAGGCTGTCTCTACTGACGAGCCACAAAGAGCCCTTCACAATACAATATTGTGTATGCTGTGCAAGCAGCAATGCAACACATTACATTTCAAGTCCAGATCACTCCACAATGCTGCCTGTGTGAGGAGCACATTAGGCAATCTGAACCCTGACATTCAATTCCCGAGATGGGATGGTCATGTGTTTGCAAACAGGGCAGGGTCTATGCTTTTGGTCATTGGACTGAGGTGATGGGCAACTGGTGAGCATGCACGGGCTGTAGGCTGTCAGCGTGTTTCCACCTCGGCCAGTCAATTTCCACTTCAGTGAGATAGTGCTGGGGGAAACGACCGCACTGCATACAAAAGTGTGACTTGACTGTACCGAGTATGCGCATGCCTGAAGGTTGTTACTGGAAATGAGTCACTTGTTAAAGCCGTGATTGATTATTGTCATTTAAAATCGACAAGGGGAATGGTCAAACGAAGACTGCGAGAGAATTTGGAGGACGCGAGAAGGAACGGTCAGAATGGGAGTGAAAATGGGATGCGGGAGGGTGAATGGGAGTGGGTGTGAATGGTGAGATTGCGAGTAGCTGTCCACGTGGTTCTTTGTTTTGAGCGGGTTTATTTGCACAGCATTGGAAACAGAACAATCTGGACGCAATTTCTTGATTATTTGCAATAGTATAGCTAGGTACACAAAAATATGTACATTGAATTCACAGCACGATCCGACTCACTCGTCGTCGTTAATGAATCTCCCTGTACCGGGGTTGATGGCAGCGACGAAGAAGAAGGCGATGCTGGCGAGCAGCAGCGGCTCGAGCTCCCACACAGGCACGCCAATCTCGATGTTCAGCTGCGCCAGCGCGCCCCTGCCCGTGATCACCTCGCCGATCAGGCTTGCCGCAAACCCTAATTGCGCCAGCCGCCCCACGAACAGCTCGTTCGCCTTGGTGAATCCGAACAGCGGCCCATCCTCGCTCAACCCCAGCGCCGCCTTGAAGCTCCCCGGCTTCACCGGCGGACCCGCCGGCGCGTCGTCGTCCACGAATCGCCCGCGGTCGCCCAGCCCGCCGATCGCGCCGAGCACGGTGAATGCGATGAAGAAGAGCAGCAGCGGCTCGGTCTCCGTGATGGGAATGCCCGTCTCGATGTTGAGCTGCGACAGAATGCCCGCGCCCGTGATCGCCTCACCCAGCAGCGACGCCGCGAAGCCCAGCATGGCCACGCGCCCCACGAACAGCTCGTTCGCCTTGGTAAACCCGAACCCGCCCGACGTGCCGAAGATGCCGTCCTCTGTGCGCAGCTTCGTCGCGGGGACGCTCTTAGCGGGGACGGCGGCTTTGCGCGAGCTGAAGAGCGCGGTGACGCCGAGTCCGCGGGGCGCGACTGGTAGTAGGGGAACAGCGGGGAGGCTGCGGGTTGCAAGCTCGGTGCCTCTGACGGCAGAGCTGAAGGAAAGTCCTGAAAGGACCTGACGAGCAGCGAGTGCGGAGGCCATGGCTGTTGGACGGATTGAGACGAATTGAAAGAGCGGTGCGTGAGAAGTAGTTCGAGGGATACTGGGCACGATTTTGATTTGAAGGCAGCGAAACTGATTTTGTACCACCAAGAATGAGGTGAAATTCAACCGAGGCGCGCTATGTCGGTTGCTCTGCTCATGTCACTCGTCCTCCCTCCTGGCCCGTGACAGTGCTGTGTGCGGTGCGGCTTGTTCGCTTTCATCGCAGCTCGCTGCACCTGGCGCAACCTTTTGGGAAATTGGTCTGACGATCGCTGACGTGGCAGAACCTGGAGCGCAATTGTATTGTGAGGGACGTGGACGTTCCTGGTGCTCTAGATCTTCGAGGAGAGGTGCACCGTGAATGTGTTGACTGGGCGACGTGGTGGTGCGGTGTTGGCTAAATGCTGCTGACATGGATTTGAAAAATGGTTCTCTCTCGTCCCTTCTAGCACCTGCTTTCGTGGTCAGCAATGGCGAGCGCACTTTGGAAGGGGAATCGAACTTGTTCCTTGCGAAATTTGACAGGACTCTAGAAACTCCCGCATTGAGTATCACAAGAGCATCCGCAATATAACTCGGAGTTGTGAATTATGAAAGGCGTAAAACAGCACATTAACGTTATTACCGACTCCCAATCATGCACAAGGAAATGTCACTCACATTGCGATGTTTCTAGATTGAGCCATCCATGCCTCGATCAATACACTCATCGGCCTACACGGACCAGCATTTGTCACATGCTCTCCCATTTTCATATTGCCTGCCCCATATGTCAGAAGCCCTGCACTGGCCTTAGAATAGAACAGAACACTTCAATACTGCCTGGTGTACAAACCAAGCGTACTACCAAATGTACTCACCCACACACCCACACAGCTGATTGAACTTTAGAAGGCAGATAAAACCGCTACTAAAACTACACCAATTGAAATACTAGCAGCATACATCTCGTACGCTGGAGCATTGCGGACCGCCTTTTTGGAGGGAGTCGCGGGCGGGGAAACGGAGCACTGCGATTGGCAGCCAGAGCCGCAGTGATCCGGGGTGGAGCCACACCAGCCAAACTTGCTGCAGCAGAAACCGTTGGGGCACACGCGGTTGCCGTTTGCTGCTCCGCATTGGGGAGCGGGGGCGGAAGTGTTTCCCCCGCACGGCCCGGATTGGCAGCCAGCGCCGCAGTAATCGGGTGTCGAGCCGCAATAGCCCGAAACGCTGCAGCATAGGTTGTTGGCGCAAGTGCTGTTGTTATTTGCTGCTCCGCATTGCCCGTTGGCGGATGGAGGAGCACCGGAAGGGGGAGCGGGGCCGGAAGTGTTTCCCCCGCACGGCCCCGATTGGCAGCCAGCGCCGCAGTAATCGGGGGTGGAGCCGCAATAGCCCGCAACGCTGCAGCATAGGTTGTCGGCGCAAACGCCGTTGCCGTTTGCTGCTCCGCATTGCCCGTTGGCAGATGGAGGGGCACCGGAAGGGGGAGGGGCACCGGAAGGGGGAGAGGCAACGGAAGGGGGAGCGGGGGCGGAAGGGGGAGCGGCCGAGGAGATGCTTCCCCCGCACGGCCCGGAGAGGCAGCCAGCGCCGCAGTGATCGGCGGTGGAGCCACAGAAGCCCCACTTGCTGCAGCAGAGGTTGTTGGCGCAAAGCACCGTGGCGGAGCACGCCTGCTGCGCGCGCGCGCGGAGGGGGAGATGCGCCGACGAGAGCAGCAGCAGCGCGCGCAGGAGGAGGAGGAGGAGCGGAGGGCGCGGCGGGCGAATAGGGCTCGCCATCATGGCTAGGCGAGTTGAGTCGACTCGCAAAGTCCGGCCAAGGGAAGTCGCGAGTGGCTGAATCGCGCGGGCGGCTACTATTTAGTAAATAGGATGGCGTCAAGAATCGGTGCTGGCTGGTGAAGATCGGTGAGGAGGGGTGAAGAATGCGTGCATGAAGCGGACAAGCCGTAAGGGCGACTGGCGGGTACTACGGGGGACTGCAGGGATGTCTACTACGGCTACGACGCGTTGGTGACTTGGCATTATATACAATGCACACCGACACCTGCGCGTCGCGTGTGCAGGAAGGTTGATGCTACAGACGCGCTGCGGACGATGGGGGTCCATCGTGGAAATGCGCACAATTATTGCTACGAATTGAACAATTATTGCTGCAAGGAATGACGACGGCGGACGTCTCGATCGACAACTACTATTCCTTGGACGGACGGGAGTCTAGGTCTAGGGAGTCTTCTGGCTGTGTCTGCTGGGCAAAACGGTCCGACTGACTTGACATGGCAACGTGCACACGACGAGATTCTGCAAGGTGTGGAGGTTGTGAGGGGTGCGTAGTGGTTGAAAACGATTCTGTGGAAAAAAACGGAACGGTTCATTCACTTCGCATCACGTCAACTGTAGCAGTTCAACCATTCAGCAAGTTTTGAACCAGAAAATTTGTGTCTAACGGTGAAAGTTATATACTAATACCGTAGTGAAAGCAATGGAATATTAAACAGTCTAAAGCTCCATTGGCCGATGCACATGAGATTGAAAAGAACCAGCTATATCACCCAGGAATGGCATCATTGTGGCAGCAGAAGTATAGAAAGAGCTGTTCACTGAGACACGCCCAGGCTCTCTCGTACTTTCTGTTGTGGGTGTTGGGAGAAAGGAAAACCAGGGGTGGAGGGGAAAAGGACACAGGGTGGAGAGAAGAAGGACAGGGGGTGGAGGGGAGAGGGGGAGAGAGAGAGAGCGAGAGACGGTTGAGAGGTTCGAGGGAGAGGGAGAAGGGAGTTGGAAGAGGCTTGCTAAAGTGAGTGGAGTGGAGTGTGAGTGGGGGAGAGAGGCAAGAGTTGAAGATAGGAACTAGGAGGCCGGCCAAATGTTATGTGTTGGTGCCATGTGCCATGTGCCATGTGCCACGTGCATCATGTGTCCCATTCACCCATGTCGGTCCAATCCACTGATGCACCTTGCATCATGTATCAATATATGAGGTACAAACACATGCCACTTGCACACTTCCCGTCTTCAGCAGTGCGATGTAGTAAAGTCTTCCATGTGCATCATGAAGGCAGGCCCATCCCATGTGCTCAATGTACCATGCATCATAGGCACATGTCCCCGTGCAACACACCTTGAGCAGTGCGATATAGTAAAAGTCTTCCATGTGCATCATGATGGCAAACCCATGTGATGTGAGTCATGTACCATGCGTCCACATACTGGCACACCTTGAGCAGGAAGTGAGCAAGTGATGATGGATAAAGGTCCCATGCTTTATCAGTCCCATGCGGCCACATACTGGCACACCTTTAGCAGCACGATGGTGTAGAAAGTCCTCCGTGTGCATCATGATTAGGACTCATGCTTCATGCACCATGCACCATGCTCGGCCGCATGTAGCCATAGCCATGCATCCCACCTTGAGCAGCGCAATATAGTAAAAGTCCTCCGTGTGCATCATGATGGCAGACACTACGTGCACCAGGTGCAGTGCACCAGGTGCAGTGCACCGTATATCATGTAAGGACACATGCCACACACATGCCACACACATGCCACACACATGCCACACACATGCCACACACATGCCACACACATCCCACCTTGAGCAGCGCAATATCGTAAAAGTCCTCCATGTGCATCATGATGGCAGACCCATCCCTCAGTGACATGTGCGGCCCTTGAGGAGCCACCACACCATCTTCCCATGCACGCACCATTCTCCCACACACACCCCACCTTGAGCAGTGCAATATCGTAAAAGTCCTCCATGTGCATCATGATGGCTGACCCATGTGATGCGAGCCATGCATCACATACAACCACACGTCCCACACACCTTGAGCAGCGCAATATAATAAAAGTCCTCCATGTGCATCATGATGGCCGACCCATCCCGCAATGCAGACAGCATCGCCACCTCCGTCTGCAGCAGCCGGTCAATCAGTCTCCTCTCGCCCTTCATCTGAGGGGGGAAGGGGGGAAGGGGGGGAGGGAGGCATGTGGGGCGTATGGAACATGAGCAGCAGGTGTGCAGGAGCCGCTGTGATGGCTGACCCATCCCTCAGAGCCGACAGCATCGCCACCTCTGTCTGCAGCAGCCGGTCAATCAGCCTCCTCTCGCCCTTCATTTGAGAGGGGGGGAGAGTGAGAGAGGTGGAGTACGAGGGAAGGGGTGGAAAGAAGAGGGGGTGAAAGGGATGGGTGTATGGCACGTCAAAAGCACGCGTGCAGGAGCCACTGTGATGGCCGACCCATCCCTCAGAGCCGACAGCATCGCCACCTCTGTCTGCAGCAGCCGGTCAATCAGCCTCCGCTCGCCCTTCATCTGAGATGAAAAGCAGAGGATTGGGGTGGGGGAGGGGAGGGGAGAGGTGGGGAAAATAAGGGGGCAAGCAAGCATGATGCTTTGCTTCTACTGACGCACCAGCCTGTTCATCAGCGGCTGACATCACTTTTCAGAATTCTCAAAAGTGATTTCAACATTGCTTCTACTGACGCAGCAGCCTGTTCATCAGCGGCTGCTTACCCTTCATCCGAAGCGAGGCCAAGGAGATGGGAAGTGGGGGAGGAGGGGGAAGAACAGGGTAGGTAGGGTTGGAAGAGCAGGCGAACAAGTGAATTGAGAGAGTGAGAGTGTGAGGGAGGCACCTTGGTATCCAGCCTGAGCTTACCCTTTTGAGTCGACTCAAAAAGTCAGCTATGTCACACGGTGTTTTTTGAGTTTACTCAAAACTGAGAGAGTGAAAGCGTGTGGGAGGCACCTTGGTATCCAGCGTGAGCTTACCCTGAGGCATAGCCACCGTGCTCTATTCATTTGCGTTGGAAGAAGGAGGTGCTTGCGTCACTTTTGAGAACGCCCGAAAGGGAAATTCACACTTTTTCTTTGCAAGTTGTACACAGGTGCCAGATAGGCAGCCAGTCAACATCCTCTTCGTCTCCAGTCTCTAAAATGGATGTCTCAGATGGACCGATGTCTCAAAAACGGATGTCTCTAAAACGGATGTCTTAGATGGTTTCCGTTCTTTGGATCAAGGAAGGCCTCTTCGGATCCTATTCTAGAGGTGCGTGAAAATGATGCGCACTCGTAGTGCAAACAGATCCCTAGTAATAGGCTCTCTAGCTGCGTGTCCCACATAAAGTGTCTAGGTGCATGTGTGCATGAGTGTATGTCTCACATAGTCTTCTAGGATGTCGTTGGCATTGGCCTCCCCTACCACCTCCACAGCACAGCCATTGTTCACACCCACATGCGTATATGCACATGGTCTAGCACACTCATAAGCAGACACCCAATTGTCTAGCTGCATGGCTCACATAGTCCTCTAGGATGTCGTTGGCATTGGCCTCCCCCACCACCTCTGCAGCATACCCATCATCCACCCCTAGCTGCTCCTGCGATGCATCCGACTGCCATGTGGACACATGCATGAGCACATACGCACACGCACACATGCATGCATACGCACATGCGTACATCCACACATACACACATGTGCTCATACATGAACGCACTCATGGACACATGCGCAGATGAGCATGACGGGGACACATGCATGATGGAGACATAATCATGTAAGAAACACCTGATGTCATGGTCATCTGAGAAGCACCCGAATGTCGCACCCACCTGAAAATCATAACCCACCTGAAGATCATAACCCACCTGAACATCAGAACCCACCTGAAGATCATAACCCACCTGAACATCAGAACCCACCTGAAGATTGTCACCCACCTGAAGGTCACCTGAAGGCCCTCCTGGGCTGAGGTAGACAGGGCAGCACACGTGGCGGTACCCCATTAGCTTGGGCACTGTGGGAACGATGTCAGCGCGATTCACAATGCGCCAGCTGTCACGCATGTACTGGAGGAGGGAGAGAGCAGGGGTGGATGGGTGGGTGGGGGGAAAGAGAGGTGATGTGGAGAGAAGGGGAAATTGAAGGAGGGGGGGCAGTAAGAGCTTCAGCATTTCAGGTTTGACGCAGCGGAAAAACAGAAGAGCAAAGCCAAGGCTGCTCTGCGCTGCACACGAGTTTCGCGCCTTAAACATCATGCCATGACAAGGGCTAGGTAGTTGGGGTGACTAACCACGTTGAATCTGGCAACGAAGGCTGCATTGCCCACGCGAGGGGAGCCATAGTTGTACATGGTGAGATGGATGTTGCGCTCCCTGTAGCATGGGGGGTTGGGGGGGGAAAGAGAGGGAGGGCAGAGAAGGATGAAACGACCATAGTTGTACATGGTGAGATCGATGTTGCGATGCCTGAGGGATGGAAGGAGAGGGAGGGCAGCGCGGGAAGGAAGGCAGAGAGGGGAAGTAGAGAAGGAAAGAAGGGTTATAACTGTAGGTGGTGAGATGGATGTTACGATCCCTGAGGGATGGGGCGTGGTTGGGATGAGGAGAGGGACTTCGGGTAGCGAGCGCGATGGTTTAGGGATCAACCTTTGCCCCAGCCCACTCGAATGCGTATCCTCGCTTACACAGTGGATCCCACCTGACCAGGTGAAACAAAAACATCCACCTGACCAGATTTAACAGCACAGCCCACCTGACCACGTGAAAAAAACAGAGCCCACCTGACCAGGTGAAACAGCAGAGGAACTAACCTGACCAGGTTGGACTGGGATAGCTCGTAGGCAAAGAGGGTCGACAGCGCTCCCCCCAGGCTGTGCCCTGTCAGATACACCCGCCACGTGTCACCCTTTGATAGGCTGTCAGCTGCATGGATCGAGGAGTCAGCATCAGCACCCGTATCAGCATCAGCAGAATGAGCGGTGAGCGGTGCAGGGCGGTTGGGGTCGGTGATGATGGCAATGAGGGAGCGCAGGCGAGCACGCACAGAGTCATAGGCAGCAAGGAAACCCCCGTGCACCTGATGGGGGGATGGGAGGTTGTGGTGGTGGTGGGGAGGAAGGAGGGATAGGGGTTGGGGGTTGGGACTTGGGGGACAGTTTTCAAGGCCCCTAAAGAAAAGACACACACAGAGTGTGAACCAGTCTGTGTCTAGGATTCGAGTGAGATTCTGAGACAGAGTAGCATGTGCATTGGCATAGAGAGGGAACTGGATCGACTTGATGTGCACACACTGCCTGAGCTCCTCACCACCATGACGTTATCAGCCTCATAACATGATGCGACACCCCTCTCACCATGACGTCACACCCCTCTCACCATGACGTCACACCCCCCACCATGACATCAAACCCTCCTCTCGCCATGACGTCACACCCCTCTCACCATGACGTCACACCCTTCTCACCATGACGTCACACCCTTCTCACCATGACGTCACACCCCTCGCACCGTGACGTCACACCCCTCTCACCATCACGTCACGCCCGTCTCACCATGACGTCACACCCCTCTCACCATGACGTCACACCCCTCTCACCATGACGTCACACCCCTCTCACCATGACGTCACACCCCTCTCACCATGACTTCTTGGTCAAAATCGCCAGATGAGGTTCGCTCGAAGTCCAGGCTGGAAGGGGAGGAGGGGGAAAGCAAGGGTAGAGGAGGAAGAGAGAGGTGGAAGTAAGGAGAAAGCAGGAAGGAGAACGGGGGAAGTAAGGAGAAAGCAGGAAGGAGAACGGGGGAAGTAAGGAGAAAGCAGGAAGGAGAACGGGGGAAGTAAGGAGAAAGCAGGAAGGAGAACGGGGGAAGTAAGGAGAAAGCAGGAAGGAGAACGGGGGAAGTAAGGAGAAAGCAGGAAGGAGAACGGGGGAAGTAAGGAGAAAGCAGGAAGGAGAACGGGGGAAGTAAGGAGAAAGGGGGAAGCTAGAAGTAGGAAGAAAGGGGGAAGTAAAGAGAAAGAATGAAGAACGGAAAGGGAGAAACAAGGAGAAAGTGGGAAACAAGGAGAAGGGAGGAAGTAAGAGAGATTGTTCCGTCAAAGAAAAAAAAAAAAAAAAAAAAAAAAAAACCTGTTCAGGTTTAGGCTGGAAGGGGAGGAGGAGGGGTACGAGAAAACAGGCAGAGACGGGGATCAGGGTTCAGGGTTCAGGGAGGAGGGAAGGCGACAGGTGATTGTTATGTCAAGGAACAAAGAGCTTTGCTCAAAGTCCAGGCTGCAAGGGGAGGAGGAGGAAGAGGTAGAGAGAAAATGCAGTTGATAGATGAACTCAAGAACTGGTTTCCTCACCCCAGCCTCACCCTCGCCTCACCCTCGCCTCACCCTCGCCTCATCCTCGCCTCACCCTCGCCTCACCCTCGCCTCACCCTCGCCTCACCCTCGCCTCACCCTCGCCTCATCCTCGCCTCACCCTCGCCTCACCCTCGCCTAACCCTCGCCTCACCCCACCCTCTCTCCAATTTCACCCCAGCCCCACCTGCAGCGCACGTCAGGGATACCTCAGTCAACCTCACTCCACCGCTGCTCACCTGGACGGAGAGAGGGAGATGTCTGTGAGCAGGTCCTTTAGCTTCGTCTGCGAGAGAGCGAGCAAGAAGGGGAAGGGGGGAGGTGGGTGGGTCGGGGGGGGGATAAGGGGACGAAATCTCAAGCAATCACAAAAAGTTCCGCAGGAGATGTCTGTGAGTAGGTCCTTGAGCTTCGTCTGCGGGAGAGCGAGCAAGAAGGGGAAGGGGGAGGGAAAAGGAGAAGTAAAGAACGGGGGGAGGGGAGAGAGGAGAGGGGCACAGGAAACATTGGTAAATGGGCATTCAAGTCAAGAGGGCATGGTCGCCACCTGCATACAGCATGGATTGAAGGCATGCTGCGCCTCTTGAGTTGACTCAAAAGTCAAACGCCGGCATACAGCATGGGTTGGAGGCATGCTGCGCCTCTTGAGTTGACTCAAAAGTCAAACGCCGGCATACAGCATGGGTTGGAGGCATGCTGCGCCTCTTGAGTTGACTCAAAAGTCAAACGCCGGCATACAGCATGGGTTGGAGGCATGCTGCGCCTCTTGAGTTGACTCAAAAGTCAAACGCCGGCATACAGCATGGGTTGGAGGCATGCTGCGCCTCTTGAGTTGACTCAAAAGTCAAACGCCGGCATACAGCATGGGTTGGAGGCATGCTGCGCCTCTTGAGTTGACTCAAAAGTCAAACGCCGGCATACAGCATGGGTTGGAGGCATGCTGCGCCTCTTGAGTTGACTCAAAAGTCAAACGCCGGCATACAGCATGGGTTGGAGGCATGCTGCGCCTCTTGAGTTGACTCAAAAGTCAAACGCCGGCATACAGCATGGGTTGGAGGCATGCTGCGCCTCTTGAGTTGACTCAAAAGTCAAACGCCGGCATACAGCATGGGTTGGAGGCATGCTGCGCCTCTTGAGTTGACTCAAAAGTCAAACGCCGGCATACAGCATGGGTTGGAGGCATGCTGCGCCTCTTGAGTTGACTCAAAAGTCAAACGCCGGCATACAGCATGGGTTGGAGGCATGCTGCGCCTCTTGAGTTGACTCAAAAGTCAAACGCCGGCATACAGCATGGGTTGGAGGCATGCTGCGCCTCTTGAGTTGACTCAAAAGTCAAACGCCGGCATACAGCATGGGTTGGAGGCATGCTGCGCCTCTTGAGTTGACTCAAAAGTCAAACGCCGGCATACAGCATGGGTTGGAGGCATGCTGCGCCTCTTGAGTTGACTCAAAAGTCAAACGCCGGCATACAGCATGGGTTGGAGGCATGCTGCGCCTCTTGAGTTGACTCAAAAGTCAAACGCCGGCATACAGCATGGGTTGGAGGCATGCTGCGCCTCTTGAGTTGACTCAAAAGTCAAACGCCGGCATACAGCATGGGTTGGAGGCATGCTGCGCCTCTTGAGTTGACTCAAAAGTCAAACGCCGGCATACAGCATGGGTTGGAGGCATGCTGCGCCTCTTGAGTTGACTCAAAAGTCAAACGCCGGCATACAGCATGGGTTGGAGGCATGCTGCGCCTCTTGAGTTGACTCAAAAGTCAAACGCCGGCATACAGCATGGGTTGGAGGCATGCTGCGCCTCTTGAGTTGACTCAAAAGTCAAACGCCGGCATACAGCATGGGTTGGAGGCATGCTGCGCCTCTTGAGTTGACTCAAAAGTCAAACGCCGGCATACAGCATGGGTTGGAGGCATGCTGCGCCTCTTGAGTTGACTCAAAAGTCAAACGCCGGCATACAGCATGGGTTGGAGGCATGCTGCGCCTCTTGAGTTGACTCAAAAGTCAAACGCCGGCATACAGCATGGGTTGGAGGCATGCTGCGCCTCTTGAGTTGACTCAAAAGTCAAACGCCGGCATACAGCATGGGTTGGAGGCATGCTGCGCCTCTTGAGTTGACTCAAAAGTCAAACGCCGGCATACAGCATGGGCTGGAGGCATGCTGCGCCTCTTGAGTTGACTCAAAAGTCAAACGCCGGCATACAGCATGGGTTGGAGGCATGCTGCGCCTCTTGAGTTGACTCAAAAGTCAAACGCCGGCATACAGCATGGGTTGGAGGCATGCTGCGCCTCTTGAGTTGACTCAAAAGTCAAACGCCGGCATACAGCATGGGCTGGAGGCATGCTGCGCCTCTTGAGTTGACTCAAAAGTCAAACGCCGGCATACAGCATGGGTTGGAGGCATGCTGCGCCTCTTGAGTTGACTCAAAAGTCAAACGCCGGCATACAGCATGGGTTGGAGGCATGCTGCGCCTCTTGAGTTGACTCAAAAGTCAAACGCCGGCATACAGCATGGGTTGGAGGCATGCTGCGCCTCTTGAGTTGACTCAAAAGTCAAACGCCGGCATACAGCATGGGCTGGAGGCATGCTGCGCCTCTTGAGTTGACTCAAAAGTCAAACGCCGGCATACAGCATGGGTTGGAGGCATGCTGCGCCTCTTGAGTTGACTCAAAAGTCAAACGCCGGCATACAGCATGGGTTGGAGGCATGCTGCGCCTCTTGAGTTGACTCAAAAGTCAAACGCCGGCATACAGCATGGGCTGGAGGCATGCTGCGCCTCTTGAGTTGACTCAAAAGTCAAACGCCGGCATACAGCATGGGTTGGAGGCATGCTGCGCCTCTTGAGTTGACTCAAAAGTCAAACGCCGGCATACAGCATGGGTTGGAGGCATGCTGCGCCTCTTGAGTTGACTCAAAAGTCAAACGCCGGCATACAGCATGGGTTGGAGGCATGCTGCGCCTCTTGAGTTGACTCAAAAGTCAAACGCCGGCATACAGCATGGGTTGGAGGCATGCTGCGCCTCTTGAGTTGACTCAAAAGTCAAACGCCGGCATACAGCATGGGTTGGAGGCATGCTGCGCCTCTTGAGTTGACTCAAAAGTCAAACGCCGGCATACAGCATGGGTTGGAGGCATGCTGCGCCTCTTGAGTTGACTCAAAAGTCAAACGCCGGCATACAGCATGGGTTGGAGGCATGCTGCGCCTCTTGAGTTGACTCAAAAGTCAAACGCCGGCATACAGCATGGGTTGGAGGCATGCTGCGCCTCTTGAGGCGCCTCAAAAGTCGTCTCAGTTCCGCGGATTTTTTTAGGCGCCTCATAAGTCAAGAGGGCATGGTCGCGAGCATACAGCATGGGTTGGAGGCGTGCTGCGTCTCCATTCCAGCCCACCAGCCCAATGCCAGAGTGAAATGAGGGTGTTTTTAAGACGTCTCCATTCCAGCCCACCAGCCCAATGCCAGAGTGAAATGAGGGTGTTTTTAAGACGTCTCAAAAATACAGCAGGGGTTGGAGGCGTGCCACGCCTCCAGGCCACCAGCCCAATGCCAAAGCATTTCCCTCACCTGCTCGGATCCTCTGAATGCCGCGACAATCCTTTTCCTCCGCACGTCCCGCCAAACAGCCACTTGAGTGTCCGATTGCGGGTGGTCGATAAAGCAGACCTTGTCAAATCCGTTACTCTGACTTGACAGATGCCTTCTCTCCTCTCCTCGCATCTCACCTGCTCTGTGCCTCTGAACGCCACGACAATCCTCTTCCTCCGCACGTCCCTCCAAACCGCCACTTGAGTGTCCGATTGCGGGTGGTCGATAAAGCAGACCTTGTCAAATCCGTTACTCTGACTTGACAGATGCCTTCTCTCCTCTCCTCGCATCTCACCTGCTCTGTGCCTCTGAACGCCACGACAATCCTCTTCCTCCGCACGTACCTCCAAACCGCCACTTGAGTGTCCGATTGCGGGTGGTCGATAAAGCAGACCTTATCAAACTCCGACTTCACATACGCCCTTGTTGAACCCGTTCATTCCCTCCCCTACCTGCTCGCTGCCACCCACCTGCTCGGTTCCTCTGAACGCCACGACGATTCTCTTCCTCCGCATGTCGCGCCAGACGGCCACTTGAGTGTCGGACTGCGGGTGGTCGATAAAGCAGACCTTATCAAACTCCGACTTGACAAATGTCTGCTGCCCGAGTGAGCTCGCCAGCATGGTCCATGCCTCCACTGCCGTCTCTGCACTCCCTGCTGTCCCCGCCCCCCACACTCCTCCTCGCTCTCGCTCAATCCCAAACATGAACCGTACCTACAACCCACCAGCCCAGTGCCAAAGCCATTCCCTCACCTGCTCGGTTCCTCGGAACGCCACCACAATCCGCTTCCTCCGCACATCGCGCCACACAGCAACTTGAGTGTCCGACTGCGGATGGTCGATGAAGCATACTTTATCAAACTCCGACTTGACAAACGTCTGCTGCCCCAGGGAGCTCGCCAGCATGGTCCATGCCTCCACCGCCGTCTCTGCACTCCCAAACATGCGCAGCGCCTCCTCCTCCTCTTCCTCACTCACTCCCTCACTCGCTCCCTCACTCACTCCCTCGCTTGCTCCCTCACTCTCCTCCCCACCGGTTTCACCCTCGGGTTTCGCTGCTCCCACGCTCTTCGTCTCCCCCTCGACCAATGGCAGGCTGCCAGCTGTGCTGCCAAGCAGGGCGAGCGACCCCAGCACCCCCTCAGTCTGCCGGAAAGCAGCCTTGCGAAGATCATCCAGGGAGGAGGAGAAAGAGGACGGCTCTTGGGAAGCAGTGACATCTGTAGCGGGGCTTGCCTGCCTGTCTGCCCCTTGCCCATCTGCCCCTTGCCCGCTGCTCTGGTCGTACCAGGGCAGGGTAATCCCGAGGTCAACAAGGCTTTTCCGCAGCTCTGCTCGCCGCTGCTCTATCCTCCCCACCAACGCGTTCGTAGCTCCCTCCAGCATCTCCCCTGCTGCTGCCGCTGCACCAGAGCTGCTGCTCTGTCCGTTCGCCCCTTGCCCTTTATTCTGGTCGTACCAGGGAAGGGTGATGCCCATGTCTGTGAGGCTTCTCCTCAGCTCCGCTCGCCGCTGCTCTATCCTCCCTGCCACTGCGCCTGCTGCCCCCTCCAGCAACCCTCCTGCTGCAGCTGATGCAGCAGAGCCCAGATCAAACCCACCAGAAGCAGCAGCAGGGGCAGATTCACTGTTGCTGCTGCTTGAACTGCTGCCAGAGGCACCAGTGCCACTGTCAGTACCACTCATTACCGCCTGACTGAGCTGGTCCAGGGTGCCACCTGGCGGGATCCAGCCTGCCCTGAGTAGCACCTCCCTCGCCAGCCCCACCGCCTGCCTCACCTGCTCCTCCCTGCCACTGCTACCAGTGTCAGCATTTTCTGCACTGATTTCAGCAGACCCTGTTGCTGCTGCTGCTGCTGCTGCTTGTGGCGGGGATTGGGGTGGGACGACCGAGTCTCGGATCTTATCCAGACTCGTTGGGAAGGCGGATGGGGCTCCGAACTGCTGGATGGCAGACCGGACAAACTCGTACGTGGAAATGGCCGGCGACGGTTGGCTGGTAGCGGGAGCAGAGCCGTCGGTGGGAGCGGGGGAGGAGTCGGCAGCAGGTGTGGTGGAGGGTGGTTGCAAGGCTGAAGTGATGACGTCTTGAAAGCCGGAGACGAGAGGGAGCTGGCCTGAGAAAATGTCGTCCAGAGAAGGCAGGCGCCACCTGGGAGGAAGAAAGGGAGGGAGAGAGGGGTGATACATGGGGTTCTGAGCTGCATTAGGATACTAATGCAAGGCTGCTGTGATGACGCCTTGAAATCCGGAGACGAGAGGGAGCTGGCCTGAGAAGATGTCATCGAGAGAGGGAAGGCGCCACCTGGGAGGGAAAAGAGAGCATGGAAGTCTGAATTAGCACTAGAAATTACTGCGTGGTTGCAAGGCAGCAGTGATGACGTGTTGAAAGCCGGAGACGAGAGGGAGCTGGCCTGAGAAGATGTCATCGAGAGAAGGCAGTCGCCACCTGGCAGGGAGGGAGGGAGGGAGAGAGGGGTGTGGTGCAACGTGGAAGTCTGAGTTAGCAAGCACTAGGGTATCACTGCCTGGTTGCAGGGCGGAAGTGATGACGTGTTGAAAGCCGGAGACGAGAGGGAGCTGGGCTGAGAAGATATCGTCCAGAGAGGGCAGGCGCCACCTGGCAGGGACGGAGGGAGGGAGGGAGAGGGAGGCGCCACCAGTGTCATGCCACCGTTCTAGGGAGGGAGAGAGAGGAAGAGTAAAAAATGGGGTCCGAACTAGCATTAGGGAGTCATTGGTGAGAGAGGAAAACAGAGAGGGGTGATCCTTCTCCGATGCCTGGTTGGAAGGAAGGCGGCAGTGGTGAGACGTCTTGAAAGTTGAAACCACTCACCTCCTCCGCTCCTCCTCTGCCAGCTCTGCAAAGCTGCGGTAGCAAACCAGGAGTAGAAGCGGTAAATCTACCCCTGTCATACCAACCATGCCAGTCTTACCAGCCACACCATCCCCCGCCTCACCTCCGCCTCTCCTCCTCCGCCAGCTCTGCAAAGCTGCGGTAGCGGACTGCTAGCTTCAGCGTGGCCCCTCCTCCCGGGCCCTCCAGAGCCACTTCGTGCTCGTGAGTCTCCCCTGTGCATGCATGCACACACATGCGGGATGGATTGTGGGACGGAATAGATTTCTAAGGGCCTTCTGGAGCAAGATCACACTCGTGGGTCTCGCTCGGCATGCACCCACGTCTGAAATGACTTATAGACAATTTACGAGGCGCATACAGAATGAGGTGACTTTTGAGTCGACTCAAAAGTCACCTCATACAGAATGGAACGGATTCCAGACATGCGCGTTGAAGGAAAGGAGGAAAATCGATGCATAAGCTTGTTCAGTGGTAGTGGGATTGGTGACTTCCCAAGGCGTTAAGTGATTCTGATGCATTGAAAAAGAACGTGGAGAATAATGGGAGTCACAAGGATGCTACCGTCCAGGAGATCGTCCAATCGGATTGAGGCATTTCCGAGGCGACGGGGTGCGATGACGATTCCATCGTCCCACATGGACAGCTGTGATTGGTGGAAGGGGTGGGGAAAAGGGGGATAAGAGAGCAGTAAATGACTAATTTAACACAGTTGTGATTGGTGGACAAAGGGAGAACGAACGAGTGGAGGAAGTAGGCATGGATAAACATGTGGGATCCGTGGGGAGAAGAAGGAAGGAATGTCGAATGAGGGTTTAGGGGTGGGAGATGAGACCGGAGGAAAGAGGGAATGGAGGGCAAGGGGAAAGGGAGAGAGAAACGACCCGGAGAAGAACGAGAAATGGAGATGAGAGGGGATGAGAGGAACGAGAAGAGGAGGTTAAGAGGAGGCGACGAGGAAGGAGAAATAGAAGTTGATACAAGCAGGAGACCAAATTTTGACAGGTGCTGCCGTTTCCACCTTGAGGTACTTGGGGGAGGTGTCATCTGCCTTCACCAGCAGACGGATCTCCTCATTCCACTCCGGTGCTGTGCTCCTGGGGACATCACGGTGTGTGTGTGTGTGCGCGCGTGCGTGCGTGCGTGCGTGTGTGTGTGAGTGAGGGAGTGTGTGTGCGATGGTGGGTGCAGTGCAGTAGGAGTGACATGGAGACAAGATGATGATTGAGTCGACTCAAAAGGCCACATGCTCCTTGTGATGTGTGATGGACACGTGGACGTGTGATGGTCACGTGGACGTGTGATGGACACGTGGACGTGTGATGGACACGTGGACGTGTGATGGTCACGTGGACGTGTGATGGTCATGTGGACGTGTGATGGTCATGATTTTTGGGGACATGTGTGTGTGATGGTGCGTGCAGCAGGTGAAGTGAAGTGGCACGTGAATCACACAGAGAAGTGGCACGTGAATCACACAGAGAAGTGGCACGTGAATCACACAGAGAAGTGGCACGTGAATCACACAGAGAAGTGGCACGTGAATCACACAGAGAAGTGGCACGTGAATCACACAGAGAAGTGGCACGTGAATCACACAGAGAAGTGGCACGTGAATCACACAGAGAAGTGGCACGTGAATCACACAGAGAAGTGGCACGTGAATCACACAGAGAAGTGGCACGTGAATCACACAGAGAAGTGGCACGTGAATCACACAGAGAAGTGGTAAGAGTCGGTTTCTTTCCTGAGGCACCTAAAAACAAACACCCACTTTCCGCCGTCAGGCACACCCACTGGTTTCTTTCTTTCCAGGAGGCACCATCCTCCTGGAAACAAGCGGGTGTGCCTGACGGCGGGTGCAGAGCTGAAGAAGAGATGATTTCCATGGAAAGCGACAGAGGGTTAGGGAGGGAGCAAGAGAGCATAGAGAGTAGAGGTGAAAGACTCACGTCCAGATGGTGCGCGTGCGTACAGATGCCTCCCCCACCGATGCCTGAACGTAGGGGTCGCTGGTGCCCTGGCAGGGAGTGGAATGGGCAGAGTAGCATCGGGTGGCTGTGGGGGTGGTTGAGGGAGTGACTGTGTGGGATGTAATAGGAATGTGGGTGTGGCTGTGGGGGTGGTTGAGGGAGTGACTGTGTGGGATGTAATAGGAATGTGGGTGTGGCTGTGGGAGTGATGCAGTTTGATGGAAATGCGATGGGATTGCACGGAGGGGAGTGCGAGGAGGGTAGTGCAAGAAGGGGTGCGAGGAGGGTAGTGCAAGAAGGGGAGTGCGAGGAGGGGAGTGCAAAGAAGGGGATTGCGATGAGGGGAGTGCGAGAAGGGGAGTGTGAGAAGGGGAGTGCGAGAGAGGGGAGTGGGGCATGGTTGGAAGGGTATGGCGTGATCCTGCCTGCATGCTATAACGCACGCTCTGAAGATCCCTAAACGACAGAACAAACATGCTAGTAACCCAAGAAAAGGGCTCCAGTGCGAGAAAAACAGGACTGCGTGCATGCTGTATGCCCATGCCAGCAGCACAGCCAGCAGAGCGGCCAAGATCAAACCTAACCGTTAACGGTTGACAGCTGACTCGACTTAACAGGCCCAGCCATGAGGCAACACGCCCGGTCACGCCCCTCCAGTCCTGTGCTCATGCGAATAACACCAAGGCCTCCAGCTTCCACCCACCCAGAGATCAACGGCCGGCACGTCAGAGGCAGATTGGACGGCCACGATTAGCTGGCCGGAGTAGAGCTCGTAGGCAAAGCCGTAGGATGTGAAGATGGTGCGACAGCCCCCCACGTCCTCCTCCCACAGGGTCTCCTTGTCCTCCTGTGCCAGGCAAAAGGGGGCGTTCCATTGCATTGCATTCAAGAGCATTGCACCGCATTGCATTGAGTTGCATCTCATTGTTTTTCATTGTACTTGTCCACCTGCGCCAAGCTGAGGCAAAGCATTGCATTGTGCTGCATCAATCAAGGTAATTTTTGAGTCGACTCACAAGTCACAAGCTCTCCTTGTACCCCTGTGGCAAGCAGAGCAGCTTGCTGGAGTGCCTTGCATCGCTTCATTACGTCAAACCCTTCTGGTGTCACATTGTGACTAACTTAAAGCCGTCCTTCTCTTGAGTTTTTTCAAACACGACAATGCCGCACACCGTACAGTGCGCACGTTTAAATTAGCGTGCCTTAAAGCACGCGAAAACACTGCATGCTGCTCAGTGCTCACTGCACGCTGCACTGCACTCTGCTCGTGCTCTCTCACTGCACGCACCTGGGGAGTGTTGTACGACTCAAACGCGAATCCCGCCAGCAGCACCGCCAGATTGAGGTCGAACGGCGGGCGATCAGCCGATGCCAGGCACACTGCATCCCCCTCCTCCCCCTCCTCTGTCGCTACCGCTGCCACCCTCACCCCCGACTTGACAAGGTGTTTTCCACTTGGGGGGGTTTGATTTCCAAGAATGGAGGCACATGAAGGGGACGTGCGGGAGAGAGCGGTGATTCTGGTAGCAGCGAGTGGCGAACGCGCGACGGATTGGTTAGTGCGAGGATACCTGAGGGATGCACAGCACAGAGTGAGAGAGGTGGAGGAGTGAGAGGGGTGGTGAGAGGTGAGGGGTGAGAGGGGTGGGAAGGGTGGAAAAATGGGAGGGTTGAGATGGGTGAGAGGGAGTGCGACGGTTGAGAGGAGGTGTTCCAGGAAGGCACGCTCGGGCGAGTGCAAGGCAAGTTGTGAGACGCCTCGAAGCTGTTTCAGGAGAACGAATGACTGAGGCAGTCACGCACGAATGCGAGAGGCCAATGACGAATGAGTTGGAATTTGCGGAGGTTGAGCGAGGGGCTAATCTGCCGGAACTTCCGTGCAGCTGAGCGAGCTGAATGCGACAAGATTGTTACAGTGCGACGCATGCACCAAGGATTCGCTAACGAGTGCGACGAGGACGTTCAGTGCGACGGGTTTGTGCACAGACATGCGACGAGAGCATGCGACGTGTGACGAGAGGGATGGGACGAGAAGGATGCGACGAGAGGGATGGGACGAGAGGTATGCAACAACCTGAAGCGCAGAGCTCGCGAACAATCGCGACCGCATCCTGCATCTTGCGACGTCGCATTAATCCGGAGCGATTTCGGGAGAAGCTGGGTCGAAAGAGTCCGCAACGTGGAAGCCATGGTCTCAGTCGCAATACTCCTACTTGCGATGGTCCCACTGGCTATTTTCCTGATTGCGGTCTTCGCACCAGCTTACTGGTAAAACCGAGCAACGGCCTTCCCAATTTTGCTACTAGCGAATGCGTCGAATGCGTCGCCACTCCACTTCAGGTTCCCTGGACGGAGAATGAGTGGATAAGGTGGTGTGGTGGGGTGTGTTTGTGGGAGAACCTTGGACAAGCCTGGATTCTCGTGGCACAGGGGTGGAGGAGCCTAGAATTTCGACCTCCTGGATTTTGCCGAGAAAGCCAGGTTCGGGCATTCACCTCGAGATTCCGCTAAAAAACCAGGTCTGTAGGTCGTGTTTCTTATACCAGAATTGACAAACGCAGGATGCGGAAACTGGACTAGAAGTGTAATCCGGCCTCGTGTCAAGCATTCTCAAGAATATGAAGTGACTGTTACTGGCCAAAGAGCTTTCTCAGAACGAAATAGGATCGAAATATTACCGAATCCGTAAATGCAAACTAGTTTCTATTTATTTTAGAATACCACTTCAGAGCTGACCCACACGAATTGGAGGTCGAGACCAATCAGAAGGCAGCACGACATCCCACTAATCCAGATACTGCACTCGAATTTGTTTTGCTTTAGGTTACAGATAGGAAGGAACAGTTTCTCTTGACGGATCTCCTAATAGCGAAGACGCCATCCGCAAACCCGCCCCATCCATCCATGCATAATTTCCACACACAAGTCTGTTATTTACAATTACAGTTCATAAACCCATTCAGTTACCACATTTCCTATTGTAACACTGCATTTTACAAAAAGGTTGGACACGATCAGCTTCCGTTCACAAGACGGCACGCCCGCTGCGCGTACGACGAATCGTCTAACACACGTTACTGGAATCAGTGTGCGCGCGAACAAGGGTACAGCATTGCGTCCTGCCCGCTACAGTAATTTTCGTTCAAGCGTGGAATTTTCGCTTGTGCGTGAATTTCTGTGCGATGATAGACGAGGCAACCAGTTACCTCGTTTTCCACGAACTGTAGAAATTTGTGTGCAGAGGGTTGTGTCCGCGCGCTGGAAGGCCCAATCCTTCGGACTCGACTCACCTTATATTCGTTTTTTGGTACAGTGAGATTTTTTGAGCCGGGAAACGTGTGAAGGTACTAATATTCCCAAAATGTACGCGCTGGACACGCCCTTAGTTAGCTGTGTGTTAGGAACCACGTGTGGCAGGAGCCATCACGAGGAGCCATGGCATCTGAAGATCCTATAGTGCAAATAGAGGACGAGCCGCTTCATAAGATAGTATTCTCCAACGATCGCGTTCGCGTTTTTTCAGCCACGATCCCAGCGGGAGCCGAAACTCTCTTCCACCGCCACGCGTGCAACACCTACTTCATCGCCGTCAGCGGCGGGGCCTACCGCAAGCAGATCTACGGCCAGGAGTGGCTCGACACCGCCTTACCCAGTCGCGTGGGCTTCTGCGCGAACTACACCACGCATCCAGAAATCCACAGGGTAATTTCCCTTCAAATTAATCCAGAGCCAATGTACATAGTCGCCGTTGAAGTGTTTCCCACTAAACCAGGTCCAGAAGCATCAGCAGCAGTTACGGACACAGCCAGCGTTAGCGAGCCTCAAGGAGAAATTTTGCAAAAGTCAAGTCCTCTCAAGGGTGCAGAGCTCAAGGGGAGTGGTTGGGAGAGAGACAAGAGCGGCGAGTGGCCTGACATTGCCATCCACCATCTCACTCTGCAACCGGGCCAGAGCACGGGAAAGCATGCGATTCCCTTCCATGGTGTGTGGATATCACTCACTGATGGGGACATTTCAGGGTCTGGAGATGGTGGTCCCTTCTGGACTGAGCTGGGGAAAGCAGGAGCCAGTGTGTACTGGCAACGTAGGGATGATGTGGAATTGAGTAATGAGGGACCAAGCAACTACGAGGCTGTTCTTCTAGAGCTGCTTTGAAATCCCGTAGTATTCCAGAGAAGTAATAAGCTTTGAAGCAAACAAGCTTTGTCCCCACCATACTCAAGAGCAAAATTTGCTGCTCAACCAAATTTGCCTACTCAGAATAGCAACCCTATCCTCCCCCCCTAAAACCTACCCATGCTACAACCAAGTTCCTTCACAACAATCTAGCCTAGTAGACGAAGGGCACAATGCGCCAAGGCACAATCCTACAATACTCCTTCCAGACCTCCGTATACTTGGCTCTGCACCTAGCCTCATCCCGGCGCTCTCTCCAGAGCAGAAGGATGAGCAGATAGATAGGGTAGAAGTAGGGGCAGAGGGAGTAGAAAGCACAGGGCAGGCTGTAAGAAAGTGCCAGCATCAAATCGCCCAAGTAGTTGCAGTGGCGAGCTATGCCCCAGTACCCCGAGACCAGCAGTCTGCCGCCAACAACACGGGGTGTTTTACCCCAGATTTTAGCCGTTGGGTCGTGCTTGAATATGTGCTTCTGGCGGTTGGCACCACGGAACACGGCGTAGCCAACAACGAAAACGGCGACTGTGATAATAGCGAAGGGAAGAGAGACGGTGGAGGCGATACTGTTGCGAGCAGTGCCGTGAGCCAGCAGCCACCATGCCTGGACGGAGAAGGTGAAAGGGATCCAGATCAAATCCCCGAAAACCAGCATAAAGCCGAAATTCTCGGCAATAATGTCCCACGTCGACGTCATGTACTCTTCGAACCAGAAATAGTCCAGGACATAAATAGCGGTGAAGATCTGATACAGGAACATAGGAAGCGTGATCAGAGGGAGAGTGGTGATGCTGCTGCTGGCGATGCTGGCCGGAAGGATGGCGGTGAGATTCAACGAGGCGAGAGTGATCGCGTGTGAGGTGTCGGGGAGTTTCAGCAGAAGCTCATGCTGCTTCGCTGCGATGGAGAGGTTTATCAGCAGCCATCCCATCATGGCGGGTCGAAGACAGAAGAACTTGAGATCGAGCCCGAACACGGACGGGTTTAGCTGTACTCCGTAGATGAAATCACTGATAAAGTTGCCGTGGAATTTCGGTTTCAGGGAGGAAGATTTGGCATTGGTTGAGAAGACTCCCGCGAGGTAGAGCGCGAGGGAGAGGAGTACAGTAATGGCGAAAGTCGTCGCGAAAAGTTCGCCAGCTAGATCGGCGACGATGGTCGCGGAGAGATGTCCGGATTGGACACCGTAGCCGAGGAGAGCGAGGAGGAGCAGGAGCACGCGGAAGCCGTTGCATTTGTAATGGAGGCGAGTCCCGTCGGAGAGAACTGTTCCAGGAAGCACTTTTCCGGGAAGAATCGAGCCTGCTACGATGAGAAAGGCGACGTAGGCTGAGAGGATCACAACGGCGCGCAGTGAGGGGAGGCCCGCGACAGGGCAGCTGGTGTTCAGCCACCGCTCTGCTAGAGAAGCCATGGCTAGAAGCTCGAGGCCAGATCCTATATTCTAGGAGACAATTTGGGTATGCGCAATTGGCTGAAGAAAAAGGAGAGGGAATGATGAAGGGGAGACTGAAAGGGCGCATTCTTTAACCCTGCTTCAAGTTCGTGGAACACAAATTTCACACTGAGGATGAAAGTTTATGTAGAGGGAGAAACATATACATCACAATTCAAGGTGTCAATTGTGTAAAAACACGGGGAACTGAACTGCTGAAAAAATATACACAAACAAAACTGAAGCAGAACGACATGATCACTATCGGAAAATACGCCCGAAGAGCAGACAGGCCTCGTCATTGTCAACCTGCCTACGGGATTGGTTCCAACCTCGAGAATACCGCAGCTCATGCTTTTCATCTTCTCAGGCTGCTGAATCTCAGATTCCGATGGTAGGTCCTTACTATCCAGTACTCTGTCAGGTAGCCATGATCATCTCGCTCAAAGTCGCTTAACAAAACCGTGTCCCTTATTTCGGATATTGAATTCGCTTGGCTTCAGCGTGGCGAAACCGGCGGTATAGCATGGAAACGGACCCCTGGAGTGGACCTGCTTCGATACCCTACACTCAGCTTCAGCAGCTACAGCAGCAGCAGCAGCAGCAACAGCAAGGGCAGCAGCCATATGGTTACCCGTACACGCCATCCTCGATAATAGGTCCTCCTCCTCCCGCTTCTCAAATTCAAGGCACGATGCGATCCTTCGCGCAGCTCTCCACGTCGGATCGCTTCGGCCGGCCGTCCGCTGGCGCCGATGTAGGATCCAAGCGGAAACGCGCGGGAAAGCTGGACGCGATGATTCAGGGAAACCCTAAGATTCTCCTGGCGGCCAGTCCCGTGTTTCAAGGCCGGTACACGGATAAGAGCCTACCGTTCGAGCTCGTTCCGGTACTGACACGTGGCGGCGAAGTCTCCGTGCAGATTCGCGTGCGCGTCGATGTAAGAAGCAGCCATAAGAGGAATCATCAAGGATTAGCAACTTGCTGTTGCGTAACAAGTTGAAGCGTTTGGACTCGTTCCAAAACCATCCGGTTTGAAGCGTTTGGCCTCAGCAAGAGTTGCGTTCCCCATGTTAAAATTTCAACTTTAGCCGCGTGATGGGTTCCAGGCTCCGTCAATTCAGTGCATGGATCTATCTGGTGTCAAACCGTTATTCCCCCTCCCCGTACCTCTGTTCGTGAGCCTTCCTTCTGGTGAACCCCCCTGTCCCTTAACTCCGCTTTATGTAAACTTTGTTATTCATGAACCCTCATTTCCATTATCCATATACCCCCCTTTTCGCAAACCGCTTTTCCCCAAACCCCCTTCCTCTACCCTTCAGGATCGCACGAGCTTCACAGCGAAGGGATCGTCTAGGACGAGGAAGGAGGCAGAGCGGCAGTGCGCCATCGACACGTGCTTCCATCTCAAGGTACCTTATACTTCGTCCTGTTTATCGATATTTATCATTGTTAATGATGCCATTTTGGCATTATCAAAAGAGACTTACAGAAGGTCGTTCTCACATCATAGACAGACAGCTTACCATTGTGTCTCCGCTTCCAAACGTGTCAACAGCCTACACGCATGTGTTCATGTGCTCATATGCACCCGTCCCTCCCCTTTCCCTCTGGCTAACCCCCGTTCTCCCCCTCTCTCCCTCTCCATCGCCTCCCCCCCTCTCGCTCTCCTCCCCCAGGACCTAGATCTACTACGCCTGCCTGAAGAAGCGGCCCCTCCTCTTGCTGTTATCTCAGGCAGTGGACCCGGATCAAGTGGAAGGGGAGGAGGGGGAGGCGGAGGAGGAGGAGGGGGAGGAGGGGGAGGGAGCAGTGGCGGGCTGTTGTCTGTGTGGGCGGAGAACCCGAAGAACTTTCTGCAGCACTGTCCGGTGTTCAAGGACTGGATCGTCCACAAGGGAGGCAAGCTCAACATCCGCGTCTCCTCTGCAGGCCCCGACCATGGCAAGGTGCGCTGATACCTTGGGTTTTCAGGTTCAGGAAAGGTCCAAGTCACCGGCGAGTTGGCCCCAAAACGCCCTTTCTGCAGCACTGTCCGGTGTTCAAGGACTGGATTGTAAGAAAGGGAGTTAAGCTCAACATCCGCGTCTCTTCTGCAGGCCCTGACCACGGCAAGGTACGTTGGTGACTGTCCACATTTGGTGGTAGCACATCACAGCACTGATCATTCGGTGGGTGTTCAGTCAGTGTCCCCCCCCTCCTCTCTTCAATCTTCCCTTAAGCCTATCTCCCCCTCCCTTTTCCCCTCTGTTCCCCCCATCCCCCCTCCGCTCCCCCTTCCCCAGGTGTCCTACGCGGAACTCGATGTGCCATTGGGAAGGAAGGAACTGCAGTGTGGCGTACGTACGTCCTCCTGTAACCCCCATCCCCACCCCACTTTCCCCCTCCGTCTTTCTTCCCCCTTCCCCAGGTGTTCTACGCAGAGCTCGATGTGCCGTTGGGGAGGGGGGGCGGGAAGACCCACTGTTCCACGTCCCTTCAATCTTCAAGCAAAACTTCCTTTATTCCCCTCTCCCTTTCCTTCCTTCCCCCTCCCCAGGTGTTCTACGCGGAACTCGATGTGCCGTTGGGGAGGGGGGGCGGCGCGCGGGTGTGGGTGGCGAGGGGGAGGGGGCGCAACAAGGCGGACGTGGAGAGGAACTGCTGTGTAGCGTATATTCTGCTCTTCTCCCCTCTGTACTCACGCGGTTGCCCTTTCTGTTGTACCTCCCGCCCACTGTCCCCCCTCCCTCCGTCCTCTACTTTCCTCCCGCTTCCCCTTCCCTCTCCCCCTCATCCCCCCATCCGTCCCCCTCCCAGGTGTTCCACGCAGAGCTCGATGTGCCGTTGGGGAGGGGGGGCGGCGCGCAGGTGTGGGTGGCGAGGGGGAGGGGGCGCAACAAGGCGGACGCGGAGAGGAACTGCTGTGTGGCTGCCTGTGAGCGCCTGCACGAGCTGGGGCTGCTCAAGGCGCCCTCCTCCTCCAACCTTGCTGTCCTGGGAGGGCAGAGCGGTGGTGGAGGCATGCTGGCGAAGGATCAGGGACAGGTGCGTGCATTGCGTGCAGTGCGTGATACATCGTTCAGTGGACCCCAAAGTTACTGATGTGTGCGGCATGTGAGTGCCTGCATGTGAGTCCCTCGTTGCCCTTTTCTCTCTCCCTCCCTTCCAACCAGACCCCCCGCCTCTCCCTCAATTCATCCGACATCACCCTTCTACAGGACGTCCTCTCCGAGTTCCATTCTAGCCTGCTATGCATTCCCCCTTTTCCACAATCCTTCGTTCCCCCTTTCCCCCATGCAGACCCCTCGCCTCTCCCTCAAATCCATCGGACATCACCCTTCTAGTGACGTGCTCTCCGAGTTCCACTCCAGCCTCACCAAGCCACCATCTCGTGAGGCGCCCCCAAGCTCCTTCTGATTCCTTTCTCATTTTCTCCCCCCCTCTCCCAACCAGACCCCACGCCTCTCCCTCAATCCATCTGACATCGCCCTTCTAGAGGACGTCCTCTCCGAGTTCCACTCCAGCCTGCCCAAGCCACCGTCTCTCCCTCCTCCCTCCCACTCGCCTCCTCTCCCCTCCCACCCTCCCGACTCCACCACCCAAGGCAATGGCTTGCTTCCCCGCCCTCACTCCACAGGCACTCTCCATTCCTCCTCCTCCTCGCTCCCGTACCCCTCTGGTTCTGCCTCTAAAGCAGCAGCAGCAGCAGGAGGAGCAGCAGCTGCAGCGGCAGCGGCAGCAGCAGCAATGGATGTATCTGGGCCGTACCCGAGGGATCCTTACCTGGATGAACGGTTCAGATTGGCTGCTGAGAGGAAGAGTGCGGCAAGGGAGATGGGGGACAGGTGGAGGGCGAGGGAGAGGCTACCAGCGTGGAAGGAGAGGGATGCAGTGGTGCGCATGGTGCAGGGGAATCCAGTGTCACTCATTGTTGGGGAGACTGGCTGTGGCAAGACCACCCAGGTAGGGGACTAGGATTCAAGCAAGGCAGAGGGCGAGGGAGAGGCTACCAGCGTGGAAGGAGAGGGATGCAGTGGTGCGCATGGTGCATGCAAACCCAGTGTCGCTCATTGTAGGGGAGACTGGCTGCGGGAAGACCACACAGGTAGGGGGATACACATTCAACAGGCCTTTCAGGCGCCTCAAACATGCTCTGTCAGGCGGAGTGGCGGAGTGGAAGGAGAGGGATGAGGTGGTGCGAATGGTGCATGCAAACCCAGTGTCGCTCATTGTAGGGGAGACTGGCTGCGGGAAGACCACCCAGGTAGGGGGATACACATTCAACAGGCCTTTCAGGCGCCTCAAACTTGCTCTGTCAGGCGGAGTGGAAGGAGAGGGATGCGGTGGTGCGCATGGTGCAGGCAAACCCAACCCTCTGCTGTTTGATGGTCGAGTCAAGGTTCGGCCCGACCCTGTGCTCATGCCTCGGGGCCGTCCCCAGACTGGCCCGGCACGAGTCAGTTAGAGGCATGCAAGCATGTCCGTCCCCAGACTGTTACAGACAGGTCGGCCCTGCCCGTGTTTTGGGCAAACCTGTCGTCGTAACTCATGGCTTGGAAGAGCTGCAGTGCTAGAGAAAGCTTTTAGCAAGAAAAGAAAGAGAGTTAAAAAACCCTTGCTACGAGAAAACCCTTGCAAGCATGTCCTTGTTACAGACAGGTCGGCCCTGCCCGTGTTTTGAGCAAACCTGCCTGATGCTCATGTCTTTGCCACGCCATGGTTCCATTGCACACCAACACCATGCACTACATGTGATGTTTCTGAGAGCTCTCAAGAGTCGCCATGCCATGGTTGCACACCAAGCCATTCAATTCAAGTCATCTGGTGTTTCGTCCTCTGTAATGAGTCGTGTTTTGAGTCGACTCAAAACACGACCCAAGCCATTCAATTCAAGTCATCTGGTGTTTCGTCCTCCTCCTTGGATGCTGGCAGGTCCCTCAGTTTATTCTTGAAGATTCGGAGCGAAACGGCACCGCTAGCAGCACGCACATTATAGTCACTCAGCCTCGCAGAATTGCAGCGTTGAGTGTGGCAGAGCGTGTGGCGTGGGAGAGGGGCGAGGCGTTGGGGGACAGTGTGGGGTACCGCATTCGGCTGGACAGCAAGCCACCCAGGGCTAGAGGCAGCATCCTCTTCTGCACTGTCGGCATCCTGCTGCGGCGAATGCAGGTGCGTTTGTATGTAGGGTGATTTTTGTGCTGTGCCGGTTGGAGAGGGGCGAGGCACTGGGCGACAGTGTGGGGTACCGCATTCGGCTGGACAGCAAGCCACCCAGGGCCAGAGGCAGCATCCTCTTCTGCACTGTCGGCATCCTGCTGCGGCGAATGCAGGTGCGTTTGTATGTAGGGTGATTTTTGTGCTGTGCCGGTTGGAGAGGGGCGAGGCACTGGGCGACAGTGTGGGGTACCGCATTCGGCTGGACAGCAAGCCACCCAGAGCCAGAGGCAGCATCCTCTTCTGCACTGTCGGCATCCTGCTGCGGCGAATGCAGGTGCGTTTGTATGTAGGGTGATTTTTGTGCTGTGCCGGTTGGAGAGGGGCGAGGCACTGGGCGACAGTGTGGGGTACCGCATTCGGCTGGACAGCAAGCCACCCAGGGCCAGAGGCAGCATCCTCTTCTGCACTGTCGGCATCCTGCTGCGGCGAATGCAGGTGCGTTTGTATGTAGGGTGATTTTTGTGCTGTGCCGGTTGGAGAGGGGCGAGGCACTGGGCGACAGTGTGGGGTACCGCATTCGGCTGGACAGCAAGCCACCCAGAGCCAGAGGCAGCATCCTCTTCTGCACTGTCGGCATCCTGCTGCGGCGAATGCAGGTGTGTTTGTGAGCGTGAGTTGCTCTGGTTAGTCTCCCCTCAGTGCCAAGCGTGTGGGGTGCACAGGTTTCTGCTACGCTGTATACGGTGCACGAGCAGTGTTATCACATTCGCAACACAAGGGCGGCATGTGCACCGTCCTGCTTGTGGGGCGGCATGTGCACCGTCCTGCTTGTGGGGCGGCATGTGCACCGTCCTGCTTGTGGGGCGGCATGTGCACCGTCCTGCTTGTGGGGCGGCATGTGCACCGTCCTGCTTTGCCTGCACTTACCTTGCTTCCCTATCTTGCCTCATCTTGCCACACAACCCCCACCATGCCATAACATTCCCATCTTTCCCACCTCTCCCATCATTCTCATTATTTCTGTTCTCCCCAGAGTCCGGAGGGCATGGAGGGGGTGAGCCACGTGATAGTGGACGAGGTGCATGAGCGGGACATGGACACCGACTTCCTCCTCATCGTGCTCAAGCAGATGCTCTCCTCCCCCACCGTGCCCTCTCGTATCCGTGTGGTCATCATGAGCGCCACCATCGATGCCGATCTCTTCACCTCGTGAGTTACCATTGCCTCTCTCCTTTGCGAGTTACCAATTGTGTGAGGGTGGGGAGAGATAGAGCCAAGCAGATGCTCTCGTATCCGTGTGGTTATCATGAGCGCCACCATTGATGCCGATCTCTTCACCTCGTGAGTCACCAGCGTCTGTAACGAAACCTGTTACTTCATGTGTTACCATTGCCCTTGTAATGGTAACAATAGAAATCCAAACAGATGCTCTCCTCCCCTGCTGTACACTCTCGCATCCGTGTGGTCATCATGAGCGCCACCATTGATGCTGATCTCTTCACCTCGTGAGTTCTGATGGACCCGTTACTTCATGTCTTACCATTGCCCTTGTAATGGTAACAATAGAAATCCAAACAGATGATCTCCTCCCCTGCCGTACACTCTCGCATCCGTGTGGTCATCATGAGCGCCACCATCGATTCTGATCTATTCACTTCACCTCGTGAGTCGTAATGGACCTACTACTTCGTATATTACGAGTTCCTCTTCAGTTTGTGAGCTGCCATTCCCCATGTGAGACTCGCCAGAGCGAGCCAAGCAAAAGCTGGGTGGCTATCACGAGCCAAGCAATCCTCTATCATTGTTGTTTTGTTCACCTTTGTGAGATGTCAATGCCTTAGGAAGTTCAGCCAAAGCGAGTCAAGTAGATGCTATTACCTGTTAGTCGTACAAGCTGGTTTTTGAGAATTCTCAAATACAAATGCTGCTTGGCTTGCCAATCATGCATGCAAGCCCATACGCATGTGCAGATGCTGTATATGCACGTATTGGGTTGGCGGTTCCCTCAAAATGACTCACTGTATCCTTGAGGGTTGGAGAAGGGGTGCCACTAGGATTGAGGGCATAGTCCTTCCTTGGTAGTCGCAACCACCGTATGACTGGTTTGGTTTGGCCGTCTATCAGTGGTCAGTCGTATCGTATGTCGCCCGGTATCAGCGAAGCAGGTCAACACACTGATGGATGGAATACACAAGTCAGGGCGAGTGCACATCATCTCGCGTATGAGCTGGTGGCGAGCTGACATATTGATGGAATATGCCAGGTCAGGGCGGTTGGACATCAAGTGGTTCATGAGTTGTTGGCGAGCCAACGCACTGATGGGATAAGCCATGTCAGGGCGAGTGCACATCATGGGCAGAGGAGGACAGTCTGGTTAACCAAGGATGTGAAGACGGACAGTGATTTTGGTGGCCGAAAGGAAGGGATGGGAAGACGGGCTGAACCAAGGACATGCCTCCCCACCGCACGCCATCGCATTCATGAGATTGTCATGATCGTTACTATGGATAGTGGTAACTTTGTAGGTGCAAGTAATGTACAGGGCATATGTACAGACGAGGGTGGAGGCAAGGAGGAGGCTCTCTATAAAGTGATTGCATGGAGGAATGGATTACGGAGCAATCAATGCAAGCGGGTCAAACTTAGAAATCGTCTGCGTTGCTTCAAGGAGGTTTCACTAATTTCTGCATCTGACATATCGATGGGATACGCCGATTTCACTAATACCTTGCTCTTGTTCAAGCTATGCCTGTGTCTCATGATTTTTCAACATCAATTTATAACATCCCTTACTTTTTTTTCCTCGTTACTTCTCTGTTGGATATCTAATTTCTACCCGACTGCTTCTTTCTTCCTTGAACATACCACAATCCTGCTTACTCCAGTCAGCTTACAGACTTTCTCCTACCCCCCCCCCTCCCTCCCCCGTTCCTTCCCCTCCCTGCGTGGCACCAGCTCACTCACTCGTCTTTTCTCGATCTCACTCGCCGGCAGCAGCAGCCTCGTTCCTCTCACCTGCTCCAAGTGGGCTTGTCAAATAGAGGCTCAGCAGCAGTGGCAGAGGCATTGGCAGCAGCAGTGGCAGCACCGGTGGCAGCAGGGGTGGTAGCAGGTGGTGCCTCAGCTGCTTTGTCTGCGTCCTTCTTTAATTATATATTTCTGCTCCCACCTGCCGCCACGCCACCTGCTGCCACCTGTTGCCACTGCTGCCACTGCTGCCACGCATTCGTCGTGCTGCTGCTGCTGAGCCTCTTGAGCCGAAGGGTTGGATGAGAGGAAGGAGGTGGCTGCTGCAGCGTCCGACCATTGAAATCGAGACGAGTGAGCGGGCTGGTGTGCAGCGCCTCAAAACCTGGGCGCATGACTGTATGGTGCACCGTCCGTCCCCGTCGCACTTGTTGTTTTGTTGCTGCCGTCGTCATTGTCTTTGTGGATTTGCATGCACCCTTTTTTGTTCCAAGTTTTGAGTCGAGTCAAAAGTTACATGTGGTGGTTGTCCCTGTGGAGTTGAATGCATCCTTTTCGTCCCCCCCTTCCACTCTCTAATCCCTCCTTCCACAGTCCACTCTCGTCCCTCAGTTTTCCTTGAAGTAGCACTCTTCGTCTCCTTTTTTTCGTGTCGTGTCGGTTCTCCCGTCCTCTCTCCGCTAGTCGTCTACTTGCTCCCTCCTCCATGCCACCCTAAAACTTCACTAACTCTTGTGTACCCCCATGCCCTGCCTTCTCCCGGCGCGTCCCCTTTGCCGTTGCTCTCCCCTCCCCACCCAGCTACTTCCACCACTGCCCCATGCTCGCCATCCCCGGCTTCATCCACCCCATCTCAGTCCACTCCCTTGACGATCTGCCATCCGTCATGGGCCGCCACGTGCCCTCCCTGCTGCGCCACACACTCCCCCCCATGGCCCGTCCCGCCATGCTCCCTCTGCCCCATCCACCCACTCCTCCCAACCCCTCCTGCATATTTTCAACCCCTTTCTTTCCCCTCCCCTTCCCCTTTCACTGTTTCCTCATCTCCTCTTCCCCCTCTCCCCCATTCCGCCCCACCCCCAGCTACTTCCACCACTGCCCCATGCTCGCCATCCCGGGGTTCATCCACCCGGTCTCCGTCTATTCTCTGGACGATCTACCCTCCCTCATGGGCCGCCACTTGCCCTCTGTGGTGCGCCAAGCTCTGCACCCCAAGTACGGCTGCGCTGATGAGGACGAGCTCGATGCTGAGCTGGCGGCGAGGGTGGTGGCATGGGTGGATGATGAGTATGCGAGGGAGGATGGGTCGATTCTCTGCTTCCTGCCTGTGAGTAATCCTGTGCGGAGGGACTTGAATCTGTAGAGCAAAGAACCTCCCCTTTCATGCGAAAGTGCCTTGGTGTTGCGGGTGGATGAGGTTGGGTATAGGCGGCTACACTGTCTAGTCTTCCTAAGCGAAAGTGACTGGCTACCACAGCAATACCATGTCGTCTTGCCATGCTATGCCATCCCATCCCATCCCATGGCACATTGCGCCCACAGTCCACGTGTGCAGGGGTGGGACCGTGGGACACCATAGCAGAAGTAACGCCACTGTCTGGCTTACCAAGTGCAATGTGCACATCTCATCATCACACCATCCCATGGCACATTGCGTGTACTGTCCCACGTGTGCAGGGGTGGGACACGATAGCAGAAGCCAAGCGCCAGCTGCAGTTCCTCCCGGGGTCATACCGCTTCCACATCGTCATGCTGCACTCGCAGGTGAGTCATGCTGCACTCCCAGGTGAGTCATGCTGCACTCCCAGGTGAGTCATGCTGCACTCCCAGGTGAGTCATGCTGCACTCCCAGGTGAGTCATGCTGCACTCCCAGGTGAGTCATGCTGCACTCCCAGGTGAGTCATGCTGCACTCCCAGGTGAGTCACACCATGCCTTTCCACGTTCCTGGGCCCTGGAGTTCCTGTCTATCGTGTTCCACCTAGCTCATGTGCCAGCAGCCCAATTTGCCTTGTCAATTTTTTTTAGTGCACATCTTGAGAACCTTGGAATACCACTGAACCCCTCTGAATGCCTTTGCACGCCATGCAGGTGCCACCAGCGGAACAGAGAGCAGCGTTTGACCGCCCTCCAGAGGGAAAGCGCAAGGTGAGATAGGCATGACAGCAGCAAAGCGGGATGGTGAATGTGATGGTGATACTGACGGATGGGATGGTGATACTGACGGATGGGATGGTGAAACTGACGGATGGGATGGTGATACTGACGGATGGGATGGTGAAACTGACGGATGGGATGGTGATACTGACGGATGGGATGGTGATACTGACGGATGGGATGGTGAAACTGACGGATGGGATGGTGATACTGACGGATGGGATGGTGATACTGACGGATGGGATGGTGAAACTGACGGATGGGATGGTGATACTGACGGATGGGATGGTGAAACTGACGGATGGGATGGTGATACTGACGGATGGGATGGTGATGGCTGAAACGAGTTGTCCGGCTGATAACCTGTGTAATTTCCTTCTCTCCAACTTTCCATCCCTCCATCCTTCAGTCTCTTCACCTTGCCATCTCTCCCTCCTCACTGCAGGTGATTCTATCGACCAACATAGCGGAGACGAGTGTGACAATAGACGACGTGGTGTTTGTGGTGGATGGCGGCAAGTCCAAGGAGAAGTACTTCGAGCCCGCCCGGAACATCTCCTCCATGCGCGTGCAGGTGAGGCGGCGCTTGCTGTTAGTTAATGTCCAGGTGGGCGGCATTTGCTGTTACGTAATGTGCAGATGGGCGGCACGGCACTACCCATTGAACACGTCAATCACTTGCTTGCATGAGCATATCTATCAAAACGGCTCTAGTTGAGCCACATGAGTCAAGTCCAAGGAGAAGTACTGTGAGTGAGCCAGCTCGGAACATCTCCTCTCCTCCATGCGCGTGCAGGTGATCTCTCTATGAAGAAGCTCCACATGTTGTTTTCGTGTTTTGAGTCGACTCAAAACACGACTGTTTTCCCACTGCTTGTTTGTCTTGTCCTGGAGTGGTTGTCCAAAGACAAGGGTAAATGCATATTTAAACATTGCTTGTCCCGCCTGTTTCGTGCGTCCTGTGTCCTCCCCCGCCCTGCAGTGGGCGTCCAAGGCGAGTGTGAAGCAGAGGCAGGGCCGAGCTGGTCGCGTGCGCCCAGGGAAATGCTTCCGCCTCTTCACTCGTGCGGTGAGGCCAGCTGTTCATGCATTTTCTACTTCCACGCACTCTGTACCTCCAAGCATTTTTTTGTCGACTCAAAAATCGTCTCATCCACGCACTTTGTACCTCCAAGCATTTTTTAGTCGACTCAAAAATCTTCACTCGTGCGGTGAGTCCAGCTGTTCATGCATTTTCTACTTCCACGCACTTTGTACCTCCAAGCATTTTCTACTTGGCTCAAAGACCATTGATTCAATCGCATCACTCCTGTTCATCCTATCCTGCATTATCGCAGGTGTACCAGGCTATGGCGCCCAACTCTGTGCCTGAGATGCTGCGAGTGCCTCTGGAGGCGACCAGCCTTTGAGGCGAAGGGCGTTCTCTTGGCTCCTCGATGCCCATTTCTTGCATTGCTCCGTTTGCCCTGTTTCCCCTCCTAATCGCAGGTGTACGAGGCTATGGCGCCCAACTCTGTTCCTGAGATGCAGCGCGTCCCTCTGGAGGAGATCAGCCTGCAAATCAAACCCCTTCCCCTCGCAGCGGCCATCACTTCCCACCCCTCCACCACCGGCCACAGAAGCACCAACATCGGTCTCTTCCTAGCCAAGGCCCTCTCTCCCCCCGATCCCTTTGCCGTTCGCCACGCGATCGAGAATCTCCAGAGGCTAGGCGCGTTGGATGAAGATGAAGAGCTCACAGCCCTTGGATCGACCCTCAGCCGGCTCGCCGTGCACCCTCGGATCGGCAAGATGCTTGTATATGGGTCTCTGCTGCACTGCCTCTCTCCTCTCCTCTCCGTCGCTGCGGCTGCCTCGCTCTCCCGGGACCCGTTCCTGTCACCCATCACCAACCGCAACGCCGCCGATGCTGCGCGCCGAGCCTTCGCGACAGGCTCGGCGGCGGGGAGCGACCATCTAGCCGTGGTGATGGCGCATGAGGGGTGGATGAGAGCAAACGCAGAGGGACGGGCGATGGGGTACTGTGATGAAAACTTTTTAGCGCCGTCCGGGATGCGGCTTATGCTGGGGCTGAAGATGCAGATAGAGAGGATGCTGTGGGGGGCTGGGTTGGCACAATTAGGGGAGTCTCTAGATGCTGATCTGCCGCCTAAGGCTCAGGCGCAGGGTGGTGCTCCAAGGGGCATGGTGGGGCAGGGGAAAGAGGGGGGTGGAGGAGGAAGAGGGATGGAGAGAGGGTTTGGCACTGGTGGTGTTGCTGCTGCTGCTTCTGCTGCTGCTGCTGGTGATGCTGCTGCTGGTGATGCTGCTGATGGTGCTGCTGCTGCTGCTGGTGGGCTATTGTCACTGAGTGGTAGGCCTGACATCCGTCATGTGACTCGCATTGATGCTCGCTCTGGCTCCACTCAGCTGAGTGATTCCAGAGGTGCTGCTGCTGGTAGCAGAGAGAGCTGGAGGGACAAGGAGGACAGAGGCTCGGATCGGGACAGGGAGAGGGAGAGGGAGAGATACAGGGAGAGAGATAGGGACAGGGACAGGGACAGGGACAGGGACAGGGACAGGGACAGGGACAGGGACAGGGACAGGGACAGCGAGAGAGATAGGGACAGGGAGAGAGAGCGGGATAGAGATAGAGACAGGGATGGGGTAAGGGACAGGGAGAGAGGCAGAGACAGGGACAGGGGAAGGGACAACGACAGGGATAGGGATCGGGACCGTGAGAGGGAGAAGGAGAGGGAGAGGGAGGGGGAGCGGGAGAGTGAGGGTCGGCGGCACAGGTCGAAGTGGGACGTGCGAGTGGCAGACGAGCGAATGGACGAGCAGATGGACGGCCGAGATTACCCGTCTGGTTCCGACAGAGCCAATGCGGCTCCATCCGAGCCACACATCGATGACACCGACGAGTCATCTCTCTTTATCGCTCGCTCCGTGCTGGTTGCTGGCCTCTCTCCCCATGTAGCCCGCTCCGACATGCTCCCAGAAGCCCGAGGCGGCGCCGGTTCCGGCAGCAGCAGCAGCGGGAAGCAGAAGGTCCGGCTGAGGTTCGGGTTCCGAACCTCGGAGGGTCGGGTGTGGATCCACCCGACAGGGGTGATTCCGCAGCAGGGCAAGGCATTGGACGATGGGGGGGTGCATTTCCTGACCTTCAACGAGCGTGTGCAGACCTCTCAGGTGTTTATCCGTGGATGCACCCTCATCCCTGCTCTCTCTATCGTCCTCTTTGGAGGTCCTATCCAGCTTGCCCCTGCCCCAGCTCCCTTTCTACCCTTGGGTGGGTTTGGTCCTTCCGCGTTGGCGTCTCAGCCGGTTCTGCTCGTTGTGGACCGTTGGATCGAGTTTGTGGTGGATCGGCACGTGGGAGAGCTGCTGGTGCAGCTGCGGGCGGTGCTGGATTCGATTCTGGGGAGATGGGTGGCAGGAGGGCCGCGGCCGGCCAATGAGAGGCGAGTGGTGGGGTGTGCCGTGAGGCTGCTGGAGCAAGCAGGGAGAGCAGCCGTTCGGGAGACGGAAAATGCAGAGAAAACCTCTGCTGCTGCCGCTGGTGCTGCTGCTGGTGCCGGTGCTTTTGGTGGTGCTGCTGGTGCGGGTGGTTTTGGTGGCGTTGCTGTTGGTGGTGTTGCTGGTGGTCCAGTTGGTGCCATGGGATTGGTTGGTGGCATGACATCAGCGGCTGCTGGTGCTTTTGCAGGTAGGGTGATTGATGACGGTGATCGATGGATGTCAGGAGGTGGTGCTGGTGGTGGGGATGGGAGGGGAGGTGGTGGTGGCGTGGGAGGGGACTGGAGGTCAGGTGGTGCTAGTGGGGGAGATTGGAGGGGCGGTGGTGGTGCTGGTGGTCGTAATGAGCCAAGTCCTCGTGGGTTTAGAGGCGGGAGTGGTGGTGGTGGTGGGTATGGGGACCGAGTCTCTAGGGATGGGTCTGGGTATCGAAGGTAAGTTCGTAGCAGTTTGTCCAAATATTAAGGGGAATTAGAAATTTATGAGCATGAATATGACGTCAACCTGTGAGCATTTGTCATTTAGGTACGTTTCAAAGTTAGCACTAAAGATCGTTTGATAAAACTAATGAATTCAGCCGAACAACCGTCGTACAGGTCAGATCCGCGATAAGAGCTTCTGACAAACCGCGACATTCGGGATCCTGTTGATTTTGTGAGCTCGTGCTGCTCCTAAGAACATCCGGAATCCGGGTCTGTCTCGGGATTCCCAAGGTTGATCTCCTCCCAAGCTTCCCCTTCACAGCATTCACGCTTCGGCACTCTCCAGTGTTCCGCAGCAAGTCGTTCTGCCTCTTCCTGATTCCATTCTCCTTCCCGTAACTACCAGTGAATAGTAATTAAATACCACGGTTTGGCACGCCAAGCTGAGATTTTCAACGGAGCGCCACGTGCTGAATCTCTGCTGCTTAGCCGGTCATGGTCACGACTGATCAAGCACACGACTTAGCCGGTCCAGTAGAGACAGAGGCTAGTAATGTTGAATGTCATGTAGAATCTATAAAACGGCCTGCTGGAGTGGAATCCTCTAGCAAGGATGGCAAGGACTCTTCTGCCGACCTCAAGGCTAAGGTCACGTGGACTTGCCGTGGTATGCCTTTGACATCTAGAGCTACCGTGGCTTCACTTTGTTTCTATTTTTTTTTCTTTCTTTCCTTCCTTTTTCTCGTTTTTAGCAGATGTGAACTTAACTCAGCGTGTTCACTTACCACCTTCATGTGACTCCATCCGGACTTTACTGTATTCCCAACATTCCTATTTGTCAACCTCAGATTGCGACCGCAGCTGTCTGCCAGTTCGAGACGAATCCCAATGTATCTGCGGCCACAGGCTTCGAGAGCATCGTCTGAAACCACCTACTAGTCAGCAAAGTTCTTCTGACGCAATAGCAGCGGACAAATCGACCAACTCACGGCCGTCGGAGATCCCGGAATTGCAAGTGTCGGACTCCCTGCGTGGACCGCCGAGCGATTCGCATTCAGGTTCCTCTTCGTCGTCATCGTCTTCGTCCCATTGTGGTGAATTTCAGCTGGTCTGCGGACGAGCTAAATGTGCATGCGAGAGTTTCTTCTTCATTCCGGCTCAAGGCGTCTGGATCCTTCGTTGCAGATGCAAGGTGCGCGTTCTACTTTCATGCATTCATGCTTTTATGCGTCTGTGCGTTCGTGTGTTTTGTCTTATTATTCGTCTCGAAATTAGCTTACTGCAGATACATGGTTCACGCCTTTCTGCTTTCATTTTTGTCATTCGTTGCCCTCCTAGACAGGGACTTGCAGTCATGCGAAGTGTACAAATTCTTTGTTCTTCCCTTTAATATTTCCTTCCTTCTGTCCATCTATCATGCAGCATAAGCATGTGGAACACGAGCCAACATCGCACAAATGCATCCGACCAAAATGCTCATGCGACAAGTTTGATAGCCCATGGGTTAGTGAGCCGACGCAGTGCATGCGCAGATGACGCATGACTGTCACATGCATGCGTGTCTCCAAGGTAGTGGTAGAGGTATGTGGAGAAGAAATGCTCACATGACCCAGGTGTGACACTTGTGGCTGACCATACATGTTGGATGCATGAACGAAGGGTTCGAGTGTGCCATCTTGCATAATGCCATGGAGGGAGTGAATGAGTGCTGTTCCGCTCGAATCAAGTCTACCTGGCTGGGGACCGAGCCATTTTCCAGCTCTCTCTTGCACTGCTCCTCTGTTCCTCTGTTTCATCTCGAAGCCTTGCCTTTTGTGAATCATCAGGTGTGCAACTGCAATCACCCATGGGGTCATCACACACAGCAGACCAATGTCCTGACAAGACAGCAGCTCCTCAAGCAAAGGTAACGCCTCTGCAACGCGTTATCCAACAATCCCCTATGTGTTTCGTCAAACAAACCTCTTGCCGTGCTAATGTCATTTCCACTGGTCCATTGCAGGATGGAAGACATTGCATCTCCAGCGCCGGACGTTAATAATGTAGCGGCATTGATGCGAGGCCTCCAGGCATGACTGCCATACTGGCTTGCTGGTACTCCACCCAGGTTCTTGTAGATAGCTTCGGAGGGGAGAACAGTCGCATAAGAATTTTCAAGGTGGTGTAATATGTCCTGTGTTTTGTGTATTCTCTTGCTTCATTGTAGCTAACCATTGCAGATTACCTTGGATTGGTGCCATTGTGGTACGCATTTTACTGCATAATTACTACGTAACGTCACTGTGACAACCATGGTACGGGGAAATCAGGTAACTTGAGTCAACCACCACCACTGCCTTGGTGCCTTGTGGCAATTGCTCCCTCTTTCAACAGTGGCTTCATCTGACACATGAAATCTACCTCTTACGAGATAACCGTCATAAATACAAGACAACCCAAGCAGACTTTCTGAGATACCATTGGTGGCAGATTTTTTTTCTCAGCGGGAGCAAGGATGATGGGTACCGGTATTGATGCCCTGTGCCAGTGCACACCGCATGGATAATGGAACATGTTTGTCAGGTAGATAGAGGAATCGTCTGCACTGATGTTGAGAATGATGTCTGGTTTCTGCCACGGCAGGTAAGACACGCGGTATCCTAACAGATCCAGGAGGAGGCACTCTAAATTCAAGCCATAATCAATACAGTATATGGATCTGTACACTGTTATGGCACAGTGCGAGCAACAGGAATGATGGGGCAGGAATCCCCTCATGGACGCCACCATGCCATGTTACTTGCCTAAAACAACCAATAGATACGGTACAACACTGCCGCGTCCAAGATGCTGGGAGCATGCGCATGCAACAACAAGCATCAACGGCTATTCTGGCAGACAAATCAAGATGTGTGCCTGCTAGAAAATGATGTAGCACACAGAGGCATGCATGCCTCGAGAAGCTGCTGCTGGAAAGAATGGTTTTATCAACAATCGGAGTGAGCAAAAGAGAATGTGGATGGCCCTGCTTCTCTTCTGCTCCTGCTATTGCCCATGCCGATAAGAGCGGCTCGTCTGGTCCAACCAGCTGGAAGTGCGGGGGTGGCATGCGTCACTACCACTACCATCGCCCCTTGCTGCACTTCGCTCGCCCTCCTAGTGAGCGTGCTTCACACTCCAGCTGCTGCTGCTCCTGCTATCGCCCGGGCCGGTGAGAGCGGCTCTTCTGGTCCAACCAGCTGGAAGTGCGGGCGTGCCGTGCACCACTACCACTACCACCATCCCTTGCTGCACTTCTCTCGCCCTCCTGATTCTTCTGGTCCAAGCAGCTGGAAGTGCGGGAGTGGCGTGCACCACTATTCCTTGCTCCACCCCTCTCGTCTTCCTGGTGAGTGTACTTCTCTTTACTAGAGCAGCCCTTTCTGTACCCCCCCCCATCTTCCTCCTCACCACCCCCCATGTCTCCATGGCCCCTATCGTACACATCACTCCCATATACCAGTACTTCTTCCCCATTCCTTCTATACACTTCACCCCCCTCCTCTTTGTACCTGCTGTGCATGCCTTCCTTTTCTCCGTTACGCCTCTCCTCAAACCCCCGTGCATTCTGCTTCTCCCAATCACTGCTCCTTTGCGACTGTTTCTTCCTGTCCCCATCTTTGGCCCCATCTCTGTCCCCATCTCTGGCCCCATCTCTGGCCCCATCTCTGTCCCCATCTCTGTCCCCATCTCTGTCCCCATCTCTGTCCCCATCTCTGTAGCTGTACTGTTCCTCGTGTTCCTCTCCGCTCTTTCTGCGCACTGCATGCTGTGCACTCTCCTCCTCATCTCCACTCACCACTTCCCCACTCCCTTCACCATCCCCGTTCTCCACCTCACTATCCTCACACTCACTCCACTCCTTACTATCCTCGTTATCACTCCCTTCCCCCTCTCCCTCCTCCTGCACTTCTTGACTGTCACGCCATTGCTGCCGCCTCTCCCCATAACCACCACTGCCTCCTTCCCACCCTCCCTCTCCTCTCCCCTTTCCTCGCGAATGCTCCTTCTCATAAGTAAAGTTCCTTTCCCCTTGCTCCTCTTCACCCTCACTCCCACTGTTTCTTCCATCGACTTTGCCCCTTCCACTGTCGCACCTGCGAGAAGGCTTAATTCCAGATTTTGTCCCTGCTCTCCCTTCCCCACGTTTGACCCGAATTCCTTTACCCTGACTTGCTCCACAATCTCTGGACCATCTCGTTCGTCCACTCTCCACCACCTCTTCCCCATCCTCCTCCTCCTCCTCTTCCTCCTCCTCCTTCTCCTCTTCATCCTCCTCCTCCTCTTCCTCCACCTCTTCCCCATCCCCTGCCTCTTCCTCTTCCTCCCCCTCTTCCTCCCCTGCATTCTCCTCATAATCCCCCCCACCGTATCCAGCCATCTCCCTCTCCTCCACTTGCCTCCGTCCCGCCTTCTCCATCTCCCTGCCATCTGTCACACGATTCCAGTGCTTCTGCCTGGCCCACTCTCCGTCCTCCTCAGCCCATTCTCCTTCCTCCTCCTCAGCCTCCTCATACCTCCGTCCAGCATTCAGAGACCGGCCACCTTCCACAGAATCCCATGCTTCCTCCTCCTTGGCCTCCTCGTTCCCCCTTCCCACCTTCACCCTCTCCCTGCCGCGTTTCGCAGGTTCTGAGTGCTGCCGTCCCCATTCTCCATCCTCCCCATCCTCCTCGTTCTCCACGTGCCTCCTTCCAGCCCTCACCCTCTCCCTGCTCCCTTTTACAGGATCTGAATTCTGCCTGCCCCACTCTCCATCCTCCTCGTCCTGCACTTGCCTCCTTACAGCCTTCACCCTCCCCCTGCCGCCTGCCACAGGATCTGAATTCTGCCTATCCCACTCTTCCTCCTCGTCCTGCACTTGCCTCCTTACGGCCTTCACCCTCCCCTTGCCACCTTGTACAGGATCTGAGTTCTGCCTGCCCCACTCTTCCTCCTCCTCCCCTTCCAACTGTCTCCACACCACATGCAGCCCTGCACCTGTCTCCTTACGCCCCTTCTGCTGTTTCTTATCCCGCACTTGCTGCTGCTGATAGTTCTGCTCATACTGCTGCTCCTCATACCCCTGCTCGTGTGCATGCTCCTCCCCATGCCGCCCCTGCTGCTCGTCCCACCCGGGGTTCCTCTGCTGTTTCCCAGACAATCTGCTCCCTCCAATCCGCCCGGACTCACCTCCTCTCTGCCTCTGTCCGCTCCCATGGCCGTTCACCAGGGAACGAGCAGCCAGAGAGGCGGAGTGGGCGTGGTGGATGGGCGGTCTCCCAGCCCCTGCTGCAGCAGAGGAGGTTGCTGGGCGATCGAGAGGGCGCCGCCGCTCAGGTGTGGAGTGGGATCGCTCAAAGGCGCCGGGGGGAGGGTAGAGGTCCACGAGTTCTTCTGGATTGCCAAACGTGCGACTCCTGGTGTCGGGGGCGGTGGGTAGAAGAGAGAGGAAGGCAGGGGAGTTGCACAAATAAAAAGCAGAACGAGCAGCCAGAGAGGCGGAGTGGGCGTGGTGGATGGGGGGCCTCCCAGCCCCTGCTGCAGCAGATGAGGTTGCCGGACGCTCCAGAGGCCGCTGCCGCTCAGGTGTGGAGTGCGATCACACGTCTCTACCCTAGAACCCTAAAACACTATACCCGAAACCCTAAAGCATAAACCCTAACGCTTGGCTCTTCTGGATTACCGAAAGGTGCGACTCCTGGTCGGAGGAAACAGAAAGTGGGTGAGTTTTGAGACGCATAAAAAGCACTCAAGACGCCGCTGGCACTCGGGTGTGGAGTGCCATATCTTGAAAACCAGACCCCATGCTTGCATGCCTGCCAGCCATACTGACCTGGCCTTCCTGTCGTACTTTGGCCATGCCCCACCCAATGCTCCATCCAATTTTGAGATGTCTCAATTGGTTGAGACGTAAAATAAAAAAAAATCACCCCAGGCTTGGACGCATGCCAGCAATACTGACCTGGCCTTCCTGTCGTACTTTGGCCGTGCCCCGCCCGACACTCCATCCACCACTCTGCTTGCACGGGAACCACAACTCCCCACCTCCTCCTCCTCCCCCTCCTCCCTTTCACCCTCTTCTACCCCTCGCACCGCCCCCTTGTCGCCCCTACCACCCTTCCCCAGCCGCGACCCACGCAGACCCCCTTGCCCTTCCCCAACCCGCCTTCCCAGACTAGCAGTCAGAAGCGCCCCCTCCCCCTCTCCACCCATGCGGCCTGACCCTACTCGCCCTCGCACACCATCCCCTTGCTCTGCCTCGTCCCATCTATCCGCTTCTCGTTCCCTCGCTCTCTTGTCTGCTGCACAATCCGAGGCCACTCTCTCAACACCACCGCGCACGTGGGGAAACCCCTGCTGCAGGTGAGAGCTACTGTGGCTCTCCTGCTCGTGGCTCTGGCTCTGGGTGTGGCTCTGGCTGTAGCTATGGCTGTGGCTGCGAACGCAGGTGTTCCTCTGGTTATAGCTGCTGCTGTGGCTGTGGTTGCTTCGAGACGACTCAAAACTCTGGCTCCTCTGGCGTCTGTGGTTGCTGTGGTTGCTTTCCCCAGCTGAAGTCCAGTCTCCTCCCTGCCTCCTACTAGACGTGTCCTCAGCTGACGGAGTGAACTCTCTCCTGTTGCCGCTCCTACTGAACATATTGCCCGGAGGGGTCACGCTCCCATTCCCCATGCCACCGCGACTGAACATATTTCCAGGAGGGGTAAGGCTGCCACTGCCACTCTTACCCAGCGTGCCAGGGGGGGGAGTAAGGCTGCCGCTGCCATGTTTACTTAGTGCGCCAGATGGAGGAGTCAGGCATCCACTGCCGCCGCTTTTCCCCAATGCTGCTCGAGGAGGCGGAGTCAAACTCCCACTACCACCACCACCGCCAATGCTGCTGCCATATCTGCCGCTGAAGCTGCTCCTGCTTCTAGCCCTCCCGCTGCCAAAGGAGTGGGATAGCAGGTACCCTTCGGCATCACGCTCCTCAGCAGATGCACCTCCCCCAGATGCACCTCCCCCGGATGAGCCTCCCCCTGCTACAGCCTCGCGGTACTTGTCGAATGAGAAGTAGGCGACCCGAGGAGTGACAACAGGGCTGACAGCAGGGCCAGACGCATCACCACTAGTCGGGGTAGTCGGAATATTACCAGCAGGCGCAGCAGCAGCATCACCAGCAGCATCACCAGCAGCAGTACCAGTAGCAGCAGCGGGCAGACGACCAGAGAAAGAGGCACTGACACCAGGGCGCATTCGGGAAAGGCTCCTACCCCTGCTGGGGTCGGAAGCAGCACAGCCAGCCTCGTCTCTCAGCCGTTCCACTGCACTGCCACTGCTCCTACCATGCACACCACTGCTGCTGAACAAGCCTTCGCTGTGCTGCTGATCTGCAGAGTACCGTGCCGTACCCTCCTCCACCGAGCTGCACCGCACAGCAGACCCCCGCGGCCTCTGCTGTTGCTGCTGCTCTTCAGGGTTCTCTTCTGCATCTGCTTCTCGGTGCTGCTGTGTGTGTTCCTGCGATTCATATGACTCGTACGGTCCCCCATGTGTCTCAGTCTCCTGTGCATGAGTTGATTGCTCTGCCCGCATCGCATCCCCCTGCTGCAACCACAGCTGATTCTCCTCCTGCTCCTGCTCCTGCTGCTGCTGCTGCTGCTGCTGCTGCTGCTGCTGCTGCTGGTGCTGTTGGTGATGCGCCTGGGCTTCAGCAGAGGTGAAGGTGACTGAGCGAAGGAACGAAGGCAGGCCAGACAGCAGCGCAGAATCAGCAGCAGACCCGAACGAAATCTGAGACTTCTGCCGGGAATGGTGGTGGTGTTGAGCATGAGCGGAACCAAACACTCCCCCGTGCCCCTTCTCCTCCTCGTCCTTACTATCCCCATGATGCCCACCTAACCTACCTGACCCACCTAACCCATGTGCCTCCAGTGCAGGTGCACCCTTTAAACCCCCTCCCTCCTCTCCTGGTCTCGGCTTGGAGGCCAGAATACCCCATCCAGGCCCCCCTAATCCCCTACCGCTCTCCTCCCCTTTCTCCCTGAACGCCCACCACTTGCCCTGCTTCCCCTCGCCCTTCACCATACCCTCCTTTGCCCCATCCTTGAGCGTATCACTAATGGTCCTCGGAACCACCCCCTTGCTGCCACTGCCCGGATCCTCCCCCCTCTTGCCAAGCCCAGGCATGGTGAACCCAGGCTTGGTGGATCCAGGCTTGGCAGGCCCAGCCTTAGGTCCGGTAACTCTCTTGGTGAGTCCAGCAATGATGGCAGAGGTGAAGGTTCGGGTGCGGCTGAAATCGTCAAAGTCTGGAGTTTCCTCCTCCTCTTCCCCTTCCGCCATCATCCATGCGTTTTCCAGTGCTGCTTCCTTGTCCACTACTGCTGCTGCCTCTGCTCCTGCTCCTCCTCCTCCCCTCATTTTGCTCCCAGCAGCAGCTGTACTTGCCCCTGCTGCTGCTACTGCTGCTGCTCCTCCCCCTCCTCCTCCTTGCGCTGCTTCCCTGTCCTCTATCGCCACCTCTTCTCTCCTAGCCATCCCCCCTGTTGCAACTTCTGCTCCTTCTATTGCTAGCGAGTTCGCCTCGACTCCCCCATCACCCCCTCCTCTTCCTTCTCCCCAGGCTCCTCCCCCTCCTCCTCCTCTTCCTTCTCGACACCATACTTCGGCGGTACCTCCCCCCCCTCCATCATTTCCCATGGGTGACAATGACATGCCCACCCTCTCACCCCAAGAAGCAGTCACTTCCGCCCCCCCTCCCACTCCCACTCCCTTCCCCATACCCATCCCCATTCCCATCCCTCTCCCTCCCCACAACCCGCCAAACCCACCTCCATCCCCATCCCCATCCTCCACCCCCCTGCTATCAGTCTTCGCTCTTGTCAGCACGAACCTATCACTCGCACCCGCACTCCCACCCACACCACCACCACCTACCGCAGACGACGCAGCCGCGGCAGCACTAGCCACCACAGCATCGACATCAATCCTCTCCCACCCGCTCTTCCCCCCGTCGCCCTGGCCCGTTAACACACCCCACACCCCCTTCAGGGGACTCCCAGGCCGGTCAAACCTGAGAGGACTACTTGGCCGGTCCAGTCTCGCGCTCCTGCACTTATCTAAGAACCGGTTCGGACTGGCCCCGCCCGGGGGGGTGCGAGGAGGGGTGTGGGTGGGGGTGTGGGAGGGGGAGCGCGGAGGGGTGCGTGGGGGGGTCTGGTTGGGGGAGCGAGGGGGGGTTTTGGACCGGCGGAGCAGGCCGGAAAGCGGGCCGGAAAACGGGCTGCTGGGACGAGAGGAGGAGGGGGGGGGGGCATCTTCTGTGGTTAGATCGAGCGCCAGCAGGGATGCTGCGTCACGTGCCAGCCGTGCCATGGCATCGCTGTCCACGTCAGCAAACGAACCAATGTCTCGCTCTGCTGCAAACCCGCGGGGACCAAAGCGGCTGCTGCTGCTGCCGACGCCGCCGATAATGCTTCTGCTGATGTCGCTGTTCCCAACACTGCTGCTGGTGCCGAAGATACTGCTGCTGTTGCCAAAGCCATTGCCGTTGCTGCTGGTGCCCGGCTCTCTAACAGAAGCAGAGTACAGGAGCCTACCAGGCGACGCCTGAAAGCTGCTGCTGCTGCTCTTCTCCTGGGAGGAATATCTGCTTTCAACCCGTGGAGCCCTGCCCCACAAGTCTGATAGAACCTCGCCTTCTTGAAACTCCGCATTTTCATTCTCCCCTTCTCGAAGCTCCCCTTGAACTCCCGGTGCTCCCAGACTCTGACTCCCTCGGAACAGCATTGCAGTGCTGCTGCTGCTGCATTCCGAATCCATTTCCCTCTCCGCATCTCGCACTGACTCCCACGGACCACCAGCACCCATGTCTCGCCCCATACTCCTGCTGCCACCACCCTCGTACCCTGCTGCTTCTCCATCCCAGTTTCCCTCCTCCCTCTCCCCCACATCAAAACCGAACCCTCCTCCTTCTTCCACACCTCCCCCCTCTCCCCCTATCATCAGCCCTTGCGCCAGATCAAACACACCACTAGCACCACCCCCCTCCTCCCCCTCCCCATCCTCTTCCCCTTCCCCTTCCCCACCCTCTCCCCCATCCCCCTCTTCCGCAATTGTCTCCGCCTCCCTATCCCACACGTCCGCCCCTCTCCCCTCCTTCAAACTCGCCCAGAACGCCTGTGAACCTGCGTCAGGGTTAAGAGACGGCGCTCCTATAAGCTCCCTCTGCTGGGGAACCTCAAAAGCTGCGTCAGGATTGAGCGAGGGAGCTCCCATCAAAACCCTTCTCTGAGGCGTTTCAAAGACTGTGTCCGGGTTGAGAGACGGGGCTCCTATAAGCACCCTTTGCTGCTGGGGCGTTTCAAACACTGCATTGGGGTTGCGGGAAGGAGCACCCATCAATAGCCTCCTATCCATCCCAAACCCTCCTCCTTTGTTCTCGTTTTCCTGGAAGATTCCATCCCGTGTGTCACCAGGTTCTGAATCTTGCACTGGCTCAGAAAATTCTTGGAAACCCCCTTCTCGCCACCCAGCACCCTCCATTTCCACACCTCCGCTGCTCAGGATGAAGCCTTGCCTCTCGTCCTCCTCTTCCTCCTCCTCTTCCTCCTCCTCTTCCTCCTCTCCCTCCTCTCCCTCTTCTCCCTGCTCTCCCTCCTCTCCTTCGTCTGTCTCCTTTTCCTCCTCTCTGTCGTCTTCCTCATCGCTGTTCCTTGAGACCAGTCTGCTGCTCGGGTGCTTCATCCAATCCGCTGCTCCGTGTTGCCCTTGACTCAACTCAATACCTTCCTCGTCCTCCTCACCCCTGCTCATACCAATCAGCCTGCTGCTCGGGTGCTTCATCCAGTCCCCTGCTCCGTGCTGCCCTTGCTGGGCTGACCATCCACTGTCACGTAAGCTCATCTCTACTCGTCCAGTATCACCCTCGTTATAATCCTCCCACAACCCTCTACCTACAGCTACTTCCTCGCCCTCCTCCTCGTCCCCCTCTTCCTCCACTCCCTCCCCCTCCTCCTCCTCTTCCTCACTCTCCTCCTCACTGTTGACCACCTCTTTTCCATCAACCCCATGATCTTCCCCCATCCCTCCTCCCCTGCCACCGTCCCTGCTTTCCCTGCCACACACTTCAAAACCCTCTTTCTCCTCCTCCTCCTCCCCACCCGCGCCTCCCACTCTGGCCGAACGTGACTCATCCACCCGAATCCCACCACCAGCATCATCACCACCACCACCACCACCACAACCACCATCACCAGCAGCAGCAGCAGCAGCAGCGGTAGCAGCAGCATTATCTGTGCGAGTACGGCCACCAGAGAAGCTCCGTGCAACTGACCATCGACCCGACCCTCCCTTTCCCACTTTCTGTTCCCCTCCTTTCTGCGCCCCCTGTCCCTCTCCCCCCTCTCTCGCTTTCCCCACTCCTGACGAGCTTCGAAGCACGGACGCCCGTAATGCAGCGCGGATAGACGCCGCCGCAGCAGCAGCAGAAGCAGATGCAGACTCCACACCCCCCCCAGAAAAACTCCGCCCAATGAAGCTGCTGGACTTGAGCCTCTCTGCAGCAGCACCTGGTTTTCTACTCGACTCAACACTAGACGCCGAGGCAGCAGCTACAGAAGCAGCAACGGATTCCATACCCCCACCAGAGAAGCTCCGTCCAATGTAGCTGCGGGACTTGAGCCGCTCTGCAGCACCTGTAGGTCTCCGCGGTGGGTGAGAGGAAGGTTCCTCTGTGTGATCGGACCCTACTTGATCGCAGCCGTTTATTTGCAGTGACCAGTGGGGCATCAACGGCCCTGATTGCGAGCCTCTTCCCTTGTATGCGATATTGTTTGAGGCACGTTCTTCCAGCAGACTCTCAACCCGTCCATCCGGAAACGACTCTCCTACTCTGTCCCCAGGCCTGTCACCGAGCCTACCTGAGCTGTCCGAAGCTCCAGAATAGCTTCGGCGAACTTTTGAATTCGGTGCCCCACCCTTGACATTCTCCCCGCGGCCAGAGGAAGAGTCGGTTGACAAACTATCATCACCAAACCTACCACTACCGAGCTTACCACTGCCGAGCCTACCACTACCAAGCCTACCACTACCAAGCCTACCACTACCAAACCGGCCACTACCAGACCTACCACTACCAAACCGACCACTATCATCACCAGAGGTCAACGACCCGTCCACAACCCCGCCGATCCTTCCAGAGCTCGACCTAGAGCTTATAGCGGGTCCTTCTGTAAAGCGGATTGTAGTGTCTTCGTCCATCTCCGACGATCTAGGCTGCAAGCACGAAGCCAGCCCGCCAGGCGCGCCAGGGGATCCTAGGGAGGTCAGACCGCCAGACCCTAGGGAGACCAACCCGCCGCCTAGGGATCTTCGCCGCCGGTGCATCGAGGCAGGCATGGAGCTAGCTCTGCCGAACCGCTCCTCGCTCTCCTCCTCATCAGCGTCCTCCTCCTGCTGCTGCGCGTCGAGCCCCGCCGCTGCGCCCGCGCTGGCCGCGCCGCCGCCGCCGCCGCCGTCTCGAGGCGCAGGTGCGCGGGAGGTGGCGGCGGCTGCGGCTGCGGCTCTTGCGCGCGCGTTCCGCGGGATCTCGGTCTTCGCGCGGGAGTACCCGCCGCCGCCGCCGCCGCGGCTGCAGCTGACCTCGACGGCGTCTGCGACGAGCGGGCGCCTGTAGAGAACTTCGCTACGCGACCGGTTACCCAATTGGCCACCGAGAATTTCGTCATCGTCGTCGTCTTCGTCGCGGTCACCGAGATCCAGATGGCCGAAATAGCCGTTTTGAAGTTCCGGCGGCATTCCCGCCGAGCATAGGAAGCGCGGACTAAGATGCGGCATTTGAGGCATGGATGGCATCCACGAGGAAGACTTCTTCGCGCTTCCGCCGCCACTGTGAGCAGTCGCGCCCGAGAGAGGCGACTGCCTGCTCCCGCCGCCGCCGCCGCCGCGGTGGCCACCATTGTCTCCCGGGCTGTTGCTCTGCGACCTAGGCTTAGGACCGGACGGCGGAAGCGCGAGAGGAGAGGCTGTTGAGTAGTCCATGCTGTAGCTGTGTTTGTGGCGGCCCTGCCGGCCCGTGGTTCGTGGCGGTCCGTTGCCAGGGTTAGGGTTAGGGTCAGCGTTAGAATGCCCAGCGCTGCTGCTGCTAGTGGTCGAACTGTTGCGACCCATGTTTGGAAAGCTAGGTGAAGTTTTCAAAGTAGATTATTATTGAATTCTTCTGGTCAGGTGTTACTGGGAAATGTTGGGGTGGATGGGATATACCGTGGATGGTGGGAGGACATGCTAACTGCGCGCGCGTCCACGCGAATCCAAGGATGCATAATAACAATATATACTATGTAGACCTATTCGTGATGGGAGGTGTATGCTGACGGGAAATAGCATCTCTCGGTGAGGGAGGGGTGGATGGAATGGAAGTGATGTGGAGTGGAGGAAGGCGGGGAGGATCAACAACACCCTACACTAGCTGCTCTGTGTGCTGCAACTGTACTTGTGTCGCACTGTACAGTGTTGTACTGTGTAACTTGTAACCTGCTGTTTGCTAGCGCTGCGATATGCGAGGCCCGCGAAATCGAAACCCGTCCTTGTCGTCGTCACGTCACGTCAGTGTCCACTCGGTACTTCAACTCGACTTCACTACTGCTCGTGGTGACTCGAGTTGGGCTTCTATTTTTCGCGGTTCAAACGAAACGACGCGAGTCGACGACACCACTCGACGACACTCTCCCCACCAGCAAGCTGGGTGTTCTGTGCCTTCATGAAGACATGTCATATCTGTACAGTTTCAAATCGACCTGATCAAAACGAAACCTCACGAGTCACGACGACGCTGAATGTCGTACCAACCCACAAAAGCAAATGAGCACTCACACCAAGGGAGGGCCATCCAATCCAGTGTCAGCGTACGGAACTCTTTGAAATGTTGTTGAACTTTTGCCTCAGGCCCTGCTGTGCTGTGGGTCGAGTTGATGCCATTTTGCCATCCGCGTGCTGCTCTGCACAGTCCATCGCGGTCCGCGTACCGCGTGTCATTCTCTTTGCATCTTTCGTTCACTTCCCCCAACCAACGACCGAGCGTCAATTGCGACAGATTCGCTGGGGATCAAAACGATCGTCCACTCGACCGCGATAGCGTGGACAGCCTCACGACCATCGGACGGTCAGAGCTCGCTCTTCTCACGACAAGACCCTAGCCAGCCAACTGGCGAAGCTTGTAACGACAAGTGCACCACTCGTGAGCTGGTGCTCCTGCTTGTGTGGTGGGCGGTGGTGCCAGAGCTGGACCACCAAGTCACGACAGACGGCCAGGCTGTCTGATGCGGCAAAGGAACCGAACTGCAGCGCACGAAAACTCTGTTTACCGAAACCCCATACACATGGCTTCTTTTGGGCAAATACGATATCTCATTGAAGAAAACAGCATAGGCAGCATGAATAAGATGGTACAGTTACTTCTCGACAGTTTAAAGCAAATAGGCTGTCTACCTTTATCGCGTACAAACATCAGGATATGTTGACTTGGGTGATGGCTGGTGTCCGTTGGGCGCTCGAGACTAATTAGGCTACTGAGGATAGGAGAGGAGAGCTTGCACGCACAGAACACGCGCATTGAAGGCACCGTACCTCTCCGTGACCTCCGCGCGTGTCGACTTGTTCTCGTGCTCTCGACGCGCCCTAGAGAAGTTCGTCCACAAATCAGACAGCGACGGATAGCAAAGGGAAGCGCAAGAGGAGGAACGTGGGGCAAACGAAGGAGCGATAATGAAACCACGGCTGGACTGGCGATCGAGAGCGGCGAATTTGACGCAGTTTTTACGTCATAGCTAGTATCTAACTGGTACTTGAATTCTTGTACAGAAATCGTTCAAACATCGGCTTATTGGCAAGTAGAATTCCTCGAGAGAACCTGGGTAGAATTCCTCGAGAGAGCCGAAGGAGCCATGGACAACAGAGCAGCGCGATTGGCGAGATGAGTTGTGACTCGACTCAAGCACTGCCTGATTGCCTGGTGGGATCCCTCGAGACTGCCGAAGGAGCCATGGACGAGAGAGTGGTGCGACTGGCGAAATCTTCGGGGTGCCTCGTTCGAGTGCAGGGGCCCGTAAGTCCCTGATTGTGTCGTTTAACCGCCTCCCCCTCCGCGTTCACGAAAGAGAGTGTGGTTTATGAGTCGACTTAGAAGTCGCCTCTTTCGCGTGCAGGAGCCCGCACTTTTGAGGCGCCTCAAATAAAGAGAGAGGTTTACGAGTCGACTTAGGAGTCGCCTCTTTCGCGTGCAGGGGCCCGCAAGTCCCTGAACATCGTCAAATCGTCGCCTCTCCCTTTTCTTTTGGCAGAATAACAAGTTGCCTCCCGTTGACCTCCGTTGACTCCCCTTGACTGTCGTTGACTCTTGTTGACTGCAGGATCCCAAGGGCCGTAAGCTGCTGCGGTTCGACTTTTACCAGTCCAGGTAACAAGCAGGCTGTGCAAGCATGTGCGTGGGTGTGAGGAGGAAGGGGATTTGTGGAGGAGAAAGGGAGGGGAAAGGGGGGATGGGAGGTATGATGCTTGTTTTGTGTGTGTGTGTGGGTGTGTGTGTTTTCCTGGAGGGATGAGGGTAGGATTTCTCACGCCATTCGTCCTTGGTATCCCCTCCCTCTTCCCCCTCCACCCTTGTGCTCCTACCCTCCCATTCCTTTTCCGCCCTACTCTTTTACCTGCCCACACCCGTCCCGGCTACACTCCCTCCTGTCCTCCCACCCCTGCTCGCCCCTTTCCCTCTACCCGTCCCCCCCCCACCACCATGTAACTCTGCAACAGCCATGTCAGCACTGCGTAAGCTGTTTAAGAATTCTAAAAAGTGACTCCAATATGACTGTTCTGCCTGGGCACTGTTGAGATTTTAGTTTACAGTTTTTTTTTTTTTTTTTTTTTTTACTAAACAATTTTGGGCTCTGCTGCCTGTGCACCTGATTCTTCAGGCGCCTTCGAAATCTTCACTTCCCCCCACCCCCCCTCCCGTCCCCACCACCTTCCCAACCAGCAACGGCACAACAGCCGTGTCAGCGTCTGGTATCGTGCTGCCTGCCTGGGCGGCTAATTTCTGAGGCGCTTGAAATATCTCGCCCCTCCCCCATACCCACCCCACCACCTTCCCAACCAGCAATGGAACAACAGCCGTGTCAGCGTCTGGCATCGTGCTGCCTGCCGGGGCGACTGTCTGATTCCTGAGGCGCTTAAAATATCTCGCCCCTCCGCCGTACCCCCCACCACCTTCCCTCCCAGCAACGGCACAACAGCCGTGTCAGCGTCTGGTATCGTGCTGCCAGGGGGACTGTCTGATTTTGGACCCCAGCTGGATGGGCATGTGGGGGGGGGCGGGGGGATGGTGGCAGAAAAGGAGGAGGTTAAGAGGAGCAGGTGGGATGGGGAGGAGGTGACAGTGATTGTGCCTGGGAGGATTGTTCGCTCCTTTGTAATGCAGCAGCAACAGACGTCCAAGTACCAACCCGTGCAGCAACGCTGGCGCTTTCAACAGCAGCAGCAGCAGCAGCAGCAGCAGCAGCAGCAGCAGCAGCAGCAGCAGCAGCAAAGCGCATCGGCACCCCATTTGCTTCCTGGCACGCGCATCGACATTACCCTTGAGGTGATAGTAATGGTGGTAGTACCTTATTAGCTTTGAGGTGATAGTAATGGTGGTAGTACCTTATTAGCTTCGAGGCAGTGCCTACTAATACAGCGAGTACCTCACATGTGTCGTGCACGTTCACGCACGTTGTTCATGTGGCTGCGTGTCTTTCCAAAGAGGTGACTTTTGAGTCGACTCGAAAGTCACCTTGCTACTACAGCGAGTCCCTCACATGTGTCGTGCACGTTCACGCACATGTTGTTCATGTGCCGGCGTGTCTTTCCAAGGCAGGCACTGCCCAAGTGCACATGCTTTTATTTGAGGCGCCTCAAAACTCAGCCGCACGCACGTGTGCTTCAGTCAGGTGCATAGTCCAGGTAAAACTCTAGATGCATTTACAGTCGGTGCTGCTTCAGTCAGGTGCATAGTCCAGGTAAAACTCTAGATGCATTTACAGTCGGTGCTGCTTCAGTCAGGTGCATAGTCCAGGTAAAACTCTAGATGCATTTACAGTCGGTGCTGCTTCAGTCAGGTGCATAGTCCAGGTAAAACTCTAGATGCATTTACAGTCGGTGCTGCTTCAGTCAGGTGCATTTAGTTTTGAGAAGCTTCAAAACTCAAACGCCCTGCTGTGCTGTGACTATGAGTCATGCCTTTTCTACTTTCAAATTTCCCATCGTCCCTTCGTCCCTCGCATCCCTGTTCTGTGACTCGTCCCCACACACACCAACCAAACCCTCCTTTCCCTCGTTGCCACTGGTCATTTTTTAGTCAACTCAACTACCTTCCTTTCCTTCTCTGTCACTCGCCGCCAGCCTCCGTCCCTGCAGGTACCCCCGCAGTCACAGCCCTTCTCTCTTCCAGCGGATCTCCTCTGCTTTGTGAGTGCCTGCCTCTGTCGTAGGAGAGAAGATGTGAAGAGTAGTTACAAGGTGGGGTTTCTTTATGCGCCTGCACGGGCCCTCACAGCCCGTTTCTATAGCTGCGGAGCTCCTCTGATTTGTGAGTGCATTCGCCTACATTAGCAGAGAAAATGTGACAAGTGGTTGGAAGGTGGAAGAAGGTGAGAAGGTAAGGTATCACAAGCTGCCAGAAGGTATTTCTATAGCTTCTATCTTGCAGGTAAGGTACCTTTCTACCTTTTTTCTTGGTGCCGCAAAAGGTGTCAACTTGTCCCTTCATTATTTTTTAAGCCTCAAACTTTTCCTCCTTCCTTTGCTCCGCTGTGTCTCTCTAGGTGGAGCTTCCAGGCATGAGCTCTTACCTGGCAGCATCATTCCAGGCCTCTAACTCTCACTGCCCACCCATCCTCCCCTCCATCTTCCTCCCTTCCCTCCCCCTTCCTCTTCCCAAACCCCCTTGGACACCTCTCTCTTTGATTTTCCAGGTGGAGCTTCCAGGCATGAGCTCTTACCTGGCAGCATCACTCCTGGCCTCTAACTCTCACTGCCCACCCATCCTCCCCTCCATCTTCCTCCCTTCTATCCCCCTTCCTCTTCCCAAACCCCCCTGGACACCTCTCTCTTTGATTTTCCAGGTGGAGCTTCCAGGCATGAGCTCTTACCTGGCAGCATCATTCCAGGCCTCTAACTCTGACTGCCCACCCATCCTCCCCTCCATCTTCCTCCCTTCCCTCCCCCTTCCTCTTCCCAAACTCCCCTGGACACCTCTCTCTTTGATTTTCCAGGTGGAGCTTCCAGGCATGAGCTCTTACCTGGCAGCATCATTCCTGGCCTCTAACTCTCACTGCCCACCCATCCTCCCCTCTCTCTCCCCCTCGTCCTCCTCCTCACTCCCCCCCTCCTCCCCCTCTTCCTCTCCTGCACTCCCTCCCTCCTCAGTCTCCTCCTCCTCTTCCTCGTCCTCCCCTGCAGCACCACCAGCAGCAGCATCAACACCGGATTCTCTTGAGCTAGCAGTGCTGCGTGTTAGACTCATTCACACACCATCAGCAGCAGCAACAGTAGCTGGGGCAGGGGCAGGGACAGCCGCACCAGTGGCGGCAGTAGCAGCAGCAGATGCAATGCGTTGTATGGTTCATGAGCAGATGAGGCTTCGACATGAACTGACGGTATGGGGAGAACCCAAACTGGACTGGAATTTTGAATTCCGATGAGCCTTCCTAACGATTCTCAACCCTGCCAACTTCCATTCTGCCTTCCTAATGAAGCGCATCAAATTCTGAACCGGATTGTTAGATGCCTCAGATTCATCCCATTCCTGTTGTTGTGATTGCCTTTTGGTGATCTTCCTGTGCACTTCCTGTTCTTGCCGTCTTGTTGTTCCATTGCTCGTGCCCATCACGTAGTGTTTCGGAGGGTTGCATTTGATGTGATGATCGCATGTGCTCCTTTTCTATCCACCAAATCCCCCCAAATTTCGCGCACTCACTGCCAGGTCAGCCCCCCATCAACCCCCTCCGCCAATGACACATTGACACCTGGCAGTCCTGTCCTGTTGCTTGGTTCGCCGTTTGGAGTGCTTGCACCGACCCTGTTCGCCAACAGGTGATGCTTATAAGGGGTACGCAGGTGATTTTTATCGGGGGTGCGTGGGTGATGTTTATAAGGAGTACACAGCGAGGGGTATGCGAAATCTGAAATGTTTTGTTTGTTGCGTTACGGTGTAGGCCAGAAGATATTACCACTGAACTGAATGTTTCAGAATTTGTTATATACATGAAATCTTCTGTGGCCCTGACTGTAACCACAGTGTAGTTTTGAGGCGCCTCAAAACTAGACTGACTGTAACCACAGTGTAGGCCAGAAAATATCACCACTGAACTCATGAAACTGTTTAGACTTCCAACGTGCTCACTCATTCCCTCCTCCTCACCCCTTCCTCCTTCTCATCCCCTCCCCTCCCCTCCCCTTTCATTCACTGCCCATCTATCAGCCTGTCATCCGGAGTGCTCTCAGCAGTGCTGCCTGCAGGGATCCTAGCCGTCGACCTGCCCGTTTTGCCAGGTAGTGACCAGGGGGTATACGATGGAATGGAATCCAATAAGATCTGGTGAGTCTTGACCTGTCAGAAGGCTTAATCAGTCAGGAAGCAAAAGGCGAAATGTGGTCAGATACACGTTTCTGGTCGGATTTCAATTACCGTTGTTTGCTGAGGTTACTTTAAATTATCTTCAATTTATTGTGAGCCACCTCCATAAGTCTTTCAACAACCATCACGTGTCTGGTCTGGTTTCCATCCAGTACCATTGCTTCCTGAGGTGGTTTGGAGGCACCACAACATCATTCCTGTTGACATGGCAATGGCATCACATGGTATGGCATGGCATGGTATGATTTGTATGTATGGTATGGCATCACATGGCATGGCATGGTATGATATGTATGTATGGTATGGCATCACATGGCATGGCATGGTATGGTATGGTATGATTTGTATGTATGGTATGGCATGGCATGGCATGGCATGGCATGGCATGGCATGGTATGGCGTGGCGTGGCATGGCATGGCATGGCATGGCATGGCATGGTATGGCGTGGCGTGGCATCGCTTCACAGGCATGGAGGGGGCGCCCGTGTTAGACGCCATGGGATGCATCAAGGCCATGCTGCTGCCACCTGTGACCATGCACCATCCTCTCATGCCATCAGCCACCGTGACCATCACGGTAAGTTGCTTGCATCAGATGACACGAGATGGCATCACATCACATCACATCACATCACATCACATCACATCACATCACATCACATCACATCACATCACATCACACGCCATGGGATGCATCAGTTATTCAGCATATGTTTTCCCCTAGCCACAAGCCATGTAATGTCCTGCTGAATCACATGCTGTGAACCCCACCTGCTTTGGACTATCTATCTGTCCCCACTGGTTGCCATTGCCAGCCAGGCGTATCTCAAAGCAAACTTCAAGTATGCACTTTCTGCAAATTATTTCCTTAATTTTCCTCGCTCGGCCCTATTTGCTCATCCCCTCTTCTCCCGCGCCTCCCTCTCTTCAGGTTGCTGTTTCCATCTCATTGATCGCATCTGCCATCCAGTCGGCGTCCGACACGTCATCGCGCACCCAGGAATCTTCAGCTGCCCAACCGAAGCCGCACAGGGCCCAAGTTCCTGCATCAGATTTTATATTTTTTAGAAAGATGAACGATTTACCGTTTTATAAGATCGATGCTGCATCATGCCGAGCAGTAGACACAGCTCCAATTGCTTGCAGCACCGGTGAAATGCTCCCACTGAATACACAAGTACAGCGCTCCCTTGCAGCAGCTGCCGTACCAGACACACGGCCATCCCTTGCAGGAGCGGCAGGGGTAGGACTAGGAGCAGGAAGAGGAGAAGGTATAGGAGTAGGAAGAGGAGGGGCAGGAGGAGGCGTGGTGAGAGCGGTGGCAGCAGCACTGCCATCCGTTGTAGGCATAGTGGTGGGGGGAACAGTGTGGGGCTCTGGAGTGATCATTTCCCCCTCTGGTCTCATACTCACCAATGCTCACATCCTCACTCCCTTGCTCAAGCAGCGGCAGCTGTCAGTTCAGAGAACGAGTTTCCACAATTTGAGTTCTGAGAACCCTTCGGAAACCCACTCTTCAACCTTTTCCTCGTTCCTCTCTTCTCCTCCATCTGTCTCCTCCTCGTCCTCGTCCACCTCCTCCTCCTCGTCCCCTTTCTCATCCCCTTCTCTTGACCTCCTCTCCTCTCCCCCTGCTCACGACATTTGGGTTCGAGTTCCGTCCTCCTCTTCCCTTCTTTCCTCCACTCCACCCTCCTCCCTTGTCTCCTCCAACCCATGTTTCCCACCAGCAGCAGCATGGGTGCGGGCAGGTATCATCTATGTGTGCTCTGGCTCCCTGGACGTTGCCCTGCTGCACCTGCACCAGATACCACCTGCACCTGCACTTGAACCTGCACCTCTAGATAACAGACAGCACCTGCACCAGATACCACCTGCATCTCTGGACCACAGTCAGTCCCTGCACCAGATACCACCTGCACCATCAAGACATACCTACCCCAGACAAACGCACCAGCATACGACCACAGCACAGCCAGCAGATTCAAGCGAGGGGAGTCCACAACAACCCAGCAGCAGCAGTCTGGCTGTCCGTCCCATTCGCCCAAGTGCCTCGGAGCCTGAGTGTGGCTCTACAGCTGTCGTCATTGGTTATGCTGTCTTCCCGCCCGCTGTGGGTACGTGCAACAATCTCTCTGCAGCAGTGCTTAGGCTGATCTACCTTGGGGGCTTGTTGCACCCATCCCATTCCCCACATCCGTCCCATTCGCCCAAGTGCCTCGGAGCCTGAGTGTGGCTCTACAGCTATCGTCATTGGTTATGCTGTCTTCCCGCCCGCTGTGGGTACGCGAAACAAAATATTTTCTAAGCACCTTCGTTCTTTTTCGTTTTATTTACATTTACCTTTCTTCCTGCCAGCTCTTCCCTCAAAAGTGCTAGCAACACCTCTTCCAAACACATCGCTTTACATCTCCACCTCCCTCACCCCCCATAACCCCATCTCCCACCCGCCCGCTCTTCCTTTAATCCCCCCTTTCAGCCACTCCTCCGTCAGTCTTCCCAGGCATCATCTCTTGAATCGTCACAGTCAACCTGGAACACAAGCAGCAGCAAGAGCAGGGATTCAACACCTTCCCCGTTCTGCCTTCATCCCCCTCTTCCCCCCCTCCCTCCCCCTCTTCCAGCCACTCCCCCATCAGTCTTCTCAGGCATCATCTCTCGAATTGTCTCAGTCGACCTGCAGCACGAGCAGCAGCACGAGCAGAGATTTGAGACCAAGAGCAGCAGCACTGGCTCACCTGATGGGTTGAGAGGCGGGCAGCAAGAGGTAGAGGCGTGTCAGAGCACAGCGGAGCATACAGGGGCGCTTGATCAAGGGAGAAGAGGAGGAAAGAGAGGAGGGAGGGTGGCAGCGGCGAGTCAAAGCACAGTGGAGCAGATAGGGGCGCATGATCAAGGGAGAAGAGGAGGAAAGAGAGGAGGGAGGGTGGCAGCGATGGTGCTGACGACTGCAGCAGTGCATGCCGGGGCGAGCGGAGGGGCGGTGGTGAATGCACAGGGGGAGATGATCGCACTCGTGACAAGGTGAGCTGGTTACCAGACAAGGTGAGCTGGTTACCAGACAAGGTGAGCTGGTTACCAGACAAGGTGAGCTTGTTACCAGACAAGGTGAGCTGGTTACAAGTTTGGTTGGCCACTTACCAAGTCAGTTCGTTTCAAAGTAACCATGTTGCAATGTTATGACACAAGCACATGTTATGAGATAACCATGTCACAGTGTTACAAGGCATGCACTTTGCAATGTTACCATCTTTCTTTATCCCTCGTCCTGCCCACTTGGCCCTCTTCCCTTTCTAAACGCCCCTCAACCACCCTTTACCTCCTGGCCCTTTTCTCCCCTTCACCAGCAACGCGAAGCACAACCGGCACGGCACCATCCTCCCTCATCTCAACTTCTCCATCCCCTCTCAACGCCCCTCTGTGCCCTTCTACCCCTGTTTCCCCCCCCAGCAATGCCAAGCACAACCGCCATGGCACCATCCTCCCGCACCTCAACTTCTCCATCCCCCTCGCGCTCCTCCTTCCCGTCTTCCACTTCGCTTCATCCCTCCACTCTTCCCTCCACACCTCCCACCACTCCCCCCCCCACTCCCCCCTCTACTCCCCTCCCCCTCCTCCATTCTCCCCTGCATGGGCCTCCGTCGTACATCTCCTTCTCACTCGCTTCCTCCTCCCCCTCAACACCCCCTCTCCAGCCATCCACGCCCTCTGGTCCCTCGCCCCCTCCTCCCACCTCACTCTCCCTGACATCCCTCGTCCCCCGCTGTCTCTCTCTCGCCTCATCACCCCCTCAGTACAGACAAACAGAGCCAGGTTATGATACTGACACGTCTCAACACCTCTTCCCCAGCCAGCCATACACTCCCTCTGGTCCCTTGCCCCCTCCTCTCATCTCACTCCTCCAACATCCCTCGTCCCGCGCTGTCTCTCTCTCGCCTCATCTCCCCCTCAGTCCAGACTAATAGGCCCAGGTTATGATACTGACACATGTCAACACCACTCCCCGCCCATCCACTCCCTCTTTTGGTCCCTCGTCCCCACCGTCTCTCTCTCGCCTCATCTCCCCTTCAGTCCAGACTAATAGGCCCAAGCTATAATCCCCCCTCTTACACAAGTCCAGCCCAAGCTCAGTCCGACTTTTGAGACGTCTCAGGAATCGCTCCAAGCAGTCCCTCTCGAGCCTCATCTCCCCTTCAGTCCAGAACTCAAGTGTGGTCCCCAAGGTGTCCTGTCCAGACACTATCCAGCCGGCCCCAATGAAGTGTGAAGACATGCTGGACTGTGGGAAACACGTGCCCTGTGACTTTCACGACGACTGTGGAACTGCAAGTGTCCACCAATAATGTCTCAGATGTAATGTAACACCAAAATTTTAACTAAACCAACGTGCACCAATTACCTTGGCAAGTTGTCGTTATCATGCCGGCGCATGACAAGCCAGACCGACGTGTGACGTGTCCACTGCTGACATAGTGTCCATACTTAGTTGTCCGGACAGCTCTGTGCGACCGTGCTCTGAAAGGCCCAGCCCAGCCTGGTCTGATAATTAGGCAAATTGAACCTTTGTGGCTGCTGGTGTGTATAATGTTTTTCTATTTTGGTTCCGATGAGTAATCACGTGCTAAGATTCATTAATTTCTGTGTCATAAGTGTAGGGTGAGCTGCTGGAACCACACGTATTTGTAACGTACGGTAATATGCTGGGTAGGTGTAGTTAACATAACAATTTCGTAAGTGAAGTCCATCTCTAGCGCGTGTAACACGCGGCGCTGATGGGGTTCGATAGGCCTTCAAAGCTGGGTGATATATATGCAACTCGCAGTTCATCGCTACGATTTAGATTGAGAATACAGATAAAATCGCAGTGGTTGGCGTAAACGGAAACGCACAAGCCAGGAAAAGAGTTATACCAGTTCAAGCAAACGTGTGAGATAGAATTACAGAGTGAACAGCAGCCTCCAAGCTGTTTTAAGACCCGTCCACTTCAAATATAGCAAGCAAAATTTAGGCCCAGCTAGACAAAACCGGGCCAGGTGCAAAAGGTCTTCGGCACTGCATTTTAACCCAGCAAACCAGGGAGGATCCGGGAGAAAAGGTCCTCCTCATCCCCTGGTAGCAGCAACAGCGAATCACCAAGCCCCTCCTCTTCAGAATATTGCGAATAACCATGGCTGCTGTTGCTGCAGCTGCTGAGTCCGCTGGTGGTGCCACTCCTGTCACTGTTCACCCCACACAACCACTGCGAATCGTCCTGTGCTGCCATGCCTGCTGCTGCTCCTGCTGACGCCCCCCACAACCTGCCTATGCTCTCGGGCACGTAAACTTTCCTCCCAGCTTCACACCCTCCCACAGGCTCAACACGCTGCTGAGATTTCAACTCGGGCAGGCCGTGATAATTCCAACCGCTGCCCGGGATGAGGTTCGGGGCGGGACTTCCACTGCGAGCCTCGAGAGTACCGAAGCTAGCACTGTTACCAAGTGGAGCTGCAGCGGCATTGAGGCTCGGGCCGAACCCAGGAGGAGGTGCGGGACTGGCATGGGCGGCAGAAGGGAGGTTAGGCGATGAGCTAGACCAGATACCCGAGAGGAGAGATGTGTGCTGGAGGGAGGAAGAGGAGGAGGTAGTGGTGGGAGTGAGTGTGGTCATAGGGGTGTGAGAGTAGGCGCCAGGGTTGGTATTCGAGAGGGGGATGACGAGTGAGGGAGATGGGATGGTGTAATCAGGAAGAGGAGAGGGTGGCGAGGGGGAGGGGGAGGGGGAGGCGGAGCGGGACAGATGGGCAAAGACAGGGTCAGAAGGACCAACAGGGAAGGAAGTGGTGCTGTGCGGTATGCAGTGGTTCGACTGGAACGGGTGGGGAGGAGGAAGCGAGGAGAGAGTTGCGGAGGAGGTGGTGGTGGTGGAGGGGAGGGGAGATGAGTAGAAGGGGAAGGGCTGGGTGGAGGGGAGGGAGGAGGGGAGGCCATGGGGATGGGAGATGACGAGGTGCAGCGCGTAGCTGATGTCTCCAGAGGCCAGCACCAAGGCGTGTTCCAGCAGATCCTGGTGGGAGTCAGGCACAGGGGTGAAATATACGCAGCAGTGCATGCAGGATTAGGGAAGAGGTATGAGGGATGGGAGATGATGTCTCCAAAGGCGAGCACCAACGGATGCACCAACAATTCCTGGTAAGGCAAACCCATATCATATGCAGACAGACAGCGGTGGAATAGCAGTGAGGAATGTGTGGGAAGTAAGGGGCGTGTGGGATGGTACCTGGGGCAGTGATCCCGCGGACATGATCTCAGAGAGAGCTTGCAATTCGAGGGAGATATCCTGCAGGCAAGGAGCAAGCCACACAGATAACCAGACAAGGAGAGGGCGCAACCATGTGAGGACGATAAGATCTTAGGACAAGAGCTACCAGGAAACAATACGAGCATGCTCATGTTAACACCAACTATCTGACAGGAGAGGAGGCGGTGGTTCACGGATGGAGAGGGCGTGCACTCACGACGAATGGGGAGGGCGTGAGAGCAGAGAGCACGGAGGGGCGGCAGGAGCACTCGTGGAAGACGAGCAGGTGGTTGAGACAGCCACCCAGGTCACCCCCGTGCACCAGCACTGCCTGCGCTGCCTCTCCCAGGGGGAATCCGAGCCTGGAAGAGAGAGAGAGAGGCATACACAGAGGGAGTGGAGCGGTGGGATTTGAGCCGAGTCAAAAGACGAGCAGGTGGTTGAGACAGCCACCCAGGTCACCCCCGTGCACCAGCACTGCCTGCGCTGCCTCTCCCAGGGGGAATCCGAGCCTAAAATGCAGTTAGGTTGGAAGCGAAGAGGGAAAGGAGATAAGAACGTGCCCTGTAACGAACTAATAGCCAAGAGCCAAGCACTCGTCTTCTCCCTGTGCGCCAGCACCACAGGCACTGCCTCGCTTAGGAATATTTCAGTTCCATATTGAGGGCAAATGGTTGCAGGGTGATAATTTGGTCCCAGCATCCATTCAAAAGGGCGCTTACTCTTGCAGCTGGCGCACATAGACTCGCCGGCGATTCGTCTCCAGGGCAAAGCGGCACGCATCACTCCACGGGCGCAGCCCACCAGAGGCGGTGCTCCCTCCGGCTGCAGCACCAGACATATCCCCAGCACCACTAGCAACGGTGGCCCCCACAGAGGCAGCCGCATTGACTGCAGCAGCAGCACCGGCGGCACCTGCGGCAGCGCCGGCATCAACGGATATTGAGCCCATGCCCGGATTCGATGCATTGCTGTCCTTGCTGGCCTCTCCTGCTGCAACACCTTCTGCAGCCACCGTCTGCTGCTGCTGCTGCTGCGACTGTTTCTGCTGTTGCTGAGACTGCTGCTGCTGCTGCTGTACCTGGGAATCTGCTTTCACTCGCAAACCATCCTGCACGCCCACATCATTACCCGACCTCCCACTCAACAGCGTTTCCGAACCCACGACGCTAGGCTCGGCAGCCGGTTCGGTTAAGCTGGAGGCAGGTTCGGTGACAGGCTCGGCAGGGAGGTGGTCGGCGCAACTGCCCATGCTGGCGGAGGGGGAGAGACTGGCCATGGCGCGGGGGGTAGAGGGGAAGGAGGAAGGGGGAGAGGAGAGGCCCGAGGTGGTCGAGAATTCGCACTCAGTTGGGGTGGAGGAGGAGGACGAGGAGGAGGACGGGGGGGTGGGATGGAGAGAGGAGTGGAGAGAGGTGGAGTGAGGTGAGGAGGAGTGGAGAGAGGTGGAGTGGAGTGAGGCGGATTCCTTGGTCCAGACGGAGAGGGAAGTGGAGGGCGGGAGGTGGGCGGAAGAGGGGGGAGGGGGGTCTGGGGAGACGGTGGCTGTGGTTTTGATGGGAGGAGGTACAGGAGAGGAGGTGGTTGCGGCATCTGTCTTCCCTTGCGATTCTGTTGTCGTCCTTCCAGCCTGCTTCCCCTGCTGCTGCTCTTGCTGCTGCTGCTGCGCGGGCTGCTGCTTCTGCTGCTGTGCCTGCTGTTGGCTCGGTGCCTGCGCCTTCCCAGCCTCTGGCCGAAGCAGCAGCGCAGCAGGCTTGGCTTTCCAGACCGAGTTCGCTGGCACGGCGGCGGTCACCGGAGCAGGCACCGCAGGTGCGGGAACCGACTGCTCCTTGCCTTTCTTCTTCTGCCTGGATTGACTCCCCTTATTACTACCACCACCGCTACCGTTCTCAGCTTTCCCTTCCCCTTCTTGGCTAGCCGCCTTGCTCCCAGCCTTGTCTTTCCTGCCCTTCTCCTCGCCTCCTGCCCCTCCTGCTACAGGCTTGTCAGACGCCTTGCCTGCGGAACTGGCGTCTTGTTGCAATGATGAGTCCTTAGGAGACGAGACCTTCTCCGCCTTGCTCTGCCAAACGAAAAACGTATGCAAACAGATAGCGGAGGAGACTATGAGGCGTACTTCCCTTTCGACGGACACGACGACAGGCTAAGACAACCGTGCATGCATTAACACGTGCAAAACCACCACTGTTCTTACTGTCACCACTGCTACTACCGGTAACACTGCCATCGCTACCGCCGCTGCCACCACTGTCGCCACTACTATGCATTCTGTCGCCACAGCTGTCGCCACTACTCTCGCCATTCCTGTCTCGACTGCTGTCGCCTCTCCTCTCGTCGTCAGTCTCGCATCTCCTTTTATGTCGCCACTTATGTCGCTAACACTGTCGTCACTACTGTCGCCACTAATGTCACCATAACTGCAGTCGCTATTCCCATTAGTGCCACACACCACCAAACGGCAAGAGCAGCAAGACTCTCATAACTCACCTCCGCGTTCTTCCCTTTGGACGGTCCAGAAACGATGACAGGCGACGACGACCACGCATTCACAGGCCCGCTCCCACCACTCCCACCGCCACCGCTACTGCTGCTGCTGCTCACAGCACCAACAGCTGCTGCCGCCGCATCCTTCAACCCCGCAGCAGCAGCACTCCAGGACTTGGACAGAACCTTCACCGGCGCTCCCCCACTCCCACTTCCCCCACCACCCCCACCAGACGCGCCTATACCCCCGCTTTTCGACGACGGGGACGTCGGCCCGGCCCCACTAGACGAGGACTTAGCCACGGACACGGCAGCCTTGGCAGCGGGGGGGAGAGAGGAGCGCACGAGCAGCGCGACCGTAGGCTTTGGCGCGGGAGCAGCGGGTAACGAGGTGGAAGATTTGGAGGACGAGGAGGGCACGGAGAATGATCCTTTCGACTTGCCGCCGTCGCCTGCTTTCCCCTCTTTTTTACTATCGCCTGACTTTCCTTCCTTTTTGCTGTCGGCTGTTTTCCCTTCCTTTTTGCCGTCGCTGGCTTTACTGTCGGCTTTTTTGTCGTCCTTGCCTTTGGTGCCCTTCTTCCCCGCAGCTCCCACAGGGGCTGGAGGGGGCTCGGGCATCTTGGCCTTTCGCCGCTTCTTGCTGCAACGGAGAGAGAGGAGAACGAGGGGAGCGCGAGAGGAAGAAGTGAAAGATGAGGTGACGAAACAAAGAATTGTAATGTTTTAGTATGCCGGTGTGTCTTAGAATGCCTACTTTTAGGGGTCGGCTGAAGAGGAGGAGGGACGAGTTGAGGAGATGAGCCACGAACACAAAATGATAAGGAAAGCAGGGAGGCAAACGGGAAAGCTACGCACAACTTTTCTCGCACAAAGTTTCTAGTGGACAGGTACACAGCGCAGGCAGAAACGGCTACGGCGGAAAACGAACGCATTCGCTTGCTGAGTAACTTCGTTGCGGCGTTTAAAACGCGCGGAAACGGACGTAGGAGACGGGGGATGAGATGAGGAAGGGTGGGGAAAGGAGGAGAAAGGAAGGAAAGGGTGTGCAGGGAGATAATGCACCTGTTTTCGTTCCGAGCATGAATCGGGTGGGACTTGGTGATCTGGAGACGCAGGAGTGGCACGAAATCAATAAGAGGGAAAGGCAAGGAGGAGAACCACGGAAACGAGCACACGGACGAGAGACACGAGACACAAGGCAGGACGAAGGCATTAGCCGCACGAGGCAAGAGACGCATGAGGTATCAGATGAAAGAGATGGAGGAGTGGAACAATGGAACACGCATGGAGGGAAGGGTATTGGTATCAGCAAATGTAGGAGAGCACGCAGATGACTGCATGAGCCATGAAAAAAAAAAAAATCAAAACTCGGTCCAAGAAGAAGGTGAAGATAAACAAAGACGAAGATCGCCTGATGCTGATTCGTGAAACTAGTTTAGTGAAAAAAAGGCTCAGAAAAAAACAAGAACATACAGGGTGCGATCCATGGCAAGAAAGAAAAATGTAAGGAGAAACCTACACGTCCAGGACACGGCTTGTCGAACTTCGTCGCTTTGCCATTGCCACGTGGACATTGGAAGCCCGTCTTTCGTTGCCTGCGTTACAATGAGCAAAGGCGAAAGGACACATAAGAATTGTCATGGTGAGGTCATCACGGGGTGATTAAAGGATTGGTGGAAACAAAAACAAAGTAGAGGAATAGGCGGAGTTATGAAAAGGATGGATGAACTACAGAGGCTACTAGACGCTTGAGATAGATGGTGTTAAGTTTAAAGTAGCGATTCTTCATATTTCGAGGTTTTTTCCAAGACAATTGCTGCGTCGCCAAGAATTGGCCTTCAGATACCAGATAACTGGCTGCTATATACTGTTATACGTTGGAATCGCCTAATGCTTGCTGCACAGCTTGTAACAACCCTTAGTGAGCCGAGATGGAAAACTTGAAACTAAATCAAAGAGGATCAACAGGAGGATTCTAACCACGCCAGCACGATGCGCTCAAATACTTCCCGTTGAGCGCCAAAGAACTTGACGGAGAGAGACGGAACGCTATCCTTACAACCTTGGAGGACGTTCAAAAGAAGGCGAAACTGGAAAAAGCATTGACTTCGGAGAACCGTGGTCTCTATTCGGAAGTTTCTACCCTATAACTACCGTGATTTTTCACAGCTACTGCAAAAGTTCATCCCATCTATCGACCATTTCCTGGCCAGAACCGGCTGCAGCGAGGAGGTAACTAAAGGCGTGAGTTTTAAGAACCATACTTGTCCAGCCGGATGCTCTTTAAAAACGCCTCGATGCAGTGTTGATGGTACACGCCTGAGCTCGCGCATCCTTCGAACGTGCACGAGAGCGCGTTAAGCTCGTCCTGCGTACTATCGCACGGCTCCCCGCAATAGTCACAAACTCCCTCGATATCATGCAGAGAATGACCCGCGGCTGGCACGGCTGGCGCGACTGGCGGCGGCATTTTCGCGATAGAACTTGCAGGAAAAGCTGCAGCAAGAAGCGAGATACAAAAGTGCTGTTGTTAGCGAAGAGTTAGTGAGGCAACACGGTGTGGTGGTTCTAATCTTTATGACGGAGTAAAACACGCAAGCTATAAGGCCTGGAAGGATATCCTACGATAATCAGGATTCGGTTTCAGGGACACGCCTCGAATTAATCAACCAGTTCTACGAGCAATGTCGCGTGCCCAGAGCTAGCACGCAGCAGCAATAATCCTCAAACGAACGTGTTCTTACTGTGCAGAAACAAAAAGGTGAGGTTGCAATGCCGCGAATTACGGAACGTGAGGTTCCCGAGGTTCTCTAGGGTTGTTGCAATGGCAACAAGGGAGCCACGCAGCAGCAGCCAAAGAAAACCTAGATTCTTCCCACACGCTCTTCCCTGCTTTGGCTTGCTTGGCCCAGCACTGCACTGCGGACTTTCGGCTCTCCGTCAAGTTCTCCTCACATCGCTCGTCTTGCTTTCCTGTTCGCTCTCCGTCAAGCTCTGTCAGGTATCTCCGCCCTGCTGGCGCTAGGCAGTGTCCCAGGCGTTCCGCCGTGCTGAGAGTGAGGACTACTCGGCGGAGCAACTGAACCACGCGCGAAGTGCGGAAACGGCCTTGGGAGCCGTTTTGCGCAGGTATTGGGGAGCATGTGGGCGATGCTGATGGTGACCTGACCTTGCTTGGAGGAGGATGGAAGGGAAATCAACAGAAGCCAGGCACACGGTCACTTGTACGTTTCGGATAACGTTTTTTCACTGACCGTGACGTTTGCGACGGCCAAATTGACGGGTCTTTCTGTTCGATGTCAGCTTCGTGCTGATCACGCGTCCTCGGTAAACACCTTTCTAGTTTACGGGCAGACCCTGACCGACGGGCACTGAAGGATGGGTCATGTGTGGGTAACCGAGCATTGATGGGGATTTGGCGGAAGCAAGCAGCCAATCACAGGCGCGGTGGAACCACAACGCATCCGCTTGGCCCACGGGTCAATCCTCCTGAACCACGCAAACATCAACCGGAGGCGGAACGTTTAGGGTTTTGCTCGTGACGCAGCTGTCTAATGTCTGGTTACCGTGTCAGACGTAGGCTTCGCATGTGCGAACTTTTGCAAAACAAGTTTGCCGCCACCTCCTTGGATGTCACGGAGAAAAACAAGCTGGAGAAAAAAGTTTCCCGAATAAAGAGCGGGATACAAATCTGACACGATATGAAGTGTATACAAGTTGCTATATAGAAACACGTATACATATCACTTTAACTGAACATGCAACCTATTTGATGCCACAAAAAGAAAATAAAACAGAAATAATATTCCATGTGTCATAATAATTGAATCTCACACATTCATGTGGACGATATTTCTCTATTTTTATATAATGTTGACAATCGAAGGCACATAAAAATGAAACGGTAACAATTGAAATATTGGATTAGAAATGTGGCACTGAAATGGAGGGTGCTGCTGTCTGATGCCGTGTATGGTTTCAAAGGCTGGACGGGTAATTGAAGAAGGATCATTCATTGGCTAGTTTAGCAAAGGAGAAATTCTTGATCTTTTGCTGTTACAACTGTTCATTGTAAGTGTCAGCCACTGTGCAAATACGGGGTTTGTTGTGTCGGTGCACGTTTGCTTTGTCCTGAAAAGGCTGGAGAAACATCATCACACCAGCAGCTCGTTGCTGTCAGCCATATCCATTGAACCTCGACCTTGTCTCCGATCCGACAGGCACGAGCAGCAAGAGGCATTAGTGACTCGGTAGAGGCAGAGCCGACACCGCCTGACGCTTAGAGTGCATCGGTAGTACATTAGTGGCTTATTGCTCACATATTACCGCCACGCTTGGTGTATGATTAGTGTACGATACTTGTGCATAGTTTCTGCCTTTGATTTCCTATTTGATATAGCCTTTAGATTCAAGAAGCTTGATACAAGACGGATTTGATACAATCACGGGCTCGGAAAACCAGCTTAGAGCAAAAAGTACTTTTGGCGAGATTCGGTCTTCCTCGTCCATCATGAGTTCCATAATCTAGGCCTGTTTTTTCAGGGTGTTTTCGAGCTGTACACCAGATTGGCCCGGGTCACCAAAGTTCGCATTCGCTGTAGCTGTATCGGCTGGCGGCTGTAGCGGCGCGGCTGCTTCGACTGGCTGTAGCAACGGTGCCGCCAGTCGACTCGTCAGCTTCTACTCGGTCAATCGCGCGGCTGTAGCGCCGGTTGGCTTTGTCGTATCCACGGCTGTAGTTGCGCTGTAGCAAGATTGAGATTGCTGAAGTGTAGCTGTGGGTTGTGCTGCAGCCGTAGGAGCAGGAGGAGTTGAAAAGGGAGTTGCAACAGGAGTTGAAACCGGAGTTGGAAACAGCAGTTTCTAACAATGGAGCAGCTACTAACGAGTGAACAGCGGGAGGTGCTTATAGCGGTGGATGGAAGCGAGTGTACGTCGCAATCATTACGTTCCTGCTTTCTATCACACACACACGCACACACACACACACACGCACGCACACACATACGCACACACATGCAAGCACCCAGACCCACATACAAGCACACGCACATGTTCACTCACGCTCGTCTCCCCCCTGTATTTTCTTCTCCTCCAACCGTCCTTTTACGATCCTCCGTCCTCCTTCCTCAGTTTCCACTCTCCCTCTCTCCCTCCCTCCCTTCCTCCCTCCCTCCCTCCCTCCCTCCCTCCCTCCCTCCCTCCCTCCCTCCCTCCCTCCCTCCCTCACTCTCTTCCCTCCAACAACCAAGTCGCGTCATCTGTCTAATTCACATCATCAGCCAAGCGGACTCACATGCTGCGACAGTGCCCTCTGCGCTGCTCTCTCTCCCCCCCCCTCCCTCTCTCACGCTCATGAACTGCCAACGCTCTCTCCTCTCCCTCTTGTTAGTAAACAGGTGGGCTGCGGAGGTCTCATTCTCCTCTCGCTCATTCTCCTCTCGCTCATTCTCCTCTCCCTCTCTCTCAACCCCTTGCCTCGCATGGACACGCGACTCTCAACGTGCTCTCCCTGACCTGACTATCTAGCATACCCCCCTGCCTCTCCCACATTCGCAGGTTCAGGGCTCGCGTTCGTTTGGGCTTTAAGGTCCTCGTGCACGTGCGTAGCTAACTGTTTTTGAGGCGCCTCAAAAGTCGTTTGGGCTTTAAGGACCTCATGCGTGTGCATAGCTGACTGTATTCATTCGTGCTCTCGCTGTCCGCACCATATCCCTGACTCCCTTTCTCTCCCACCCTGCAGGTTCAGAGCTGGCGTTTAACTGGGCATTGAGGAATTACTGCACATGCACAGCCTTTTAAGGAGCATTTCAATAGAAGGAATTCACGTCCTTCCCTCCCTGCCTTTCTCTCCCACCCTGCAGGTTCAGAGCTGGCGTTCAACTGGGCGTTGAGGAATTACTGCAAGGCCCAGGATCATGTGCGCCTCATTCACGTGCGCAAGTCATTTGACGGTAAGCAACGTTACGAGAGCGGAGGAAACGGTGAGACGAAGGGTGGTAGAATAGAAGAACAGCCAGTCAGGGGCGTCGAGTTTCTTGGTTCTTTACTTTCCTCTTAATCCCCCTTCCCCAACCCTTTCCTCCCTTTTCCCTCCCCTCCTTTTCCCCCTCTCCCCCCAGACATGGCGGGCAAGCTCCCAGCGGACGCTATAACAACGTTGGAGGCACAGGCGGAGGCAGCTGCACGCACTAAGACACTAAGACAAGCTTCCCTGCTCTCCTCCTCTTCACACCCCCCCTTTCCCGTTTTCTCTGCCCAGACATGGTGGGCAAGCTCCCAGCGGACGCCATAGCAACGTTGGAGGCACAGGCAGAGGCATCTGCACGTTGCTGATCCATCGCCATCCCGTTCCCTCAATCCCCCAACTGACCACTCCCATCCCTTTTCTCCCTCCAGACATGGTGGGCAAGCTCCCAGCGGACGCCATAGCAAGGTTGGAGGCACAGGCAGGCATGGTATCTCAGTGTCCAAGGCATAATTTCCCCCCCTTCTCCCCCTTCTCCTCTTCCCTCCTCCCCCAGACATTGCGGGCAAGCTTCCAGAGGACGCCATAGCAACGTTGGAGGCGCAGGCGGAGGCAGCTGCGCGCGCCATAGTGGAAAAGTACATGAAGAAATGTGCTGTAGCGGATGTGAGTGCGCTTATAACAGGTTTGAGTGCGGCTATAACGGATGTTCACGTGCCATAGTGGAGAAGTACATGAAGAAATGCGCTGTGGCGGATGTGAGTATGTTTGAGATTAATCAAAGTGACTTGGATAGAGCTGGTCTGCAAACCCATCAGCAGGCGCTATAGTGGTGAAGTACATGAATAAATGTGCTTTGGCGGATGTGAGTGCGCTTATAACAGATGGCACCCAACGAACGCGCTGAAGCGGATGTGAGCGCGCTTATAACGAATGAGCATTTCTGCAGCTTGCGAGTCATGGTTGTTGTAAAGGATGCTGCGAGCGGCAGACGAGCACAATTCTTGAGGCGCCGCAGACATCTTGAAGAGTTTCGAGGCGTCGGAAAAAATCGCAATCATTTTTATGGTGCCTGAAAGAAGTAAACGGAGTTTTCGAGGCGCCTAAAAAATCCAATAATTATTATGAGACGCCTATGCCCTGCTACCTCCCGTTCTGAGACGACTTGTAGTTCGCACTTTTCCACTCTCACAAACCATGGCAATGTTGTTTCTTGGTTGCTTCCCGTTTCCTTTTTTCCATTTCCTCTTCTTTTGCTTGCAGCTGGAGTGTGATTGTTAAATAGCGTTGTATAAACATTTCCAGCGAGTAGTGGCACAGTGGAAGAAATAGTGGACATTGTCCCTTCTTCCTCTCTTTTGTGTGCGTGCAGCTGGATGTGACTGGAAGATAGCGGTGGGGGATGAGCGACGTTCAAACATTTCCAGCGAGCAGTGGCATAGTGGAAGAGATAGTGGACATTGTCCCTTCTTCCCCTCTTTTGATGCGCCTCAAAAGGCATAGTGGAAGAAATAGTGGACATTGCCCCTTCTTCCCCTCTTTGGTGTGCGTGCAGCTGGACTGTGACTGGAAAATAGCGGTGGGGGACGAGAGGGATGTGATATGCAGGGAGGTGATGCGCGTGTGTGCAGACGTGCTGATTGTCGGCACGCGAGGTCTCTCCCCTGTCAAGAAGTGAGTGCTGGAGTGGGTGTTGACGCGTACGAATGGGACGAGCGAGAGGTGATCTGCAGGGAGGTGATGCGCGTGTGTGCAGACGTGCTGATAGTCGGCACGAGGGGGTTGTCGCCCGCTACCAAGTGAGTTGTGGGGACAGTCTGAGCGAGCAATTGCATGTTTGAGAGCTTATGGATGTGCTGTGCTTTTGAGTCGACTCAAATGTCAACTTGTTCGGACGGGCATCTCAACTCAGTGTCGGTTGGAGGTCCTTCGGTCATGTGTAGAGAGGGTGTGTAGAGAGAGTGTGTAGAGAGGGTGTGTAGAGAGGGTGTTTTTGAGACGTCTCAAAATCAACTCAGTGTCGGTTGGAGGCCCTTCGGTCATGCACGTGTCACTTCTGAGACTTGTAAAAGGTGTTCGCTCGTGTCTACTTGATGCCTTGTAGTCATGCTTGTGTTTGATTTTGTACATTCTCCCTCCCTCCCTCCCTCTCTTCCCCTCTCTCAGGGCTTTGCTTGGCTCAGTTAGCGAGTACTGTGCACACCACAGGTAGGTCCATTCAGGCCGCTGCTTCTATGGTTAATGCCGTAGCTGCTGCCACAGCCGCTGCCGCACCTGTTGCCACAGTTGTTGCTTTCTGCCCATGTGCTTGCGAGTGGATGGGGGATATGGTGAGTGGGTGGGGCTAATGTTGGGTGTGTTTTCTGCGTTTCCTCTCCACCTGTGGTGCCATGCACCATGCCCCATGCTCCATGCCCCATTCCCCATGCCCCATGCCGCATGCCCCATGCCCCATCCCCCATGCCCGATGCCCCATACCGCATGCCCCATGCTGCATGCCCCATGCCCCATCCCCCATGCCCGATGCCCCATACCGCATGCCCCATGTTTCATGCCCCATGCGTCATGCCCAATGCTGCATGGATCCCACCTGGCTTACACTGAAAGGTTTCTGATCACCTCTCACTGTTCCTCCCTCTGCCCCCCTCCACTCTCTCCCACACTCTCCCCACTCTATTACCCGCTCCCTCCATGCCAGTGCATGATAGTCAAGGCAAAGGAACCCAAGCCCAATTCCTGGCTCGGTGTTTGATCCCTGCCCCCTCTGGCCCCTTCTGCCCCCTCTGCCCCATCTGCTTCCTCTGCCCCATCTGCTCCCTCTGCCCCATCTGCTCCCTCTGCCCCATCTGCTCCCTCTGCCCCATCTGCTCCCTCTGCCTCCTCTGCTCCTCTGCCCCACCTCCCATCATGCCAGTGCCTGCCCTGTGATAATTGTCAAGGCAAAGGAGCCCAAGCCCAACGCCCAGCTCAGCGTTTTACCCCATGCCCACTGGCCCATCTGCTCCCTCTGCCTCCTCTGCCCCTCTGCCCCATCTCCTCTATGCCAGTGCCTGCCCTGTGATAATTGTCAAGGCAAAGGAGCCCAAGCCCCATGCCTAGCTCGCTGTTTCACCCCAAGCCCTATGCTCATCTTGATTGTTGACCTTATCGGTAGTTTCTTCCGCGCTACAGCTGGATTGGTGCATAACGTACAAATAACATACAGTACATGTATCTATCTACCCGTTATACACAGCACCAGCTCCTTTATAGCTTCATTCATTCAATCTGTCCTGCCACAATCAGTTGATGAGGGCTTGTACGGTATGATGCGCAGTATGAGCTAGTAAGAGCGTGTTCCTACGGCCTCATATCAGGAAACCTCGTATCAAGAATGCTGTTTTTGCCTGGTAAAACTAGCGAGAGGTTTTGGGTTTAGGGGAATTTTCGGTGTGAGCCTGATACGAGGTTGAATTGATACGAGGATAGGAACACGCTCTAAATCAGTTGATGAGGGCTTGTATCATGCCCAGTATGAGCCACCTAGTACTAAGGACGCGGCACCTCTAGGGAGGAAGCCACGATCGATCCTGGCTTGTACAGTGAAATCGCGAAACTACCACCAGGCCAGTTACCGGTTTCGTCATAGCTCGCAAGTGTACAGTAAATTGGTGCCCAAAATGGTGGCACCTCTGGCTCGCACGATCGATGTGCCTGCGCCCACACATCGATCGTGTAATTGTGAAATCGGGACCATATTGCCCCTGAAATTTTCGATCGTGGCACCTGTGGCTCGGTGAGTCCAGACGATCGCAATTTTGCAGTGTGGGCACATCGGTGTGCCGATCGATGTGCCCACATCGGTGTGAGGCCCCGATCCTTCCCCGATCCTGGCCAATTCCCTAGAGGTGCCGCGTCCTAACACTGTATCCACTCTGATACTTCTTCGTTTTTGGAGATTCAGAAGTAAGGTCTATGTTAGCCAGACTCAATATACAGAGTATCAATCACTTCTCCAAATTCAATCTGTACTATCTGACTCAGTAGTAGCATAATCAGCATCATACACCCCCTCTTCTGGACACACATCTTCTAAAAAACTAAGAGCTCGCAATAGCAGTTGTTTAGCTGAGAGCCGGAACTTAATAGCCTGAACCTTCTCCTCTGGAAGCTGTAACACAGGGACCCCACATGTCCCTTCACCTTCCCCCACATCTTCTCTCCTGTCACCCCCACTGCTGCCACTGTTGTCCCTACTGCTGCTACTGCTGCTACCACCACTGTTGCCCCCCCTTTCCCTGTCTCCCATTTCACACGATGCATCCTCTACAAGCGTCTTCTTTAGCAGGTTATAATCCTCCATAAACGTGCTCTTGGAGCCGCGTAGTGAAGCGCGCAGAATGTTACGTAACACGTCAGCAGCTTGTACGATGGAGCCTGCAAGCATTGCTGAGCGCGCAGCTGCCTCCACTGCCCTACCGTGTGGTCTCTCTTTGTCACCCTCTGCTGCTGCTGCTGCTGCTCCGTCCCCTCCTGCTGCCCCCTCCGCTCCTTCTGCTTCCAGGACGGCTAGGTGGTACGTCTGCTGCTGCTTCAGAGTGCCACATGTCACCCCGTCTCGAAACACAAAGCGCAGAATGGTCTCAGCCAGGGGTTGGAAGTCAAAGGCAGGGTCTGGGGAAGTGGAGGGAGGAGGGAGAGAAGGGGGCACAAGAGGAATCAGGACCTGCTGCTGCTTGAGAGTGCCAAATGTGTCCCCGTCTCGAAACACGAAGTGCACAATGGACTTTGCCAAAGCCGGGAAGTCAAAGGCAGGGTCTGAAGGGGTGGAGGGAAAGGGGTGGGGTGGAGGGAAGGGAGCACAAGAGGAACACGGTCCATTGCTGCTTGAGTGTAATATAGGTGACCCCATCCCGAAACACCAAGTGCAGAATGGTCTTGAATAAGCCCTGGAAGTTAAAGGCAGGGTCTGGGGAGGTGGAGGGGAAGGGGGAGAGGGAGAGGGGAGCAACAGAGAAATCACATTCTGCTGCTGCCTGAACCACACGCTGAATCACATTCTGTGCTACAGCTGACCCCATTGTGAACCACACGCTGAATCACATTCTGTGCTACAGCTGACCCCATTGTGAACCACACGCGGCTCACGCCGTCTCAGAACTCAACTCAAAGTACAGAATGGTCGTGCCTGAGGCCTGCAAGTCGAATGCAGGGAGTGGGGAAGTGGAGGGACCTCAAACTAAACCCTATCAAATCGAGTTGAACCTGACAACCTAACTGACCCTCACCATGTGATGACATGCTGATCGCAGCCAGAGCAGCCAGCAGGCGAGCAACCAGCAACAACATGTGGGCTCGAACATGTGGGCATCAGCTTGGCTTACAATGATCATTCACTCACCATGTGCTGGCATGCCGAGTTGACTTTTGAGTCGACTCAAAAGTCAACTCGAACATGTGGGCATCAGCTTGGCTTACAATGATCATTCACTCACCATGTGTTGGCATGCCGATGGTAGCCAGAGCAGCCAGCAGGCGAGCATCCACACACCCCTCCCTGCCTATCAGAGTAAGTTACAGCTAACAAGGTCAAGTGACTTTTCACTCACCATGTGTTGGCATGCCGATCGCAGCCAGAGCAGCTAGCAGCCGTGCATCCACATACCCCTCCCGGCCTATCGCCAGTGCTTCCGAACCTGCCACCGCTCCTGCTGCCATGCCTAGCAGCTGCCGATCCAAGTCGTGCTCGGCTGTGTAGTCCGCCTGCCGAGCCTCCACTGCAGCTATGGCGGAGGTTACCGAAGCTGCAGCCAAGTCCCGGTCGAACGAACCAGTCAGCCACGGGTATTTCTCAGTATAGTCTGATTCATTATTAGCATCAGTTCCAGCTACAGTACCAGCATCAGAACCCGCTGCTGCTGCTGCCCCTCCTCCTTCTCCTCCTCCTCCTCCTCCGCCTCCTCCCATTCCTTCTTCTCCTTCTGAAAACGTGCCTTCTCCTCCCGTTAATCGTCCTGACGTGGCACCAAGATATTTTGTCTCGTAGTAGTCAAGAAGTGCATCGGCGTTTTCGAAGAGGACGAATCGGTCAAACGGGTTGTTGGGCGGCACGAAGCCGTACAGCAGCAGGAACTGGGCGGTGTCCATCGAGCCATAGCCCACGCTGATTGGCTGGCCTGGCGAGATGACGTCAGCAGCAAAGATGTTGATGTCAGCGGTGGAGGAGTGGATGGTGGGCTGACGTGGCGCGGGAGAGGAGAGGAGAGGGGAGGGGAGAGAAGCAGAGTGAGAGGGAAATTGAGATAATGGTTGGTCGGTAGAGAGGGAGAGGGAGTCAAAGGAGTGAGAATAGCAAGAGGGAGGGGAGGTGGGAAACAAAAGCTTCTTGAGGCGCCTAAAAAAGAACCTCCCTTCACCTGCGCACATGTACATGTGCGTCAAACGCCCTATTGTCACGAATTCATGCTTAAACACCTTATGTGTCTGATATTACACGAGTCTGAATGCGCCTTGACTCACCCTCAGATGTCGGACCAATCAGTCTGCTGTGTGTCCGAATGCATGCTTAAACTATTCCCAAGGGGCCTCGTCTTGCTCACCCGCCCTAACCTGTCTGAACCTGCCCGAGCCTGCCCGAGCCTGCCCGAACCTGCCCGAACCTGCCCGAACCTGCCCGAACCTGACCACACCTATCAGTACCTACCAGTCTACCGTGTAGTAGAACTCGTGATTGGAGAGATCTAGGCGAGGTTGGGCACCCACCTGAAACCCCCTGAACCAGCCAGTACCGGTCAGAACCTGCCCGTATCTGCCAGTCTGCCATGTAGTAGAACTCATGATTGAAGAGATCTAGTAACGGCAGCAGCATGTGCACCTCCTCCCCCTAACCTCACAGCACGCTCACCCACCTGAACCTCACTGTACCTGCTTGAACCTGCCTGCCCATACCTGCCAGTCTGCTGTGTAGTAGAACTCGTGGTTGAAGAGATCCAGTAACGGCAGCAACATGTGCACCTCCTCCCCTTCCGCCCCCTCCCCTCCCTCCCCCTCTCCCTCCTCAGCTTCCTTCTCCGCCTCCTCCTCCATATACTGCCAAAACTCCTCCTCGTCCTCCCCCTCCTCCTCCGCCCTCCCTCCCCCCTCTCTCCTTCCCCCCCTCCCCCTCCTCCTCCCTCTTTTCCCCCTGCCCTTCAAACCAACGGCCGAGATCGGCACGGATCGCGACCACACGATCGCAACCGCCCATTTGAACTCATCCATAGAAGCACCCGCAATACTCTCATCCGAGCAGAGAGAAAACGCCTCTTCCGCATACCTAATCGCCTCCTCTACTCTCTCTATTGCCTCCCCACTATCCAACTCCCCCAGCGTCGCCTCATCCCAGAAAAGCGGCAGCGGCACATACCCCGGCAGGAGATTAATCCACGGGGAATAAAAAGACTCTTTACCCTTCCTCCACTCCCTTAACAGCCACGCGGCTACAGTCACATCGTCGCCAGCGTTCTTGTAAGGGGCGGGGGGAGGAGGGGCGGGGCGGGAGAGGGGGAAATCCCACCCCCCGTGCAGTCGGGAGAGCCAGAGGGGGAAGGGGATGGCGGCGAGGGGGGAGCCAGCGGGGGTGGTGGCGGAGGCTAGGACGCCCAGGGGGAGGCGCGGGGGGAGCGGGGGGGAGGGGGGCGCGCAGGAGTAGAAGGCGGGGGAGGAAATGGCTAGGACCTGAGGGAGAGGTGTGGGGAAGTGGGGAGGGGGGGAGGGGGAAGGGGGGGAAGCAGGGAGGGGGAGGAGGGGAAACGGGGGAGGTTTAGTTGGGGAAAAGGAGGGTGAGAGGGAGATAATGAATAGTAATACAGGAGCAGGAAAGTAAATAATGAACATAAAAAGCTACTAAACTTCTAAGGACATCGATTGAGTCTCACCTGGATCTTTGATCGTACACCCTCTTCCACCGATTGGTCCCCGTGCTTCTCCATCCACGTCAGCAACGCGTCCACCAATCGCGCCTCCCTCTCTGGCAGCGGCATCATCGCAGAACCTTCCCTCTCATACGCAAAAATGTCGGCCAGATCGAAATCCGGATCTATTTCCGGTATCGAATCCCAATCGGATCCCGAACCGTGATCTGATTTATTATCATACGCATCATCATCATCACCATCATCGTCCACGTCAGCACCAACCACGTCATCACCCACGTCAAACTCGCCATCATCCGCGTCATCCCAGCCCTCCAAATCAACGTCCTCGTCATAAGGAGACTCGTTATGGTGTTCTTCAAACTCTCCATCCTCCTCGTGTACATGTTCCATTCCATCCTCGAATAACCCATCATCAATGTCACTATCCACATTATCATCATTACCCTCGTTATTGTCACGATCATCATTATCACCATAAACACCATCATCCTCATTATAACCACTCCCATCGGCATCCCCCTCACGATACCCAAACAGCTGATCCAAATCCTCGTCTGATCCCTGCTTAGAGTTACCTTTAGAGACTAGAAGCTCTTGACCACCACCATCGTCACCAACATATTCTAGACTAGTTCCTGTATCACCTACGTGCTCGAACGCACGTTCCCCCAGACGCGTTTGAGAAACTTCCAGGTCCCTGCTCTTACTGCTCGCGCTTCTCTCTCTGCTGCCGCTCCTGCCGCTTCTGCTTTCGCTTTTATCACTTTCGCTGAACGTGGTCGGAGCTGTGGCGATTAAGACGATGGCGACGGCGAGAAGGAGAGCTCGGATAGACCGACGAATGCCACGTGGCAGTGAGGTCGAATGTTCGCGAAACGACTCGATCGCGCCGCGCGACGATCTCACACGACGGCCGAGCGGCGAGCTCACGTCGTCATCGTCGGCAAGTGTGGGTCGTGGCATCGCTGCTTCCGCCACACCAGGCGCAGTAGGCTTATGAGGCGCGGCGCGGGTAGAAATACTACAGAATCTGCTGAGAATCAGAAACTGCTGTCCGTGTACAGGAGTGAATGCCGGCGAATGCGTATTTGCTACTCATTGCTAAGAGGATCCGCCGCCGCTGCGTTCACGGATCAAAGCTACCACTACGACTAACTATGTGGCTGCCTCCGACCACCTCAGACACACTGCCCTCATGATCAGCTCAAATGCACGCGATCGATAACAAAGGCGGTGTTCTCTAGCTTTTTGGAAAGACGGTCATCAACATTGACGAGCGGTGATTGGTCGACGTGCTCCGTCAGGTCGCCAAAAAAATTTGGACCATTTCTCGATTTGTGCGTGTCATCCTTGCGCAGGGGCCATACAATCTTCTCTGTATCGTTCCAATTTTAACGGATGTCCCGAAGGACGATGTGGTATTCAACTATTGGCATCATGTAAAACTGAACATTGCTCAAAAGTACGTTGTGGCCTAGTTGTTGACGATCGACAACCCCAAACTGTTTTTCCGACACATCGGAACAAAATGCTGAATCTCCAAAATCGCAATTGATTCTTGCCGATTTTTTCTCTACTGCGAGGCGCATCCCAAACGCAGAACCACATGAGCGCGTTGCAGGTAGATGACAGGCAGATTCTCGCTTCGCCGATGATACCCTTTCCTTCCGTTATGTCATTCTCGGAAAACGTGAGCCACGTCAGAAGTTTTTTGTATCAGGCAGAACTCGGCGGATTGTGCACTGGGCCAATCGGCGCGCTGCTGCTTCGATAGACGACTCTTGCCTCTTCAGATCTAGGAGTTTCTCGGTCGTCGTAGGCCCGAAGCTCGGCTTTTTCTCCTCCTCGCGGCTTTTTCGCTCCTCGCGTTCCGCCATGACTTCACTAATTCCGGAGAATATTCGTTCTGGTCTTTCTCGCGTCGCGGTTGCATTTTCGTCCGGCGCGATCGGCGGGCTGTGCATCGGGCTAGCCGTGCCGCTGCTTGCGGCGGCGGGACTCATGGACGTTCTAGGCATCGCGATTCACCCGCAACTAACGCCGCCATTCGTGTATCAGAAAGTTGTGTGGGGTGGCATCTGGTGCGTCTGAGTCATCATCGCCCGCCCCCTCTCCTCCGCTCCCCGTCTCCTCCTCCTCTCCTCCCTCTTCCCCTCCTCCTCCCCTTGCAGGAGCTAGCACGGTGCCTCTTTACCTTCGCCCCTCCCCCCCCCTCCCCCCCCCCCACTTCCCCTCCACTCTCTATCTTTTTCTCCTTTTCCACTCTACACTCGACCCATCATCCCCCCCTTAAGAAGCCCCACTTTGCCTCCTCCATCGCTGGACTGTTCCCGCGCCTCGCTCTCTCTTCTCTCTCCCTTTCTCCCTCTCTTCTCCTCTCCCTTGCCCATAACCCTTTCTCTCTCACTTTCCCTTTCCCGTTTCTCACACGAACGCATTGATCCCTATCGCTTCCCTCTTTTTCTGACGCTCTTTCTGTCTTTACTCCTCCCATCCGTTGCTTTAATAGGGCTATTTCATAGACGCAAAGAACATACACGCTAAAATGTTTCCATTCTCTTTCCCTCCTTATTCTCACGGCCCCCCTCTCTTCTGGCACTCCTGCCCTGGGCCTGTTCACCCGTTGCTTCAGGGGTTTCATCCTGCTCATTCCCTTCAATACAAGCACGCTCGCAAAAGGAGCTCTCTTTGGTACGCCGTGCACGCATGCCCTTCTCGCATTCCCTTGTCTCTTTCGAACATGTGAGAGACTTCGAAAGTTCTCAGTATGAGCACCTCTGCCTCGTCCAATCACGTGCCCTCAAGCATGCATGAGCACCTGTTTCTTCCAAAAGAAAATGTTTTTTTTGTCTCTCCCTCGTTTCTTATTCCTCCTCCCTCCCCCCATTTTTCTTATTCCTCCTTGTCTCTTTCTCTTTTCTATTCTATTCCTCCTGTCCCCTCCCTCTTTTCTTATCCTCCTCGTACCTCCCACCTTCCCTGTCCCTCTGCCTCGTGTCTGCTGCAACTGCAGGGGCGTTGGGTCCAGGCTTGGTGCAGCTTCTAGTTGTTTTCCCGCTCAAAGAAACGGTAACAAATAGAAGACTGCTTTTCTAATGTGCCTCGAGATTTTCGACGTGCGTTTTTCGCTGAAAGAAAAAGTAAAAGGGAGAAGATGCAAACGAATATTCAATGACAACACTGTGACTTATGTGCAAGTGGTGTTCTAGCGTGTGTTGCTCTGTCATACATCCGTGCATGTTTTTGCGAAGCAGAAATATCAGCTTGGTTCACTCTGAGTCACCTCAATTCTAAGATTCCTCTATACTCCGTTTTCCATTCCCCCCCCCCCCCTCTGCAAGCAGCCAGGGTCCCTCGCCGGTCTGTCTCTCGCCCCGCTCACGCCTCTCAGTGTACTCTTCTTCAATGCCTTTGTCAGGGGCGTGCCCTCCACCCTTGCCTACGCCCTTACTCGATATTCCGTCTTTCCTCTCCTTCCGTCTTTCCACTCCTCACCCACTCGCAGCCTGGCTCTCTCGCCGGTCTGTCTCTCGGCCCGCTCACGCCTCTCCTCGTTCTCTTCCTCAATGCATTTGTATGGGGCGTGCCCTCCGCCCTTGCCTACGCCCTGCTTCGACCCCCCTCCCCACAATCCTTTGTCGGGTAACTACTTCTCTCCTTCATTCACTCCTCGTTCCGATTCCTGTTGAGGCACCTCAAAACTGTGCCCTTGCCTACGCCCTGCTTCGACCCCCCTCCCTGCAACCCTTTGTTGGGTTCCCCATTTTCGCTGCATCCCGCCACACCACCCCGTCTGCCTCATGTGCCACTCCCTGTGTGCCATCTCCACTCTCCATTTCCACCCTCCACTCCCCACGTGTTCCTGCCTCTCTCCATTTCTCCTTGCCACTCTCCATTTCCCCCATGCCACTCTCTACATGTCCCCCTGCCTCCCTCCATTTCCCAACGTCACTCCCCAAGTGCCTCTCTGCCTCCTTCCTTCCTATCCTGTCACTCACCATGCGTTCCCCTGGCTCATGCCTTGCTTTACATCCCTTCCCATGTGCTCTTCTGTGCCGCCCCACGTGCCCCCCTGGCCTCCCACTATGCCATCACCAGCATTAGAGCTCTAGGAGAGAGTGATCGAGACCTTGAGCTACAGGGGGAAAAATCTTCATGATACTATGAGCAGCTAACTGACAAATAGCCATCTGCGCTGATGGAAAGCTGTAAAAGTACATGGTAAACACCCCTGTGATCAAGAGCACTGAATCATATTTTGCGGTATATTCTTTATCTTCTCTTACTGGAATGAACACCTTTTTAGAAAAAAAAACCAGTCTACAGCACAATGGAGATGAACTGTTTATATTTTCTCAGAATCGTTCTCAACCGATATACCGAACAGAAGTGAACTATTCGCGAGACACAACCGAAACTTTTCTTTCGCGGAGGCGAAAGTCAGATTCCCTCGAGCTCGTTCTGAACCGATGGTACTGTACTGAACAGAAGTGAAATCCCGAGATTGTCCTTCGTTCGAAACTCTCGTCAAATTCGACCAGTAGACCGACTGTCTTCCTCCCCTCGGACCGACCCCATTCCGTGGCTTTCACGGGACGGCATTTGGGCTGTGGGTGGTTTGAATTTTGAAACTCCCAAGAGTCGGACCACCATTATTCAAGCAGACGCCTGTTGTAGCTCGTGCATCCTGACTCCAGTCTGAGTTAATAATCGTCTAGACCAGACGTCGGTCTGAGTAAGTGCGACGTCCGTGACGGAAGCGCTCTTCCTCGGAGGAATTATTGTCGCGACGTCCGCACGGAACATTTGTGTAGTTTCCACACGATGGAACCCTATCGTCCGCCGCAAGTGTGTAGTAGGAGACACCCTGCGGGATCCTTTTGTAGTAGTGTCTGCCACACAAGCAACGCGCAGGTCTCCTAGCTGTAGCCAACGTACGCTTATTTCTCCAATTGTTCTTACCAAGCCAAGCCACCAACGTGGACGGTGGTGGTCCGAATCGCTAATTGCTTAACACCGCATTGGCCATGGATAGCGCCGTCCCCAAACATTCCCTGTCAAACCCCCCGCCAGTCCCCCCGCATCGCCTGTTTCCGCCCATTCCCACTCACGGTGAGTCCGCTTCACCCGTCCCTGTCATAGTATATAGCAGAGCCTTGCTCCAGCACTTCTCACCAGACGCCACCACTCGAACCAGTCTCCGCATTTCAACTCAACCACCCCAGCAGCAGCCTCAGAGGCGTATCTTATCCATCCGTTTTGTGCATCATAAGCCGTCGCCCACGGTCACTCCCCACTTCAGGAGTCCTGATAATCAGCAGCCTTGCGAGTCATCTCAACTCGGTCATACTCCCCGATCATGGCGATCATACTACCGTCGCCGCCGCGTTCTCCGCTCTTCCTCCTCCTGCTCGCGGCGCTGCTGCTGCTCTCGTCCGCGCACCTCCCCCTCCGCGCGCGCGCGCAGCAGACGTGCTCCGCCTCCGCGCCCTGCGCCAACAACCTCTGCTGCAGCAAGTGGGGCTGGTGTGGCTCCACCGTCGATCACTGCGGCGCTGGCTGCCAGTCCGGGCCCTGCGCGGGAAACTCCTCCCCCTCCCCCCCCTCCCCCGCGCAGCAGCCCCCCGCCTCCCCCGCGCAGCTCCCCGCCGCCTCCCCTGGCGTCCGGTTCCCCTCCGCCCGTGTCCACTAACTCGCAGTGCGGGGCAGCGAACGGAAACAGCATCTGCCCGAACGGTCTGTGCTGCAGCGAGTGGGGCTGGTGTGGCTCCACCCCGTCCCACTGCGGCGCTGGCTGCCAGTCCCAGTGCTCCGGTTCCGCCTCTTCCCCCCCTCCGCCTTCCACCACAACCCCTTCCCCCTCTCCCCCTCCCCCGTCCACCTCCCCGCGCCCCCCGTCCGCCTCCCCTCCGCCCCCAACCGGCTCCCCTCCGCCCTCGTCTGGGCTGAAGCGCATGGCGTATTTTGTCAACTGGGCGGGCATGGACCCATCTGCCGTCCCTGCCGCCAAGCTCACGCATGTCTTCTACGCCTTTGCTTCCATCGACCCCACCACATACAAGGTAGGTACCGCACTGCACTCTGTCTTACCATGCACAAACTTGTCCGTGCCATCTGCTGCCAACCTCACGCATGTCTTCTACGCATTTGCTTCCATCGACCCCACCACATACAAGGTACCGTACTGTCTTGCCGTGCACACTACTCTGTGCCATCCAGAGTATGTTTTATTTTTTCTCCTCTTCCATAGAGCCATCGCATGCTTGCATAATGTCATTCCGCTTCAAGAGGTACACTACGTGATTCCCACGTGAAGGTTCTCTTGCCTTTCAGATGCGCTGTTTCGTTTCCCCCTCTCATGATATTTCATCACCTTGCTGCCCTATCACCTCCCTTGTACCTTCCCTCCCCATTCCAGGCCATCCCTTTCAACCCAGCCGTCGATGTGACCCTGGGGCCTCTACCTGCGCTTCATCTCCGCTCTAAAGACAGCCAACCCCGATTCACCCCCTAACCCCTCACCTTTTCTCTCTCTCTCCCTCAACAGGTCGTCCCTTTCAACCCAGCCGTCGATGTGACCCAGGGCCTCTATCTGCGCTTCAACTCCGCTCTAAAGACTGCCAACCCGGCCATAAAAACTCTCCTCTCCATCGGCGGCTATTCTGCAGGCACCACTGTTTTCGCCAACGCCGCCTCCTCTGCCTCCTCCCGCTCTGCTTTCATCCAATCCGCGATCGCCCTCGCCCGCAAGTACAATTTCGACGGTCTGGATATCGACTGGGAGTTCCCAACGGGCAACGCCGCCCCGTTCTCCGCCCTGCTCACTGATTTCCGGGCGGCGATCGAATCCGAAGCTGCCGCCTCCGGGAAATCGAAGCTTCTGCTGTCTGCGGCGGTTTCTGCCTACGAGCCTACAATCACCCAGGCCTACGACGTCCCGACGCTTAACAAAACACTGGACTTTGTTAATGTTATGACTTACGATCTGCATGGGTCGTGGGAGAAGACGACTGGCATGCACACAGCTCTGGAGGACCTGAGCAATTCCCAGCTGAGCCTCAAGGGCGCCATGACTGCCTGGGTGTCCCGAGGCTTGGCCCGGAGCAAGGCCATGCTAGGCTTGGCGATGTACGGCCGAACCTGGACTCTTGCCTCGGCAAGCAGCACTGGGGTTGGAGCTGCGGCCACTGGGGCTGGCCAGACTGGGTCTATCAGTCAGGTTAGTTCCCTTCTCCTGTTTCTCCTCTCCATCGTGCTTCCCTCCCTTTCTCACATGATCACGAACAATTTTGTGTTCCCCTACGTTTCTTTCTTTATTTCCTTGCTCTCACAATTTCCGAGCGTTATTCAATTCTTTTTCTATGATATGCAAGCAATAAGCTCCAAGCAGGCTCTAATCACTCTCTTCCTTGGCCTGCATATTCCCTCTCCATTCCTTCAACAGGAATCTGGTATCCTCTTTTACAAGGAAATCGACCAGCTGGTAACCGCTGGAGGTTACACAGCTACACTCCACACCCCAACATCCTCTATGTATGCAGTAAAGGGTAACCAGTGGGTTGGTTACGACAACCCGTCCACCATCACCGCCAAGGTTCAGTTTGCCAAGGCGCAAAGCTATGGAGGGTGGTTCTTCTGGGCTCTGAGCCAGGATGCAAACAATGCTCTCCTCAACGCTGCAGCCGCTGCATGAGATGGATGCCACAGTCGAAGGACAGTCCTTGAATAATGAATTTAATGTTTTTTTTTGTAAGTGTAGACTGTATGTTTGGGAGTCACGTCACTGGTGAATCCGTCAATGTTTCAATTGAGTTGGAAATGCAACCGTTTTTTTTTAGCTTATTCAATACCTATCAATATCAAGGGTAGTTAGGGACCCGAGCCAGGATGCCAACAATGCTCTTCATGCTGCAGCCGCTGCACGAGAAAATAATATTCCACTAATTCATCTGTTTCAAGTGTAGACAAGTTTATCAGTGGTCTGTCGTTTTTTTCCAACTTAAATCACACTGCTCTGCCCCTACCCCATGCACAATGCAGCAGTCCCTCCCAATCACACCACCCTCCCTCCCTCCTGCCATCCCGTCCCCCGTTGCCGCGAGCTGCGCTACAACTGCCTGCATTGATTGAGCCTGGTGGAGCAGGCAGAGCGAGCCACACATGCTGCCCGCAATTGCAGAGCCACACATGTCGCCCGCAATTGCAGAGCCACACATGCCGCCCGCAATTGCAGTGCCACAGCATGCAATTCGCAGCAGTCTCTCCCTCCCACTCACACCACTCTGCCGCCCGCCATCTCCTCCCCCGTTGCCGCCAGCTGCGCCCACCTGCCGCCCGCCGCCGCCCCTGCTGAGCTGGCGGAGTCCCGCAGACTGCCGTCCGCCTCGAGCTTCGCCTGCACCTGTTTTGCCATGAGGGCTAGCCCTGGGCGGCACGGGAGAACAGGGAGACATTGTAAAGTGTAGAGTGAATGCATTGTACAGTGTTACATTAGCATTGATTGCCGCTGAACATGTTACAGTGGCCGCGTGCCGCCTTCAGCTTCGCCTGCACCTGCCTCGCCATGAGGGCTGGCTAGTCCTGGGGGGCACAGGAGAGCAAGGAAGCATAGTACAGCGGATTAGAACCGGGATAGGACACCTACTTGGTCATTCAACCGCCTTCAAGAAATCAGTTGGCGTGACGGGTTGATGGAGTGGATGGAAAGTTGTACAGTGCTTGCATGACAGAGGCTCATCCACTCACCCACTCCAACCAGCGCACCCAACGCACCCACACTCCCACACTCTCACACTCCCACACTCCCACACTCCCACACTCTCACACTCCCACACTCCCACACTCCCACACACACGGAACCATCCACAACCCCACACATCCATCCACCCTGCACCATGCCGCTGACAGCCGTCCACCGCTTTTCTTCCCACCATGCATGATAGAAGCTCATCCGCTCATCCTCTCATCCTCTCACCCACTCGCCCTATCACACTCACCAAGTCACCCACATGCATACTTCCACCCGCCCATATGCACACACATACCCACATTCCTACATTCTACCCACACTCGCGCTCACACCCACATCGACACCCACACCCACACCCACACTCACACCCTCCCCCCGCCCCCGCCCCCTTCCCCTTTTTCCACCCACACCCACACCCACACCCACGTCTGTCAACCTACTCACCCTGCACCACTCGGTTGACAGCCGACCACCACTTGTCTTCCGACAGCTGTCGCCTCGTCAGCGCTGACGAGATCTCCTCGCTGCGCTGCCCGGACAGCACTGCCTGCAGCACCTGGGCGGCATCCCTTGTCTCTTCTAGCACACCTCTCTGCAGTGGCGAATAAGAACGGGAGAGAGACGAGAGACAAGAGACAAGGACATTAGAAGGAGGAAATAAAGAGAGAGCAATTGGGTGTTGGTACGTTGTGACAACAATAATATGAGAGTTGTGAGCGCACTCAAGAACCACATGTAGTTCTTGACATGTGGTTCTTGAGCAATTAGGTGTTGGCACTCAAGAGCCACATGTGAGAGGAAGAAAATCAGCATGGAAAGAGGGGTACCTGTATGGAACATGGAGGAGAATGAGGCACGGGTGAGAAGCATAGCAAAAGGAGAAGGTCCGATTGTGGCTTGCGAGGTGAATGGGTTGCTGCCAGCCCTGGTGTGGTGTGGAAGGGAAGCTGTACCTGGAAGGTCGGTGGTTGTGTGACGGCCACAAGTGCGTTGCTCTCTCCCTCCTCCCCCTCGCTGTCGTTACACATGGCCTGCATGCAACCCAGCCGGGAGAAGGGAGGGGGGAGGAGGGGGAGGGAGAGGTGTTGGGGTTTTAGGTGCTTAAAAAACACTCTCTGACCTCCGCCACGCTGTCGTTGCGCATGGGCATGCATTCAACCCGAGGGGCAGTCATCTGCCGACGCTTGCAAACACTCACCTGCAACCAAGCAATTCTGTATCACGTACATAATGTGGGAGCACGTACCTGCAGATCCCTCTGGGAAGATGTGAGCGTGAGAGAGCCAGCCCCCACTGGGCGGCAGTGGGCGACCGTCACATGGCCGCTGAGACGCACGCACGCCCGTAGCATGTTCCTGCACCTGCAAGCCGGCACCTGTATAGCACAGCACCCACCTGCAGATCCCTCTGGGAAGATGTGAGCGTGAGAGAGCCAGCCCCCACTGGGCGGCAGTGGGCGACCGTCACATGGCCGCTGAGACGCACGCACGCCCGTAGCATGTTCCTGCACCTGCAAGCCGGCACCTGTATAGCACAGCACCCACCTGCAGATCCCTCTGGGAAGATGTGAGCGTGAGAGAGCCAGCCCCCACTGGGCGGCAGTGGCCCGACCGTCCGGTGCCATGCACCTGCAGAGGTCATGGATAAACACCCACCACAGTACGACCTACCTGCAGGTCTCTCTGGGAAGACGTGAGCGTGAGAGCCAGCGCCCACTGGGCGGCAGTGGCCCACCGCCACTTGGCCGCCTCGCGCGCCATCTGCTTCTCCTGCGCCGCCGCCCGGCCGGCAAGCTCGTCTGCTAGCGCCACCTCCCCCAGCGCCACACTGCGCAGATACTTGGCGGTCTGAGGCCCCGTGCTGCGCACCATTGCTGCGAAGATGCTGTTTTCATTCAACACAAGGTTGGCTGGCGTGTCGTACTCCAGGGCCTGGGTGGGATGGAGAAGAGGAGAAGAGGAGAACAGGGGGAGCACATGGTTTTCTGGAGCCCCGTGCTGCGCAACGCACCATCGTTGGCTGGCATGTCGTACTCCAGGGCCTGGGGGAAGGGAAGGGAGTGGGCAGCCGCAGGGAGGGGAGGAGAGGAACGAGGGCAGGCACTTGACAGGCTGATCTGAGGCCCCGTGCTGCGCACCATTGCTGCAAACACGCTGTTTTCATTCAACACCAGGTTGGCTGGCGTGTCGTACTCCAGGGCCTGGGGGAAGAAAGGGACAGAGGAAGGAGGTCAAGTAAGAGCAGATACCTGGCGGTCTGAGGCCCCGTGCTTCTAACCATGGCTGCAAACACACTGGCCTCGTTTAACACCAGGTTGGCTGGGGTATCGTACTCCAGGGCCTGAGGGAAGGGTGGGGAGAGGTTGAGAACGGGAGTGATGAAGAGGAGTGGTAGAGCCCTGGAGGAGGGTGGGGAGAGGTAGAGCAGACTCTTGGCCGTCGGGGGGTTCCCGTGCTGTGCACCATGGCCGCAAAGATGCTGCCGAAAAGGGTAGATTCGATTCGACCCAGATCACCAGACTTAGCTCGTTCTATTCTCCACTAATCTATGCTAGGCTCGGTAGGCATTGAGTAAGCAAGGAAAATGAAAAGGAAATGCGCGGCCGATGAAGATGCACAAGAAAGTGCCTGTTGGAAGACCAATAGAGGCCGCAATTGGTCTTCCAACAGGCACTTTCTTGCTGCCTTCGCTAAGTACCAGATACTTGGGTGGTGTGTCTTGCACAAGGGCCTGGGTGAAGATGGGAGAAGGGAGAGAGTGGGAGAGGGGTTGAGGAGGAAAGGTAAACTTCAGAGGAAAAACAGACAGATTCCACTCGCACAAGCTCAGCCCTTGATGCTCACCCTACCCACTCACCATGCCAGCATCCATGACCAGAATTCTATTGCTATCCAGGATGGTGTTGAGCCGGTGAGCGATGGTGGATAGACGACAAGACGTATCATATTAAACCAAAGAGCTCACCATGCCAGCATCCATGACCAGGATCCGGTCGCTATCCATGATGGTGTTCGGCCTGTGAGTATTGGTGCGGATGAATGGCAAGAATCGTACCCAAGCCCTATGAGTCCAGCCCCCCTTGCTCTCACTCACCATGCCAGCATCCATGACCAGGATCCGGTCGCTATCCATGATGGTGTTCAGCCTGTGAGTATTGGTGCGGATGAATGGCAAGAATCGTACCCAAGCCCTATGAGTCCAGCCCCCCTTGCTCTCACTCACCATGCCAGCATCCATGACCAGGATCCGGTCGCTATCCATGATGGTGTTCAGCCGGTGAGCGATGGTCAGCATGGTTCGCCCCTTGAACTCCTCGCGCACCGTCCGTTGGATCAGCGCATCCGTGCCCACATCAACGGCTGCCGTCGCTTCGTCCAGCACCAGAATCCGTGACTCCTTCAGCAGCGCCCGCGCCAGGCTGATCAGCTGCCGCTGCCCCACACTGAAGTTCTCCCCTCCCTCGGCCACCTGTGGGGAAATAGACGGTAGAAGGGAAAAATCCGTGACTGTCTGAACAGCAAGAGAGGAAGAGGAGAGACGAGGGACAAGAGATGAGGAGGAGAGGAGAGAGTGCGGGAGGAGAGAGAAGGGGAGATGGCAGGCATGTGAAGAAAAACAGCAGGCAGCATGATTCCACTTCATATACCGCCTCCCCCAGGTAACACCTCGATGACACTTCCAATTCCCTCTCAGCGACATCCGCCCTTCCGTTGTACTCACCTCTGTGTCCAGCCCCAGCGGCATGCGAGATACCACCTCCCTCAAGTAACACCTCTGTACCATCCCTTTCCAGGTACAAGTATCTGTTTTTCCCTTCGACTCACCTCTGTGTCCAGCCCCAGCGGCATGCGAGATACCACCTCCCTCAGGTGCGCCCTCCCCAGCGCCTCCCACACCTCACCGTCGCTGCGCTCGCTGAACGGATCCAGGTTGAACCGCAATGTGCCTGGGGGGGAGAGAAGGGGAAGAGGGAGGCAGGGAGGAATACAACCACAAGGCTCTTCAAGACCTCCCACACCTCGCTGTCACTGCGCTCGCTGAACGGATCCAGGTTCAACCGCAATGTGCCTGGGGGGGGGAGAAGAAGGAAGGAATTCAAAGTTTAGGGAGGGATCTGGTAAAGGACCCTGAGTGCCTCCCAAGCACCTCCTACACCAGTAAAGAGCATGGGTGTCTGAGAAACCCTAAACTTCTTCACGTTGAAAACCATGTGCCGTTCTTCTCACCAGTGAAGAGCACGGGCGTCTGGGGGATGATCATGAGCGCACGGCGCACGTCCGTCACTCCAAACAGCTTCAGATCCTGACCGTCGATGCAGATGCGCCCGCTCTCGATCTCGGCCAATCGGAAGAGTGAGTTGAACAGGGACGACTTGCCTGCAGAGACAAGGGCATGAGAAGGTGGGTCGCATGGGGTATGAGAGAGGTGGAGGAGTGGAATACGAATTTCTCCCCAGCAGGCCGACCTTCTCCTGGAAGAAGGTCGGCACATATGCATATGCAGCGAGGTGACTTTTGAGTCGACTCAGAAGTCTTTTCCTGGGAGAAGGTCGGCACGTATGCATATGCAGCGACCTTCTCCCACCCCCCCACCAACACAGTGAGACCCCCTCAGCACATATGCAGCGAAGCGACTCTCTCGACACAGACATACCCTCTCACATGCGCCAGTCCTCCCCACCACGCCGGCCTTCTCTCCACCCCGCACCAGGGCAGGTCCTGCCGGTACCGCATCACCACGTCCTCAAATAACACCTCCCTTTCAGCATGAGACGAGCTGTCACATAAGCACAGTCACACTCTCTCACCTGCGCTAATGCGCCCCAACCAGCGCAGAGAACCCCCACAGCAGGAAATGATTCTCCCTTAAACACAGACAGACTCTCACTCTCACCTGCCCCAGTGCGCCCCACCACTCCAACCTTCTCTCCTCCTTGCACCAGGGCACTGAGCCCTCTCAGCACGGGCGGCAGGTCCGGCCTGTACCGCATCACCACGTCCTCAAATAACACCTCCCCCTGCTGCGGCCACCCGGGCGGCGGGCGGTGGCTCGGAATGATGGCCGGCGCCTCGGCGGGGATGTCGGCGTAACTGCCCACCCGCTCCACCGCGTTGAACGAGTTCTCTGAAGGAAACAAACGTGATAACGGGGGAATGGGGCCGAGAAAGGAGGGTGTAAGGAAGGGGGTGGTGGTGGGGGGAATTCATTGTAGGCACTTCGGGAGGGATGTCGGAGTAGCTGCCAGCCAACCAGCTCCACCGCGTTGAAAGAGTTCTCTGAAGGAAATAAAGGGTGATAAAGGGGGGGATGGGGAAGGGGAGGAGGGTGTGAGGAATGAGGTGGAGGAGGGGAATTGATTGTAGGAGCTTGGGAAGAGACGTCAGCGTAACTGCCAACCAGCTCCACCGCGTTGAAAGAGTTCTCTGAAAGAAAATAGGAGAATAATCTAGTACGGGGGAAATGGGGTTGTCGGCGGAAAGGACAGGCAGAGGAGGAGCAGGGGAGGAGGGAGGGAGACTGTTGGCTCGGAATGATGGCGGACGATTCGGGGGCGAAGGGGCCCGGGAGAGGGGGAGAGGAAGAGGGGATGTGATCTCAGCGAGCAAAGGCTTCCCAGCGACAGAGAGCAGTCAGTCGGAGCACCATGGTCATCATGGCTGTTATGTTATGTGCTTTGAGTGTAAGCATCTACTCACATAGCCCCACACCAGCAGCACGCGAAGCAGCACTCACCAGCAACGGAGAGCAGTCTGAGCACCATGGTCTTCATGGGGGTGATTTGCAGTGCGTACGACTAAATCAGCCCCATGACTGGCGCCAATGCAACCCTAAGTGCCCCTGGCAATACTGACACCAGAATGAGGTCAGTGCCTTACCAGCGACGGAGAGCAGGCGCAGCACCATGGTCATCATGGCTGTGATTTGCAGCGCGTACGATAGAATGAGTCCCATCACTGGCGCCAGTGCTGCCTGGTCGCCTGCCCTCTGCACATCCATCACTGCAAACACCGCCGTGGCTGCAGGAGGGAAGCGAAAGGGGTCCAATGCGGTGGGGTTTGGTACAGTTGGATTGAAGGAGGGAGGTGCGATGTGAAAAAAGAGTCACAACACTGGCGCCAGTGCTGCCTGGTCGCCCGCCCGCTGCGCATCCATCACTGCAAAAACAGCCGTGGCTGGAAGGGGGATAGAAGGGTGCAATGCGGTGAAGTAAGGTGCAGTGGGATTGAGGGAGGGAGGTGCGAGGAACTCAAGACAGAATGAGTCCCATCACCGGCGCCTGTGTGCCAACTGATCGCCCGACCTCGCCACATCCATAACTGCGAGTTCTGCTGTGGCTGTGGGGGAACAGAAGGGTGCAATGCGGTGGGGTTGGGCACACTGAGATAGAGGGAGGTACGATGCGGTGAAGCGAGATGTAAAGTAAACGCAATGTAGTGAGACTATGAGCCTGACTTTTAGATCCAGTGGTGAAGAAGCAGAGAGGAAGGAAGGTCATGACGTTCATGTGAAGAAAGCAATGAGGGAAAAGAGGATACTCCTGAAGTGCAGGCACACACGGGACCACAAAAGGATGACCGAAGATCATGAGCCCGCCCAGGAATTCGAGGCGGAAGGCGAGCCAGCGGTTGGTGAATCACCTGAACCGAGGCAAACCCTGAACCCTGAACCCCTAACCGAGGTAACATATTACCAAAGATCATGAGCCCGCCCAGGAATTCAAGGCGGATGGCGAGCCAGCGGTTGGCGCTCATGGTGGATGGAGGTTCATGCGCTCAACCAAGGCGCACGTTGAAACCAGTGAAGCATTACCCAGAGACCATGGGGCCCTGACACGAGTGTGACTGACCGAATATCATAAGGCCGCCCAGGAATTCAAGGCGGATGGCGAGCCAGCGGTTGGCGCCTATGTGGCAAAAGACGCAGGGGGGGTCCTGCGTCCTGCGTCTGGACGCAGCGTCCGGACGCAGGGACGCTGGACGCGCGTCCAGACGCAGGACGCACGGCAGAGTTTTTTTCGGGCTGACAGGATTTTTTTTTTCCCCGATCGCGAAGTTGACATTTGCGATTTCGACGCGAATGTCAGTGTCGCGAAATTTCGACCCCCCAGACCCATTTCGACCATCAAAAACAGCCCACACACAATTCTCCTTCGTAAACCCTTGAGGGTTTAGCTACCTTTTGCTCCATAGCTATCTTTTTGCCTCACATGTGTGATACATCGTCCTCCCCCCCCTTTCCATGCCCTATAACGTGTTTTTTTGGCTGCCCGGGGTTTTTTTTTGCCCTGCCCGGGCCTGCGTCTTTTGCTGCGTCTCAAAGGCCCACATCATGCGTCCTGCTTCTAAGACGCTGCGTCTGGACGCACTCGTCTTAGACCCAGGACGCGTCTTTTGCCACTAAGGTTGGCGCTCATGGTGGATGGAGGTTCATGCGCTCAACCAAGGCGCACGTTGAAACCAGTGGAGCATTACCCAGAAACCATGGGGCCCTGACACGAGTGTGACTGACCGAATATCATAAGGCCGCCCAGGAATTCAAGGCGGATGGCGAGCCAGCGGTTGGCGCTCATGCTGACGAGTGTGAAGCGCGTGTTGCGATCCACCGCCCGCCCGTTCATCCCCGCCATGCGCGCCGCTGCCCTGTACGCCCTTATGGTCGCCAGCCCATTCAGTGCCTCCGCGAACTGAGAGAGGGGTGGGATTGGGGAGGGACCCGGGTGGGGAGGGAAACGGGGTGGGAAGGAATTGCAGCTTCGTGCTAAGCAGAGCGGGAAAGGGGCATGACAGGGCGAGAAGGGAAGAGGAAGACAGGGGAGAGGGGGAAAAGAGGAGAGGGGGTGAGAGGGAAGGACGGAAAGGACTGGCTCACACTTCTGAGAGTGGAAGGGGGACTCCGTCACAGAACGCCAAGGCTTTACCTTTTGGATAATATTCTGGAAGCAGAGGTAGACGAACATAGAATAGAAGAGCAGCAGCAGCGGCACGATGACCCAGAGGGCGATACAAGGCATCTCTCAACAGCCGAAGAGGGCACACACGCACATACCTGGGAGTAGACGGGCGAGCGTGTGACGGAGTCCCAGCGCTTGACCTCCCGTGCGGTGTTTCGAAAGTAGAGGTAGACCGCGTAAAAGAGCAGCAGCAGTGGCACGATGGCCCACACGTGTGGCTAGTGTCAGCACTACACCCTAAACTCTGTACCTGGGAGTAGACCGGCGAGCGCGTGACGGAGTCCCAGCGCTTCACCTCCTGTGCGGTGTTTTGGAAGTAGAGGTAGATGATGTAGAAGAGCAGCAGCAGCGGCACGATGGCCCACCGGTGTGCCTCGATTCGACTCAAGCCATACCTGGGAGTAGACAGGGGAGCGCGTGACGGAGTCCCAGCGCTTGACCTCTCGTGCAGTGTTCTGGAAATAAAGGTAGACGATATAGAAGAGCAGCAGCAGCGGCACGATGGCCCAGAGGGCGACGGTGTTGAGAACACCGATGAGGGCGAAGGTGGAGAGCAGCTGGAAGATGCCGCCCAGGCACAGCGACGTGTACTGCGCGAGGTTTTTATCGATGTCTGACGTGTCTTTCGTGAATCGGTTGATCAGACGACCCACCTGTAGGGGAGGGATGAGAGGAAGGGAGGATAGGGAAGAGTATGAGGCCCAGGCACAGCGACGTGTACTGCGCGAAATTCTTGTCTATGTCCGCTGTGCCCTTGGTGAATCTGTTTATGAGGCGACCCACCTGGAGGGGAAGGAAGAGATATGGAAGGGGAGAGGAGGGGAGGATGTGCTGTTCAGTTCAGTTCAGACAGAGAAAGAGGTGTACTGCGCAGGGCTCTTGTCATTGTCCGCTGTGTTCCTTGGCTCATCTGTTCATAAGAACCCAGGTGGGTGCCCAGACACACACCTGGAAAGCAAAATGCAATACAGGACGTGTCAGGTAGGGGGAGGTGGGTGGTGGGAGGTGGGAGGTGGGAAGTGGGAAGTGGGTGGGTGGGGGGAGGTGGGAGGTGGGAGGTGGGAGGTGGGAGGTGAGAGGTGGGAAGTGGGTGGTGGGAGGTGGGTGGTGGGTGGTGGTGGGAGGTGGGTGGTGGGTGGTGGTGGGAGGTGGGTGGTGGGTGGTGGGTGGTGGTGGAAGGTGGGTGGTGGGAGGTGGGAAAGGGTGGGTTTGATCAGAGTCTTCTCAGTAGAGGCACGAATGAGAGCCAGGCCAGACCAGCACATGTGGAGCTGTGTTTGAATATGAGAGCAAAGGTGATCCACGTGACCAATGGGCACAGCCGAATGTGCCGGGGGGTGGGTAGAAGAGGGGGGAAAAGAGGGGCAGGCATGCTTGGAAGGAGCGTTCAGGAAAGATATGTTGGAAAAGATTATGTGTGCGGAAAATAAGCAAACTCACATGAATTTCAGTAAGCTTTGAGACAATATCGAAGTAAGAACTCGTGGAAAAAATGAGTTTATTACTCACGGGGTTGGTGTGAAAGAAGGACATGGGGGCTTGAAAAACAACTGAAGTGATGACTCACGGGGTAGGTGTGAAAGAAGGACATGGGGGCTTGAAAAACAACTGAAGTGATGACTCACGGGGTAGGTGTGAAAGAAGGACATGGGGGCTTGAAAAACAACTGAAGTGATGACTCACGGGGTAGGTGTGAAAGAAGGACATGGGGGCTTGAAAAACAACTGAAGTGATGACTCACGGGGTAGGTGTGAAAGAAGGACATGGGGGCTTGAAAAACAACTGAAGTGATGACTCACGGGGTTGGTGTGAAAGAAGGACATGGGGGCTTGAAAAACAACTGAAGTGATGACTCACGGGGTTGGTGTGAAAGAAGGACATGGGCGCTCGCAGAATGGCCGCCAGCATGGCATCGTGCAGGCGACGAGCCGCTCTCTGGGAGGAAAACACCTGGAAGGCGCCAGGGAGAGGAGAAAGAAGGAAGATGTGGGATGGTACGAGTATTGAGTTTTGAGTGGACTCAAAACGCGGAGAATGGCCGCCAGCATGGCATCGTGCAGACGACAAGCCGCTCTCTGGGAGGAGAACACCTGCAAGGTGCGGGAAGAGGTGGGGAGAGTTTGGGTCGACTTAAAACCCGGAAAATGGCCTGTGGCATGTGGGTCAGCATGGCATCATGCAGGCGAGGCGACGCGCAGCATGCTGGGAGGAAACCACCTGGAAGGAGCGAGGGAGGAGAAACGAAAAATCCCAATGACAACCTACTTCCAACCACAAACATAAGACCTTCATCAGTACGCGAATCTTCCGCGTCATACTTCCTGCAAGTATCAACCAATCAAGCAGTAAGCACTGAGAAGCCTAATAGAGAGGCACCGACCAACCTTTTACCGAAGGCACTCACGAGGAAATACTGGTTGGCGAAGGTGAGAAGGACCTGCCCTAGCGAGATGAGCGAATACCCCACCACGAAATACAGCGACCCTTGTCCCCCCCCACCACCGGGAGACACGGACCCGGTCCACACGCTGATCCACACGCTCGCCAGAACCCTCGCTGCCTCCACGAGCACGTAGAGCGAGATGAGCACCGCCAGCACGCCTGACCCGCCCATGGCCCTCCCTCACTCACTCACCAGGAGGAAGGAAGGGTCAGCCGGCCCATGGCCGGAACTCACGAGGAAGTACTGGTTGGCGAAGGTGAGCAGCACTTGCCCCAGCGAGATGACTTTTCAGTCGACTCGAAAGTCACCAGCCTACCCCTGGCCTGGCCGGAACTCACGAGGAAGTACTGGTTGGCGAAGGTGAGCAGCACTTGCCCCAGCGAGATGAGCGAATACCCCGCCACGAAGTACAGCGACCCATGGCCCCCTTCACCCTCCTGTGAAACACTCCCGGTCCACACGCTGATCCACACGCTCGCCAGCACCCTCGCTGCCTCCACGAGCACGTAGAGCGAGATGAGCACCGTAAGGACGGTCGACCCCCCCATGGCCTTCACATACCGCCACACCACCGCTGCACTCACCACCCCCTGCGCCTTATCTTCCGTCTGCACTAGAGTCGTTCCCCCTGCCGCTCCGCCTTTCTCCCCCTTTCCTGATCCACTCTTCTCCCCAACCCCGTTGCTGCTGCTAGAATCACCGTTCGCTGCTGCAGCAGAGTCGTTGCCACCACCACTACTGCTGCTGCCGGCTGTTGCAGCAGCCGCTGCCGCTTCAGCGCTTGTCTCATCTCCACCACTGCCTGCGTCACCGGCTGTTTCCCCTCCCTCCCCTCCCACCTCCTCCTCCCCATGCTCCTCCAGCGCGCCTGCCTTCTCCAGCAGCCTCTGGAACTTGGGAGCGGACGCCTTGAGCTGCGCGTACGGCCCCTGCTCTGCTATGCGCCCCCCCTCCACCATTACCACCCAGTCCACCGCTGTTAGAAAGAGGGAGAAGTTCGGGGTTTAGGGGAGTGAAGAAGAAGGGGTGAAAGGGGATTGACGCCTTGAGCTGCACGTATGGCCCCTGCTCTGCTAAGCGAACCCCCTCCACCATCACCACCCAGTCCACTGCTTAACGGCAACAGAGAGGCGGTAGAGCAGTCGAGCTGGTGGTGTGGGCCCTGCTCTGCTCCAATGCCGATCGAACACACCGTGTCTCATACATTTCATGGTACAAAGTTCTCGGTTGATTGGACGGATTCGGTGACCAGGGGGTACCTGGTAGGAAGTGCAGCTGGTTTGTGACCATGATGCGCGTGCGGCCGGCAAGCTCCGTCCTCACACACGTGTCGTACACCTGCATGCATGCACACATGTGTACATGCCCACATGCATACATCCAGCATACATGCACACATGCATACATGCCAACGTGCATGGATGGAGATCACAAAAAAATAGCAATGCCGATACAGAACACAAACACATTGCCGATACATCCCCAATGATGCCGATGCATCATTGGGGATGGAGAATACACACATGTGACATAACAATTATCTTTGGGGATCGCAAAAAACACCACGGCACGCAGACGCAAGAGGCATGCACTATCAGACTCGCACTTTGTGTATGCGCATGCCCGCGCCACACAGACATATGGATTCATTGTATTCATGCGCAGTGCTTGCTGGGCATCTAACATGCATAGTCAATCCAAAAACAGTCAGCCTGCCTGCTTGGCAACATGGAGTGATTTGCGCGCGCACCTGCTTGGCGACGTGGGCGTCGAGGGCGGAGAGAAGGTTTTCAAAATCACAAGATTGACTACACACCCCATACTCCAAACAGATTGACTACACACCCCGTCGTCAAAGAGGAACACATCGGCGTCGGAGTAGACAGCTCAGGCGATGCTGATGCGCTGCTTCTGCCCGCCGCTCACGTTCACTCCCCTCTCCCCTGGAACCCTCGTGCACACTGCTTCCAAAATCCTAAAGCCACGCCGCCGAAGCCCCAACGGGAAGCCCTGGACCCGGAACCCTTCACCTACCACCTCAAATCGCAAACTCCCAAACCCCACGCCCAGAAACATTGACCCACCTGCTTGGCGACGTGCGCATCGAGGGCAGAGAGCGGATCGTCAAAGAAGAACACATCGGCATCAGAATAGACCGCTCTGGCGATGCTGATGCGCTGCTTCTGCCCCCCACTCACGTTCACGCCCCTCTCGCCTATCTCCGTCAGGTCGCCCCCCGGCAGCAGCTGCAGGTCTCTCTCCAGGGCGCTCACTCTCACTGCCCGCTCGTACCGCTGCCGCTCGTAGGGCAGCCCGAACAGAATGTTCTCGCGCACTGTGGCGTTGAAGATCCAGGAGACCTGTGCGGGCCACGTGTGCCACGTGGCAGCATGTGAATGGGGGAGAGGAACAAGAAGGCGGATGAAATAAGAAACGCATGAAATGGCTTAGGAGATGGATAATGGGCAGATGACAAATCAAGGCAACGGATTAGGGCATCAGACGCGAAGTTTTTTTTTTTTTTTTTTTTGGAATGGGTATACAAACCTGCGAGACATAAGCCACGCGGCCTCTGATGATTGGAGGAGAGTCCCCAGCCACCATGGGCATCTCGCCCAGCAGTGCACTGACCAGCGACGACTTGCCTTGCCCTGCCATGAGTTAGGGGGGGTGGGGAAAGGAGGCGGGGGTAAGGCCTTTCAGTCCCCTGACATGACAGACACCATGGGGGTAAGGCCCAGCAGTGCACTGACCAGCGACGACTTGCCTTGCCCTGCCATGGGGTGGGGGGGGGGTGGGATGAGGTCGGGCGTGACGGGGGAGGGAAGCAAGGTAAAGGGATGGGAACAACTAAGAGGCGGGTTGGTGAAAAGGTATTTCAGTCCCCGGACAGACACCATGGGCATCTCACCCCGCAGCGCACTGTCCAGTCCAGCAATAACTTGACTTGACCCGCCCTGACGCGCACCGACCCGTCCTGACCCTCCCTGACCCGCCCGGACCCGCTCTGAACCGCCCTGACCTGTCCTGACCCCCCCTGACCCGTTCTGAACCGTTCTGAACCCCCCTCACCCGCCCTGACCCGCCCGGTCCCACTCTGATCCCCCCTGACTTGCCCTGTCCCGCTCTGACTCGCCCTGAGCCACCCTGACCCGTTCTGACCCGCTCTCACCGGCTCTGGCACCCACACACCACAGTACCTGTGGCGCCCTGACCCGCCCTGTACCGCCCTGACCACCCAGCATGCCATACCTGTGGCACCCACACACAACAGTACCTGTGGCGCCCTGAACCGCATTGACCACCCTACATGCCGTACCTGTGGCGCCCACAACAGCCACCAGCTTCCCAGGCTCCACCGATAGAGTCACATCCGTTAGAGTGCCCCCCACGTCCTTCTCCTTCCCGTCTCCCCCAATTCCACCCTTCTCCTTGCCTTCTCCCCCTCCTATTCCTCCACCCCCTCCCCCAGCAGCACCACCAGGCGCATTAGCGGCAGCACCATTAGCGCCAGTAGCAGCAGCAGTGGGAGCACCGTTAGCAGCGCTCCAGGCAAAGGAGGCATGGGAGACCTCGACTGCCGGCTTGGTGGGGTCGATGGGCGGCGCAGGGGCGTCAATGTCTGTTTCGTCTGCCAGTAGCATCTCCTGCAGGCGCGTGAGAGACACGTTCACGTTCACCACCTGGGGGTGGGGTGTCACAGAAGTGTGGAAGGGTTGGGTTTGTGGGGGAGGAGGTGAGGGGTGACGAGGATAAAATCAGGCGCAGGGGTGTCAATGTCCGTCTCGTCTGATAGTAGCATCTCCTGCAGACACGTTCACGTTCACCACCTGGTAACGGGGGAGAAGAAGACGGAAAGAGACCAGTCTCACAAAGGAAGACAGACGCATCTTGTGAGGCATAGGAGAAGAGGGACGAGCAGAAACAGCTTGCCAGCACAACAGTTTCCAGACGCTCAATAATCGAGCAGAAGCACCTACATCCCCCAAGATCGCATGCATGTTTGGGTAAACATGAGGGAGGAATGAGCAAGGGCAAATTCGAGTAAGAAGCTTGCATGCATAACTAAAAGGTGAGCATACCTTTAAAGACGGGTACTTATTATGATTTACCTTTACTAAGTAAAAAGGTTCTTATTCAAGGCGCATAATGAAAAGTTTGCATCCACATTTTAGGCGCATGCAAGATGAGGGAGAGAAAAAAAGAGGGTGCCTTTCCTTTCTTGATGATAAGTTTCAGTGTGTGACATAGCCTTATGGTTATATCCAAAGGAAAATGCATTACTTAATCTTAAGATTGGTACTAAGTGTAAGAGTATTACTTAGCCTTGTACCCGGTCTAAGAATGAGTGCGAAAAGGTGTAAAAACGTTACGTGGCCTTATGATTGGTACTTAGCCAGGGGGAGGGGGTGGGGGAGTGGGAGTACATGAGGCGGGGGATAGCTGTAACATTTTCGGATGCACGTGCTATCCGGCAAGTTATAGAATCAGAATCGTTGATGCACGTGGAAGACGACACGAGTTGGGTTATTCCGTGACCCAGCATGGCTGGCAGGGCGTCAGAGATTGGACGTGTGCTTTTGGGGCTTGAACTCTCAAAACCCCACACGTTCAATACTCCTGCGCAATTTGAGGAGGCAGTCAAGCTGGGTAGTAAACCTTCTAACATAAAATTGAAGGAGGTGGTGAATTTTCTGCCTGCTGGGACGGAGGAGGACATAGGGATGCTGAAGGCATGACGAGGAGAGGGGGTAGGAGTAGGAGGGGCAGTAAAGTTGCATGCTATAGTCCACGCACTATTTGCTTGCCATATAACTCAACTGCCCCTCCTACTCCTCCCCCCTCTCCTAGTCCTGTCCTCAGCAACCATCCCTACGTCGTCCTCCGTCCCAGCATGCAGAATACTTACCTTTTTTTTTTCCATTTTTTTTTACCGAGTTTACTACTCAGTTTGACCACCGCCTCAAACTGCGCAGGAGTCTTGGACATGTGGGGATTTAGAAGTTCAAACCTCAAAAGCACATGTCTAAACTCCGACGCCCTCCCATCCATGCTGTAGTCCACGAAAAAACCCAGCTCGTGCCGCCTTCCACATGCATCAACGATTCTAATTCTATAACTTGCTGGGTAGTATGTGCAACCGAGAATGTCACAGCTATCCCACGCCTCATATACTCTTACTCCCCCTCCCACTCTCCCACCCTCCCCTGGCCGAGTGACGCACTTACGCTTACTACCAACTACGATTGGTATCAAGTGTAGATGCATTATTTAGCCTTATGATATGAAGTGCAAGTGCGCTGTTTGATATTTATGATTGGTAGTAACTCCAAATGCGGTACTTAGCCTTACGGTTACTATTATGTAAAGTTGTGTTACTTGGTTATACAATTGGTACTAAAATGTAAATGCTTTACTTCGCTTAACGGTTGGTACTAAGTGGTAGTCCTCTACCTAACCTTAAGGAGGCAGGGAAAAACAAGGGTACTCAATAGCAAAGTATTGAAGCAAAACACTGACCTGGGTGATGAGGTTGGGGAACATGTAAAGGGGGAAGCGCAGCACAGCGAAGAGGGAGATGGAGGTGAAGGCCTTGGCGGCTGTGAGCTGGTGGCCCAGCAGCGAGTAGCAGCCGAACGACACCACTGTCACCAGCACCGGCACCACACTCATCAGCAGGAAGTTGATCTGCGGAAGGATGGGGGGAAAGAGAGTGGAGGAGAAGGAAAGGCGGGCGGGAAAGGGAAAGAAGGGTGGGGTGGGGCTTGACCCTCACAGGTGAACTCTTTGGACTTTTGGGGGGTTTTGAAACGATATACGCAAAGAAACATAAGGTAGGGTCACCGGGTCATAGCTATTCGTTTACTCTTTGTTTAGCGATCGGGATTGACGTGCAAGGCTCGATATGATGCACGACTGCACAGCGCCTTGGAAATCTGCCCCATATCATCAACCGCCACCTTGCTCTGAAAGCTCTCCTCCCACCCTCGTGCACGACTTGACTCACCACCATCTCATGCGTCCTCTCCATCTCATCATACCGCACACAACCCACCGCCATGATGTATTGCGCCTTGGAGATCTGCCCCATCTCGTCCGATCGGACCCGCGCCACCTTGCCCTGAAAGCTCTCCTCCCACGTGTACGACTTGACGACGTCCATGGCTGCCAGCACCTCGCTCATGAGCGCCACTCGCTTGTCGCTGCGCTGCAGTGAGGCTTTCACCAGCTTCTGCACCCTGTTCACTATCACCGCCTGTGGTTTGCGGGGGAAGGGGAGCAGCGGAAGAGGAGAGAGAGGAGAGGGGAGAAAGGAGGGGAGAGAGGAGGGGAGAGAGGAGGGGAGGGGAGAAAAGGGAGGGGAGAGGGGGGGGAAGATGGGAGAGCCGGGGAGAGAGAACAGGAGAGATGAGGCGTGTACGACTTTACGACGTCCATGGCTGCCAGCACCTCGCTCATGAGCGCCACTCGCTTGTCGCTGCGCTGCAGTGAGGCTTTCACCAGCTTCTGCACCCGGCTCACAATCACCGCCTGGTGGTGGGTGGGGAGGTGGGGGGTGTGTGGGGTTTGCAGGGGAAGAGGGGTATAGAGACAGGAGGGGAGAGGAGGCTTTCACCAGCTTCTGCACCCGGCTCACAATCACCGCCTGGTGGGGAGAGGGTTGACTTTTGAGTCGACTCAAAAGTCAACTTGGCTCTCACCAGCTTCTGCACCCGGCTCACACTCACCGCCTGGTGTGGAGAGGGGGAGGAGGGAGGGATGCAGGGGGAGTGGAGGAAGTGAGAGATTAAAGATGGAACAGAGTAGGGGAGAGAGGAGGAGAGTGGAGCAAGGGAGAGATTAAAGAGGGAACAGAGTAGGGGAGAGAGGAGGAGAGTGGAGCAAGGGAGAGATTATAGAGGGAACAGAGTAGGGGAGAGAGGAGGAGAGTGGAGGAAGGGAGAGATTAAAGAGGGAACAGAGTAGGGGAGAGAGGAGGAGAGTGGAGGAAGGGAGAGATTAAAGAGGGAACAGAGTAGGGGAGAGAGGAGGAGGGTGGAGGAAGAGGTGAGGAGAGAGAGGCGAGGAGAGAGAAGGGAAGAGAAGAGGCACACGGAGAGAGGCACACGGAGAGAGGCGCAGGGAAAGAGGCCAGTCTCAGCTGGTAGCAGCGCAGGACCATGGCATGGCATGCAGACGCGCATGCACAGAGGGACTAGCCATACGAGTCGTGTTTTGAGTCGACTCAAAACACGACTCATTAAAGAGGCCAGTCTCAGCTGGTAGCAGCGCAGGACCATGGCAGACAGACGCGCATGCACAGAGGGAAATGCCATACCAGCGCGTATAATACCATAACGCTGGAAGCAAACAAACCATCAATCAACCACCCGGTGTCACTCACCTGGGCAGGGATCATGAGGAGCAGCATGAGCAGGCCGAGCAGTGAAGCCACCCCCAGCTGCTGGTAGAGCAGGAAGATGCAGACGAGGATTTGGAGAGAGACCGGCCATACCAGAGTGCACAATACCATACCGACATAAGCCTGCAAGCCATCAACCACCAGGACCCACTCACCTGGGCGGGGATCATCAGAAGGAGCATGAGCAGGCCCAGGAGCGAAGCCACCCCCAGCTGCTGGTAGAGCAAGAAGATGCAGACGAGGATGCGCATCGGCGCGGACCATAGGCCGTGCAGCTGCTGACACACCTGGGAGGACAAGAGAGAAGCAGGAGAAAAAGTGATTGAAGTGTGAAGTGAGCAAGTCGACGTGGGGGGAAGGAGAACTAACAGCGTTGATGCTGTTTTTTACAGATGCGGTAAGGTCAAGCCAACAACCTTAAGCGTCACACAAGCCAAAACGCACCACACCGCTCCACCCCACCCCACACCAGACCACACCACATTGCACCACAGCATACCATCTGCAGCGACTCAGCGTCGTTGGTCATCATGTTGGTGATGCGCCCCGTGCTGAAGCCCTGCCTCCCACTGTGACTCAGACGCAACGACTTGCTGAACACTGCTGCCACCTGCCATGGATATCAACAAGTGAGACGGTGGAAGGCCGGCAGAAAACGAGGTGGGGAAGAAAGGGAATAGGGACATAAGGATCACCTATAACCTTCATATTGTCCAGGAAACGAGGTGGAGGATCACTTGCAGAATAACCTTCTTATTGTCCAGCCTTCAGTGCAGTGCAACCCATCAGCCATACTGAGCACACTTGAATCCTATAGACTTACACACCGTGTGTGGGTTTGTGATTGATGCTCACTGGCTGTGCTTTTTTTACTCGACTCAAAACTGCTGCACTGCACACCTCACATACATACATGCACGCATACCATGCCTCACGTACCATAGCTTGTCGCAGCTGGAAGCCAACGCGCATGACACTCTGGAAATACTGCGCCAACCAACATCATGGCACCCTGCACCGCAGTGCACCACAGAGCACCGCACAGCACAGCACAGCACAGCACAGCACAGCACAGCACAGCACAGCACAGCACACGTCCAACGTACCATGGCTTGTCGCAGCTGGAAGCCGACCCGCATGACATTCTGGAAGTACTGCGCCTCACAGATGACCCCTCCCACCTGGTGCAAGGAGGAGGGGTGATGTGCGGTGCTAGGGGGTTAACAGGGGTGGTTTGAACATAGAAGCCTCTCAAGCGTGAATGATACTCTGGAAGTACTGCGCCTCACAGATCACCCCGCCCACCTGGTGCCCAGGGGGTTGCAAGCGAGGGGGGTGGCATGCGGTGCTAGAGGGTTAACAGGGGTGATACGGGGTACTAGGGTGTGATTGGGGGTGGAGTGGATTTCCAAGACAAGGATGGTGGCGTGGATGCAGCCACGACATGCAGGCTTGTCGGATTGCATGGCAGCATGGCTGATCCCTGAATTGAACTTCGATTGAAAATTAATCCTTCAGTTATTAGGTACATAGGCTCATCGTATCAGTCCCAGGAAGATGATAGGCATAGGTGTAACCATACCCATGCCACGCAGGCTCGTCCGACTGCATGGGTGTAGCATGGGTGTAGCATGGGTGTAGCATGGGTGTAGCATGGGTGTAGTATGGGTGTAGCATGGGTGTAGCATGGGTGTAGCATGGGTGTAGCATGGGTGTAGCCATACCCATGCCACGCAGGCTCGCCCGACTGCATGGCTGACCCCCGACCCCTTATTCTCCGTTCATGGTGTGCCTATGCGCGTAACAACACACAACCATACCAGGTTGCACTTTTAACAACATCAAAATAAAAAAGGCGAGTTGGGCCGCGACATACCAGCCCGAGAAAGATAATGCTGGCATAGATGTAGCCGTGCCATGCAGGCTCGTCCCACTGCATGGCAGACCCCTGACCCCCCTCACGTTCTATCCACACAGTGTGCCTATGCGCATAACACACAACCACCAGGGTGGGGCCTCAACATACCAGCCCGAGAAAGATGATGCTGGCATAGATGTAGCCGTGCCATGCAGGCTCGTCCCACTGCATGGCAGACCCCTGACCCCCCTCACGTTCTATCTACACAGTGTGCCTATGCGCATAACACACAACCACCAGGGTGGGGCCTCAACATACCAGCCCGAGAAAGATGATGCTGGCATAGATGTAGCCGTGCCATGCAGGCTCGCCCGACTGCATGGCTGACAGCAGGCGGCTGAGCATCAGCGGGCCCACAAACTGAGACGCATCGTTGCCGATCTGAAGAGGGTGGGGTGGGGTTGGAGGGTGGGGATTGGGATGGGACCAGCAGACAGGGAGGGATGCATCAGTGCCCGCATAGACTGCATGGCTGACAGCAGGCGGCTGAGCATCAGCGGGCCCACAAACTGAGACGCATCGTTGCCAATCTGATGAGGAGTGGGATGGGGATGGGGATGGGGATGGGGATGGGGATGGGGATGGGGATGGTAGCAAGGGGGGGGGAAATGACGTAGGTTAACGGACACATCATGCAAAAGTTGCAAAGGCATGCCATGTGATGGCACGGGATGTGACGGCATGGGATGGATGACACGAGTTGGCATGTAGTGCATCATGGGTTGGCATGGGATGGCATGGAATGGCATGGGATGGCATGGGATGGCATGGAATGGCATGGGATGGCATGGAATGGCATGGGATGGCATGGGATGGCATGGGACGGCATGCAATGGATGGCATAAGATACACGTTGGAGCACCAGCACAGGGAGGGCAGGTGGGTGTTCTTGACAGCACAGGGAGGGCAGGTGGGTGTTCTTGACAGCACAGGGAGGGCAGGTGGGTGTTCTTGACAGCACAGGGAGGGCAGGTGGGTGTTCTTGACAGCACAGGGAGGGCAGGTGGGTGTTCTTGACAGCACAGGGAGGGCAGGTGGGTGTTCTTGACAGCACAGGGAGGGCAGGTGGGTGTTCTTGACAGCACAGGGAGGGCAGGTGGGTGCTCTTGACAGCACAGGGAGGGCAGGTGGGTGTTCTTGACAGCACAGGGAGGGCAGGTGGGTGTTCTTGACAGCACAGGGAGGGTAGGTGGGTGTTCTTGACAGCACAGGGAGGGCAGGTGGGTGTTCTTGACAGCACAGGGAGGGTAGGTGGGTGTTCTTGACAGCACAGGGAGGGCAGGTGGGTGTTCTTGACAGCACAGGGAGGGTAGGTGGGTGTTCTTGACAGCACAGGGAGGGCAGGTGGGTGTTCTTGACAGCACAGGGAGGGTAGGTGGGTGTTCTTGACAGCACAGGGAGGGCAGGTGGGTGTTCTTGACAGCACAGGGAGGGTAGGTGGGTGTTCTTGACAGCACAGGGAGGGCAGGTGGGTGTTCTTGACAGCACAGGGAGGGCAGGTGGGTGTTCTTGACAGCACAGGGAGGGCAGGTGGGTGTTCTTGACAGCACAGGGAGGGCAGGTGGGTGTTCTTGACAGCACAGGGAGGGCAGGTGGGTGTTCTTGACAGCACAGGGAGGGCAGGTGGGTGTTCTTGACAGCACAGGGAGGGCAGGTGGGTGTTCTTGACAGCACAGGGAGGGCAGGTGGGTGTTCTTGACAGCACAGGGAGGGCAGGTGGGTGTTCTTGACAGCACAGGGAGGGCAGGTGGGTGTTCTTGACAGCACAGGGAGGGCAGGTGGGTGTTCTTGACAGCACAGGGAGGGCAGGTGGGTGTTCTTGACAGCACAGGGAGGGCAGGTGGGTGTTCTTGACAGCACAGGGAGGGCAGGTGGGTGTTCTTGACAGCACAGGGAGGGCAGGTGGGTGTTCTTGACAGCACAGGGAGGGCAGGTGGGTGTTCTTGACAGCACAGGGAGGGCAGGTGGGTGTTCTTGACAGCACAGGGAGGGCAGGTGGGTGTTCTTGACAGCACAGGGAGGGCAGGTGGGTGTTCTTGACAGCACAGGGAGGGCAGGTGGGTGTTCTTGACAGCACAGGGAGGGCAGGTGGGTGTTCTTGACAGCACAGGGAGGGCAGGTGGGTGTTCTTGACAGCACAGGGAGGGCAGGTGGGTGTTCTTGACAGCACAGGGAGGGCAGGTGGGTGTTCTTGACAGCACAGGGAGGGCAGGTGGGTGTTCTTGACAGCACAGGGAGGGCAGGTGGGTGTTCTTGACAGCACAGGGAGGGCAGGTGGGTGTTCTTGACAGCACAGGGAGGGCAGGTGGGTGTTCTTGACAGCACAGGGAGGGCAGGTGGGTGTTCTTGACAGCACAGGGAGGGCAGGTGGGTGTTCTTGACAGCACAGGGAGGGCAGGTGGGTGTTCTTGACAGCACAGGGAGGGCAGGTGGGTGTTCTTGACAGCACAGGGAGGGCAGGTGGGTGTTCTTGACAGCACAGGGAGGGCAGGTGGGTGTTCTTGACAGCACAGGGAGGGCAGGTGGGTGTTCTTGACAGCACAGGGAGGGCAGGTGGGTGTTCTTGACAGCACAGGGAGGGCAGGTGGGTGTTCTTGACAGCACAGGGAGGGCAGGTGGGTGTTCTTGACAGCACAGGGAGGGCAGGTGGGTGTTCTTGACAGCACAGGGAGGGCAGGTGGGTGTTCTTGACAGCACAGGGAGGGCAGGTGGGTGTTCTTGACAGCACAGGGAGGGCAGGTGGGTGTTCTTGACAGCACAGGGAGGGCAGGTGGGTGTTCTTGACAGCACAGGGAGGGCAGGTGGGTGTTCTTGACAGCACAGGGAGGGCAGGTGGGTGTTCTTGACAGCACAGGGAGGGCAGGTGGGTGTTCTTGACAGCACAGGGAGGGCAGGTGGGTGTTCTTGACAGCACAGGGAGGGCAGGTGGGTGTTCTTGACAGCACAGGGAGGGCAGGTGGGTGTTCTTGACAGCACAGGGAGGGCAGGTGGGTGTTCTTGACAGCACAGGGAGGGCAGGTGGGTGTTCTTGACAGCACAGGGAGGGCAGGTGGGTGTTCTTGACAGCACAGGGAGGGCAGGTGGGTGTTCTTGACAGCACAGGGAGGGCAGGTGGGTGTTCTTGACAGCACAGGGAGGGCAGGTGGGTGTTCTTGACAGCACAGGGAGGGCAGGTGGGTGTTCTTGACAGCACAGGGAGGGCAGGTGGGTGTTCTTGACAGCACAGGGAGGGCAGGTGGGTGTTCTTGACAGCACAGGGAGGGCAGGTGGGTGTTCTTGACAGCACAGGGAGGGCAGGTGGGTGTTCTTGACAGCACAGGGAGGGCAGGTGGGTGTTCTTGACAGCACAGGGAGGGCAGGTGGGTGTTCTTGACAGCACAGGGAGGGCAGGTGGGTGTTCTTGACAGCACAGGGAGGGCAGGTGGGTGTTCTTGACAGCACAGGGAGGGCAGGTGGGTGTTCTTGACAGCACAGGGAGGGCAGGTGGGTGTTCTTGACAGCACAGGGAGGGCAGGTGGGTGTTCTTGACAGCACAGGGAGGGCAGGTGGGTGTTCTTGACAGCACAGGGAGGGCAGGTGGGTGTTCTTGACAGCACAGGGAGGGCAGGTGGGTGTTCTTGACAGCACAGGGAGGGCAGGTGGGTGTTCTTGACAGCACAGGGAGGGCAGGTGGGTGTTCTTGACAGCACAGGGAGGGCAGGTGGGTGTTCTTGACAGCACAGGGAGGGCAGGTGGGTGTTCTTGACAGCACAGGGAGGGCAGGTGGGTGTTCTTGACAGCACAGGGAGGGCAGGTGGGTGTTCTTGACAGCACAGGGAGGGCAGGTGGGTGTTCTTGACAGCACAGGGAGGGCAGGTGGGTGTTCTTGACAGCACAGGGAGGGTAGGTGGGTGTTCTTGACAGCACAGGGAGGGCAGGTGGGTGTTCTTGACAGCACAGGGAGGGTAGGTGGGTGTTCTTGACAGCACAGGGAGGGCAGGTGGGTGTTCTTGACAGCACAGGGAGGGCAGGTGGGTGTTCTTGACAGCACAGGGAGGGCAGGTGGGTGTTCTTGACAGCACAGGGAGGGCAGGTGGGTGTTCTTGACAGCACAGGGAGGGCAGGTGGGTGTTCTTGACAGCACAGGGAGGGCAGGTGGGTGTTCTTGACAGCACAGGGAGGGCAGGTGGGTGTTCTTGACAGCACAGGGAGGGCAGGTGGGTGTTCTTGACAGCACAGGGAGGGCAGGTGGGTGTTCTTGACAGCACAGGGAGGGCAGGTGGGTGTTCTTGACAGCACAGGGAGGGCAGGTGGGTGTTCTTGACAGCACAGGGAGGGCAGGTGGGTGTTCTTGACAGCACAGGGAGGGCAGGTGGGTGTTCTTGACAGCACAGGGAGGGCAGGTGGGTGTTCTTGACAGCACAGGGAGGGCAGGTGGGTGTTCTTGACAGCACAGGGAGGGCAGGTGGGTGTTCTTGACAGCACAGGGAGGGCAGGTGGGTGTTCTTGACAGCACAGGGAGGGCAGGTGGGTGTTCTTGACAGCACAGGGAGGGCAGGTGGGTGTTCTTGACAGCACAGGGAGGGCAGGTGGGTGTTCTTGACAGCACAGGGAGGGCAGGTGGGTGTTCTTGACAGCACAGGGAGGGCAGGTGGGTGTTCTTGACAGCACAGGGAGGGCAGGTGGGTGTTCTTGACAGCACAGGGAGGGCAGGTGGGTGTTCTTGACAGCACAGGGAGGGCAGGTGGGTGTTCTTGACAGCACAGGGAGGGCAGGTGGGTGTTCTTGACAGCACAGGGAGGGCAGGTGGGTGTTCTTGACAGCACAGGGAGGGCAGGTGGGTGTTCTTGACAGCACAGGGAGGGCAGGTGGGTGTTCTTGACAGCACAGGGAGGGCAGGTGGGTGTTCTTGACAGCACAGGGAGGGCAGGTGGGTGTTCTTGACAGCACAGGGAGGGCAGGTGGGTGTTCTTGACAGCACAGGGAGGGCAGGTGGGTGTTCTTGACAGCACAGGGAGGGCAGGTGGGTGTTCTTGACAGCACAGGGAGGGCAGGTGGGTGTTCTTGACAGCACAGGGAGGGCAGGTGGGTGTTCTTGACAGCACAGGGAGGGCAGGTGGGTGTTCTTGACAGCACAGGGAGGGCAGGTGGGTGTTCTTGACAGCACAGGGAGGGCAGGTGGGTGTTCTTGACAGCACAGGGAGGGCAGGTGGGTGTTCTTGACAGCACAGGGAGGGCAGGTGGGTGTTCTTGACAGCACAGGGAGGGCAGGTGGGTGTTCTTGACAGCACAGGGAGGGCAGGTGGGTGTTCTTGACAGCACAGGGAGGGCAGGTGGGTGTTCTTGACAGCACAGGGAGGGCAGGTGGGTGTTCTTGACAGCACAGGGAGGGCAGGTGGGTGTTCTTGACAGCACAGGGAGGGCAGGTGGGTGTTCTTGACAGCACAGGGAGGGCAGGTGGGTGTTCTTGACAGCACAGGGAGGGCAGGTGGGTGTTCTTGACAGCACAGGGAGGGCAGGTGGGTGTTCTTGACAGCACAGGGAGGGCAGGTGGGTGTTCTTGACAGCACAGGGAGGGCAGGTGGGTGTTCTTGACAGCACAGGGAGGGCAGGTGGGTGTTCTTGACAGCACAGGGAGGGCAGGTGGGTGTTCTTGACAGCACAGGGAGGGCAGGTGGGTGTTCTTGACAGCACAGGGAGGGCAGGTGGGTGTTCTTGACAGCACAGGGAGGGCAGGTGGGTGTTCTTGACAGCACAGGGAGGGCAGGTGGGTGTTCTTGACAGCACAGGGAGGGCAGGTGGGTGTTCTTGACAGCACAGGGAGGGCAGGTGGGTGTTCTTGACAGCACAGGGAGGGCAGGTGGGTGTTCTTGACAGCACAGGGAGGGCAGGTGGGTGTTCTTGACAGCACAGGGAGGGCAGGTGGGTGTTCTTGACAGCACAGGGAGGGCAGGTGGGTGTTCTTGACAGCACAGGGAGGGCAGGTGGGTGTTCTTGACAGCACAGGGAGGGCAGGTGGGTGTTCTTGACAGCACAGGGAGGGCAGGTGGGTGTTCTTGACAGCACAGGGAGGGTAGGTGGGTGTTCTTGACAGCACAGGGAGGGCAGGTGGGTGTTCTTGACAGCACAGGGAGGGCAGGTGGGTGTTCTTGACAGCACAGGGAGGGCAGGTGGGTGTTCTTGACAGCACAGGGAGGGCAGGTGGGTGTTCTTGACAGCACAGGGAGGGCAGGTGGGTGTTCTTGACAGCACAGGGAGGGCAGGTGGGTGTTCTTGACAGCACAGGGAGGGCAGGTGGGTGTTCTTGACAGCACAGGGAGGGTAGGTGGGTGTTCTTGACAGCACAGGGAGGGCAGGTGGGTGTTCTTGACAGCACAGGGAGGGTAGGTGGGTGTTCTTGACAGCACAGGGAGGGCAGGTGGGTGTTCTTGACAGCACAGGGAGGGCAGGTGGGTGTTCTTGACAGCACAGGGAGGGCAGGTGGGTGTTCTTGACAGCACAGGGAGGGCAGGTGGGTGTTCTTGACAGCACAGGGAGGGCAGGTGGGTGTTCTTGACAGCACAGGGAGGGCAGGTGGGTGTTCTTGACAGCACAGGGAGGGCAGGTGGGTGTTCTTGACAGCACAGGGAGGGCAGGTGGGTGTTCTTGACAGCACAGGGAGGGCAGGTGGGTGTTCTTGACAGCACAGGGAGGGCAGGTGGGTGTTCTTGACAGCACAGGGAGGGCAGGTGGGTGTTCTTGACAGCACAGGGAGGGCAGGTGGGTGTTCTTGACAGCACAGGGAGGGCAGGTGGGTGTTCTTGACAGCACAGGGAGGGCAGGTGGGTGTTCTTGACAGCACAGGGAGGGCAGGTGGGTGTTCTTGACAGCACAGGGAGGGCAGGTGGGTGTTCTTGACAGCACAGGGAGGGTAGGTGGGTGTTCTTGACAGCACAGGGAGGGCAGGTGGGTGTTCTTGACAGCACAGGGAGGGTAGGTGGGTGTTCTTGACAGCACAGGGAGGGCAGGTGGGTGTTCTTGACAGCACAGGGAGGGCAGGTGGGTGTTCTTGACAGCACAGGGAGGGCAGGTGGGTGTTCTTGACAGCACAGGGAGGGCAGGTGGGTGTTCTTGACAGCACAGGGAGGGCAGGTGGGTGTTCTTGACAGCACAGGGAGGGCAGGTGGGTGTTCTTGACAGCACAGGGAGGGCAGGTGGGTGTTCTTGACAGCACAGGGAGGGCAGGTGGGTGTTCTTGACAGCACAGGGAGGGCAGGTGGGTGTTCTTGACAGCACAGGGAGGGCAGGTGGGTGTTCTTGACAGCACAGGGAGGGCAGGTGGGTGTTCTTGACAGCACAGGGAGGGCAGGTGGGTGTTCTTGACAGCACAGGGAGGGCAGGTGGGTGTTCTTGACAGCACAGGGAGGGCAGGTGGGTGTTCTTGACAGCACAGGGAGGGTAGGTGGGTGTTCTTGACAGCACAGGGAGGGCAGGTGGGTGTTCTTGACAGCACAGGGAGGGCAGGTGGGTGTTCTTGACAGCACAGGGAGGGCAGGTGGGTGTTCTTGACAGCACAGGGAGGGCAGGTGGGTGTTCTTGACAGCACAGGGAGGGCAAGTGGGTGTTCTTGACAGCACAGGGAGGGCAGGTGGGTGTTCTTGACAGCACAGGGAGGGCAGGTGGGTGTTCTTGACAGCACAGGGAGGGCAGGTGGGTGTTCTTGACAGCACAGGGAGGGCAGGTGGGTGTTCTTGACAGCACAGGGAGGGCAGGCGTGAGAGTGCAATGGTCGAAATGTAAAATGCAACTCCCCCTTTCCACGCAGGTTGAAAAGCCTAACTATCATCAAGTGGGACGGGGGAAACATACCTTGAAGAAACCACCCCACCAGAACCTGTTAAAGGCCGGGGAAGAATAGGGAAACAACACAGGGACAGGAAGGCAGAAAAGGAGTTTTGAGACGTCTCAAAACCGGGGAAGAATAGGGAAACAACACAGAGACGGGAAGGCAGAAAAGGAGGGTCGGGGTGGGGAAGGGAAAGGGGTTGTGAGTTGGTATGTGTGTGTGTGGTGCATGTGTAGGCGACCACAAGGATAGAAATTAATCAAAGCTCGATGATGTGTTTGTCTGGTGCATACGTAAGCGAGTGTAAGAATTGAACGATAATGTTGAAGAGGAGGGGGGGGAGGAGAGGAGGGGGAGAATGTGGACGGACGTTCACAAACCATTACACATATTCATCTATTAGTTTGTTGACTTTTTTACGATTCTCAGAAGTGAATCCAGTAAAACCCAATAAATAGATGGATCATCTACCTTTGTGCGATAATTCCGCTGCTACTCTCTGCACAGGCAGCAATGGGATACATACCATACATGCTGAAAATGCACGCACACACAAAGGTCCACAGTTCGTCTGTTCCCCCTTTCATCCATCCCACCCCTCCCTTCCCACCCCTCCCTTCCCATCACATCACTCTCAACAGTCCCACCCCTCCATTCCCCCCACCCCTCCATCCCTCTCACCCCTCCATCCCTCCCTCCACGCCTCCCTCTCCCCTCACCTGCGGCCAAAGCAGGAGTGCAGGGCACGCAGCAGCCACGGCTTGGGGCGCCCCTTCTCCTCCCTCCAAGCGCACTCAAACCTGCCCATGGGGATGGGTGGCGGCAAGAGAAAGGAAGAGCAGAATCGGTCGCCGTCATTCAGGCGCCACACATTGGTGACTGACCTCCAATGGACAACACTTGGTGGGTGCGCCATGTGTTGGTTATGTGTCAGAGACAGGTCGCACACCCACACCCCACACTCCACACACTCTGACTCACCTGCCATACACCGTGGCAGTGCGGTCCCCGTCGTTGAGGCGCCACACATCGCTGTCTTCCAACGGGCGGCGGTACCCTGTAGCCATGAGAGGCGTCATCCACCCAAACGTCAGACCTGGGGGGAGGAGAGGTGGGGGAGGTGGGGGAAGGTGGGCAAGGGGGTGGGGGGAAAGAGGGGAGGGTGGGGTTGAGATACATCGCTGAGAGGGGGGAGGGGGGAAGAGAGGGGGGTGGGGCGGGGAATGGGAGGGGTTGAGACGTCTCAAAAGTTGGTACCCCAAAGCCATGGATGGCCTTGGGGTGGTGTCATCCACCCAAAAGGGTATGGGTTCTTCAAAAACCAGGTGAGTGAGAGCTCACAGTGGACGAACATGAAGCTTGTTTTAAGTCGACTCATGTTTTGAGTCGACTCATGTTTTGAGTCGACTCAAAACAAAACCAGGCGAGTGAGAGCTCACAGTGGACGAACATGAAGCTCGACTCGAGTTGAGCCTCAGGCAACTCCAGTGCGCCGTTCGGGTTCGAACGTGCAAGGTATATAAGGGTCTGGGGTTTAAGGTTTACAAAACAGGTGAGAGGCGACGGTTGATAAAGATCAGGTTCTAGCTCAGGTGCCTCAAGTGCTCTTTCAGGTATTACAACAACAGGTTGTGAAGTGTAAGGTAAAGGGTTCGGGTTTTGGCGTTGGGGTTTTAGAAAACAGGTGGGAGCTCACGGTTAATGAAACTCGTGTGGTCTTCAGGGCACACCTGCCCCTGATTGTCTCCTCCCTCCTCCTCCACTGTTTCCCCTGCAGCCAAAGGCACATACTCCGCACCACCGCTCCCCCCTTCCCCTGCTGCCGCTGATGCTGCTGCTGCAGGTGGCAGGAGTGGCGCTGCTGCCTCTGCGGCTGCGAGGGCGGAGGAGGAGAATCCCGACGAGGCATGCTCAAGCGGGAGCAGGTTGGGGAAGAAGAAGAGCGCGAGCAGACCCAGGAGGACCTGGGGGGTACAAGGGGGGAGAAAAGGAAAGAAGGGAGGTACAGAGTGGGTACTACAAGGGAGGAAGAGAGGGCGGAGGAGGAGAATCCCGACGAGGCATGATCAAGAGGGAGCAGGTTGGGGAAGAAGAAGAGCGCGAGCAGACCCAGGAGCACCTGGGGGTGCAAGTAAGGGGGAAGGAAGGGGAAGAAGGGGGAGCAGGCTGGGAGCAGGCTGGGAGCAGGTTGGGGAAGAAGAAGAGCGCGAGCAGACCCAGGAGCACCTGGGGGTGCAAGTAAGGGGGAAGGAAGGGGAAGAAGGGGGAGCAGGCTGGGAGCAGGCTGGGAGCAGGTTGGGGAAGAAGAAGAGCGCGAGCAGGCCTAGGAGCACCTGGGGGTGCAAGCAAGGGGGCACAAAGAGGGGACACGGAGGGGAGTGAGCAGTCAGGGGAGAATGGGATGGGAGGGTGGGAGGAGGAGCAAAGGGGGTGAGCAGAAGGGGGGCTCGGAGGAGGGAGGGGTAGGTGGAGCAGGCGAAATTTTGTCCGCTGCAGGAGTAGTGGAGGAGAGCCTTTGCATAAGGTGCAGCCTGCCTGCACTGCCTGCCTTTGCTTGACTAGAACGAAACTGACAGGCACTTACCTAAGTAAGTAGGACTCTTATTCTACATAAACGTTGAAATACAAACACTTACATGAGCTGATGTGTAGCCAAAGAAAAGCTCCACAAAGAAACTGGTAAGGAAGGAAAGGATGCAGAAGGGAAGAACGCAAGGGGAATAATCAGGGATTAGTAACAAAAAAACACAAAAAACAAAAACAAAAACAAAAACAAATCAGAACATACACACATACACACACACACACACAAACCCATAACTGTGGAGTAGAGAAAAGTAGCACGAACCACAGCAGCCATGCACCGGGCTACAAGAACACTCCATCCATCCAAAGTACTCACGCCTGGAAGTCCTGCTGGAGTATGAGCACGAATCGCAGCTTCGCCAGCTGCCCCACCATCACATAGAGCACTGCGAATCGCAGCAGCCATGCGCCCTTCACTGCCATGCGCTTGCGCTCCCAGAAGAGTGCCGTTGCAGTGAGCGCCCAGGCGAGGAACGCCAGGATCAAGGAGCAAACCTGGCAGCGCAAGGGATAGAGTTGAAATGAGGAGAGCATGAACCAGTTAGATTGATACGTGGCATGGCAACCATACGATACGACGGTCACTGCCATGCGCCTGCGCTCCCAGAAGAGCGCGGTTGCAGTGAGCGCCCAGGCGAGGAAGGCCAGGATCAAAGGAGCAAATCTGGGAATGCACGGGATAGAATTGAGATGAGGAGGAGAGCAGGAAGAAAGTAGCTTCAACTGCAGCAGCCACACATCCTTCACTGCCTTGCGCCTGCGTTCCCAGAAAGGGGCCGCGGGGGTGAGCGCAATACGTGAGGAAGGTGAAAATCAAGGAGCAAACTTAAGAAGCAGATTTTAAGAGAAGAGGAGAGGGGCATCAACCCATACGATCCACACGAAGGCCGCATACGGCGTGCGTCCTGCAGACGAGCGCCGTGGACGTGAACACATCTACACGATCCACACGACTGCGAATCATGCACATCATTGATTTGAGATGCGAATAGAAACCAGAGAGTTAAGAACATGAGAGCCCCAGAAGAGAATTGCGAAACAGATCTGGACTAAGAAACAGCGAGGTTGTAATGCATTGGGAAATTGAACCACATAAGGCGTGCGGTACCTCGTAAGGCGGCAGATCCGCGTCTGTAGAGAAAGAGCTCAGTGACACGCGAGCGCTCAGCTGCATCAGCGGGACCACCGCACACGTCAGCGCCAGCGCGGCAGCCGCCACGATCCCCCGCTCCCCGCGCCACCCGGGCGCAACCGCCCGCTGCTGCGCGCGCGGGGTGGTGTAGAGAACGTACAGCCGCAGCACGGCTAGAAGAATCATAGCGAGGTACGCTGTACCGAGTACGACAATGTCGATGAAGCAGGGCGTGAAAGCGCCAAGCTCGTTCGTGATTGACTCCCATGATCCGTTAAACTGCGGCTTGCAGAACGAATCTACGAATTGCGGAGGCGGCGCCGGCGGCTGCGGCGGCGGCGCGGCGGACGGGCCGAGAATTGCGGAGGAGACGGTCGGAAAGGGAGAGAATGCGACGGATGAGAAAAGTTCGGCGAAATTGCCGCGCGAGGCGGCGCCGATTGCGGCCATCGCGGTGTCGGTTGCGGAGAGATTGGCGCCGGAAGTCGCGGCGGAAGACGCGGCGGTGAGGAAGGAGGTAACATTAGTAGTGGGTGGATGGAGGGAAAGCAAGGAGGAGAAACCGCCGGTGCCATCGAGGGAATCGGGAGGCGACAATGACGCTGCTGCTGACAAACCGCTGACGGTAGTGGTAGTCGATGCGAGGTGACTATTATCGGAGAGCCATGGGAAGAGAAGCGAGGGGTAGGGAAGGACGGAGGAAGTCAGAGGCGCCATTGCGCCGCGCAAAGGCTGCTTTCTGACCGCGGGTTCTGATCGCCACGTTTGACCACCCCCAACCTCTCCTAACAGAATTCGTCGACTTTATCGCTTTTGATTGTCGTCGGGTCTGTTCTGACCTCCGATCGCGGACGGGATCTCTAAAATGAACACCTAAGGGACGTACTCCGACACTACTATAAACACACTACCAGCATCGCATACATATATTCTTCCTACTTCTATCAAAATTGAATGTCATGACATTTGTTTCTTGCAATAAGAGCTAGATTACAGGGACCCATGGCGCGAAACTAGAGACTACCAACACCAAAGACAGACTAAAACTCTAGTCTGCTTGGAACTCTCATTGCAACAACAGAAACGAAGGAGCTGCTTGGAGCAGTGTCTGAATGAGCAGCACCCTAGTGTGACCAGTGAAATTGATAAGGCTGTGTGATAGAATCACCGGATGCAACCAGACCTAAACCAATCACACCGAGAACGAAGCCAGGCCAATCTCATGGCGCACGACAGGATCAAGGCAAGATGCCCAAGCTTCTTTTCCGGGCAGGGCATGCTTCAAAACAGTCAATTATCGTCATTTAGGTCTGCTAGTACACACAAACTGGTCATGAAGGTTTAAGTGTACGAAAGTATGTTTTCTCTCTTTGGTCGACCAGTGTTCGAACATACGAGAAAAGAGGGTGAACAATGGCAAGTCATATGCCATACAAGCGGGCCCACAGTGATCATAAACAAGCCATACATATACGTCCACCTGGCAGATAACAGTGCAGCACTGGGCTGCTCACAGAACGGCGTGTGAGGTCAGCATGTACAGTAAACTAGCGACTTCCCAAGTTCCTCGAAATTACAAAACAGCATCTCGCAAAATGAACGTACCATATTAACAACCTGAGCTGATTCCACCAGCTCTCGTAGCTCAGTTGGTTAGAGCGTATGGCTGTTAACCATAAGGTCGGTGGTTCAAGCCCACCTGGGAGCGCTTATTACGTGACGTTTTTTCCACATGCAATTTTGGTTTTCTTTGTCTATTTCCTGCTGTTCCATACAGCGTGGCTGCTGTGAGCGCTGACATCAAGACATGGTTTGATCAGCAGAATCATCCAACTCTCTGCCAACCATTGCCCACCCTGGCAGCAGCATTTGTGGAAGGTCCGGCAGCAAGGGCAGGAAAGGAGGCCATACGGTTCGGATGGAAAGGGGACAGGGGGGCAGATGTGACTGGGACAGAAAGAAGGCAGGGGGCGTATGTAGCTGGGACGGAAAGGGGGCTGGCTGCTACATGAAGGGAGCAAGGGAGGAGCGGAGCACATGTGGCTGCTACATGAAGGGAGCAAGGGAGCAGCGAGAGTTGGAACTGGAAGGGAAGCAAGGGAGCAGCGAGAGTTGGAACTGGAAGGGAAGCAAGGGAGCAGCAGCATACAGTAGCTGGGATGGCAGCATGAGAGAGGGTATTACAAGAGGCACTGCGGCAGTGTGAGAGCAAAGCGAAACGGCCTTCACTTGAGGTCTATGGGGTTTGGGCGCATGTGATGATTACTGTGCAGGATCATGGCTGTATGAGACCAGTGCGTTCTTTGTGAGTATTGAGTGGGGCGAGCACATGGGAGGGAAAAGAACAGTCTTAAGAATACGAAAGGAGGGAGTTGTAATCCAGGTCAGTATGCATGTTTTTATCCCATAGGTGGCACATGCTGAAAGGATTATCAATCCGTACCGTATGCATGTGGTGCGCGCAAGCACACCCGCACGTGCACACTGGTACAAACAGAGGCGCACACAACACACGCACACACACACACACACACACACACACACACACACACACACACACACACACACACACACACACACACACATGCACGCACGCACGCACGCACGCACGCACACACACACACACACACACACACACACACACACACACACACATCCAATACACACACAATTGCACAAGCCCACTGGCATGGTCTGCCATTCAATATGGCAGCTGGCTGCAGGCTTACGGTTGATGAACCAAACAAACCAGGCCACCCTTTCATGGGGGCAATACAGGGTTTGTTGCTTGTTGATTGATTGCTACTTTCAGGATGCCATTGGAATCGAACACTCGTGACATTCACAAATACGGTACCATCTTGCAAGTACAAGAACACCTACGAGCGAGTCCCACTCGCATCGTCGCTTGTCAGGTCATTAAAAGTCTCAACAACATGCTTCGCCAATGTCATAACAGAGTACTCAACAATAACCTGCAAAAAAAGTGATCCGATCCCGCAAGCAGTTAAAATTAAAGCAATGACACATGTATGCATATATACGTCCGTATGCACAAAATGGACACAAAGGGAGTGTGCATTGCACGTACCTCCATGTATGTGTCCATGGTTGGATGAGCCCCGGAAATCTTCTCATACCCATCATACCACATGGTCCCAGGGGTCCACAGGTGCTTGAAGTCTTGCCACAGGCGAATGTCGTAGAGGCGTTTCAAAGGGTCAAAGAAACCTGGCGCGTGCTCATTAGTGGCAATGTACAGCGTGCGTCCAGGTTCAACGAACTTGGGCAGCTTCTCGAGTAGCCTGCACCGCGTGTGGTACAGGGGAAGAGAAGAGAGTTTCTGGGAATGAAATGGGTTGGTTGGCAAGTACAGAGAAAATAATTGTTGGCATCCTGGTGTATGGGATGCGAGGATGTGAGCATGTTGCTGCATGGGATGCGGGGATGTGAGCATGTTGCTGCATGGGATGCGGGGATGTGAGCATGTTGCTGCATGGGATGCGGGGATGTGAGCATGTTGCTGCATGGGATGCGGGGATGTGAGCATGTTGCTGCATGGGATGCGGGGATGTGAGCATGTTGCTGCATGGGATGCGGGGATGTGAGCATGTTGCTGCATGGGATGCGGGGATGTGCGCATGTTGCTGCATGGGATGCGGGGATGTGAGCATGTTGCTGCATGGGATGCGGGGATGTGAGCATGCTGCTGCATGGGATGCGGGGATGTGAGCATGTTGCTGCATGGGATGCGGGGATGTGAGCATGTTGCTGCATGGGATGCGGGGATGTGAGCATGTTGCTGCATGGGATGCGGGGATGTGAGCATGTTGCTGCATGGGATGCGGGGATGTGAGCATGCTGCTGCATGGGATGCGGGGATGTGAGCATGTTGCTGCATGGGATGCGGGGATGTGAGCATGTTGCTGCATGGGATGCGGGGATGTGAGCATGTTGCTGCATGGGATGCGGGGATGTGAGCATGTTGCTGCATGGGATGCGGGGATGTGAGCATGCTGCTGCATGGGATGCGGGGATGTGAGCATGTTGCTGCATGGGATGCGGGGATGTGAGCATGTTGCTGCATGGGATGCGGGGATGTGAGCATGTTGCTGCATGGGATGCGGGGATGTGAGCATGTTGCTGCATGGGATGCGGGGATGTGAGCATGTTGCTGCATGGGATGCGGGGATGTGAGCATGTTGCTGCATGGGATGCGGGGATGTGAGCATGTTGCTGCATGAGATGCGGGGATGTGAGCATGTTGCTGCATGAGATGTGGGGATGTGAGCATGCTGCTGCATGGGATGTGGGGATGTGAGCATGCTGCTGCATGGGATGTGGGGATGTGAGCATGCTGCTGCATGGGATGTGGGGATGTGAGCATGCAGCTGCATGGGATGTGGGGATGCGAGCATCTGGCCGTAAGGCGTGTGCACACTCAACTCCTCAACCCAAACCACACCTCCACTTTCAATACACCTGCTCCTGCACAACTCACGATGCTGCTTGCGTATCGTTGTCAAGGTGAGGCCACATGCGCGGGTTAACCTTGTCTCCGCGCCTCACATGCATGGCATCGTAGTCCCCTCCATTCATCGACCATGACATGGCAGCAGCCAGTGCCAGCAGCTCTGGGCGGAACGCAACCACATGTACTGTCATGGCACAAACCACACATCAAATCAGACAAACTACACCTCCACTCAGAAAGCACCTGCTCCTGATCAACTCACGATGCTGCTTGCGTGTCGTTGTCAAGGTGGGGCCACAGGCGCGGGTTAACCTTGTCTCCTCGCCTCACATGCACCGCATCGTAGTCCCCCGTGCATCGACTGGGACATGGCAGCAGCTAGCGCCAGCAGCTCGGGGCGGAACGCAACTCCTTGATCATCGTGCTTGAAGGGCGTCCCTGGCAGCTGAATGGAGTGGGGAACGCATTGACGGGTGGAAGGAACATTGGCACCGCATCATAGTCCCCCCCGTTCATCGACCCTGACATGGCAGCAGCCAGTGCCAGCAGCTCGGGGCGGAACGCCACCCCTTGAGCATCGTGCTTGAAGGGCGTCCCTGGCAGCTGAAGGGGTGATAGAGATCGGGAGAAGCATCAAGCATCGGCAAGAGCAGAAAGGCAGAGTAAGCGCGCAGTCACCTGTGTGCATGCACCCTGACATGGCAGCAGCCAGCGCCAGCAGCTCGGGGCGGAACGCAACCCCTTGATCATCGTGCTTGAAGGGTGTCCCTGGCAGCTGAAGGGGATGGAGCATTGGGGAACACATTTGCACAGACAGAGGGGCACTGAGACATGGCAGTAGCCGGTGAGACCAGCTATGGGCGGAAACTTTTGAGGCGCCTCAAAAGCCGGTGAAAGCGCATCTGGGCGAATGCAACCCCTTGATCATCGTGCTTGAAGGGCGTCCCTGGCAGATGAAGGGCGGGGATTTTGGGAATTTGAGGAAAGTATTGGCAAGCGCAGAGAGGCAGAGTAAGCGTGCAGTCAGTCGCCTGTGTGCATGCACCGGGACATGGCAGCAGCCAGTGCAATGCCAGCAGCTCTGGGCGGAAACAATTCATTTGCTCATGGAGCCTGAAGGGTGACCCTGGCAGCTGAAGGGGGTGGGGAAAGCATTGGTGAGCTTGGAAGGGATTGGCGGCTGGGAGAAGGCTTGGCACGGGCAGAGAAGCAGTGTAAGCTAAGTGTGTTGCCCGCCTCCCCTGCATCGACAGGGACATGGCAGCAGCTAGCATCAGCAGCTGCTGGCATCAGCAGCTGGCATGAGCAGCTGGCATCAGCAGCTGGCATCAGAGCTCTGGGCGGAACCCAACCCCTTGAGCATGGAGCTTCAAGGGCGTCCCTGGCAGCTGAATAGGGTAGGTGGGTGGGTGTGAAAAGCGTTGGTGGGTGGGGGAAGTTTTGGCTGCAGGGAAGGGAGAAAACAAGCACGGGCAGAGAAGCAGGTGTAAGCGTGTAGTACCCCCCCTTGCATCGACCGTGAGATGGCAGCAGCCAGTGAGAGCAGCTCTGGGCGGAACCCAACCCCTTGCTCATGGAGCTTGAAGGGGGTTCCTGGTAGCTGAAGGGGGTGGGGTTCCAGAAGAAGCATTGTGGGTGGGTTGAGCATTGTGGGTGGGTTGAGCATTGTGGGTGGGTTGAGCATTGTGGGTGGGTTGAGCATTGTGGGTGGGTTGAGCATTGGCGCAATGCTTTCCGGAAAGAGAGGCACAGGGAGCACGTAGCCACCCCCCTGCATCGACTGCGTTTGAGTCGACTCAAAAGCCACCCCCCTGCATCGACTGCGTTTGAGTCGACTCAAAAGCCACCCCCCTGCATCGACTGCGTTTGAGTCGACTCAAAAGCCACCCCCCTGCATCGACTGCGTTTGAGTCGACTCAAAAGCCACCCTCCTGCATCGACTGGGACATGGCAGCAGCCAGTGCGAGCCACACCTGGCGGAACCCAACCCCTTGCTCATGGAGCTTGGAGGGGGTTCCTGGTAGCTGAAGGGGATTGGTGGGTGGGGGAAGGGTTGGCTGGTGGGGGGAGGATTATGACAGTAAGTGTGCCAACCCTCCAGTGCATCGACCGGGACATGGCAGCAGCCAGTGCGAGCCACACCGGGTGGAACCCAACCACTTGCTCATGGAGCTCGGAGGGGGTTCCTGGTAGCTGAAGGGGGTGGGTGTCGGGGGGGAGTATTGGCACAGCGAGCACGTAGCCACCACTGCGCATGCATTTTGAGAATCACTTTTGAGACTTCTCAAAAGTGAGCACGGAGCTATACAAGGAGTATGAGGCGCTTTACAAGGAGTATGAGGCGCTTTACAAGGAGTATGAGGCGCTTTACAAGGAGTATGAGGCGCTACACAAGGAGTATGAGGCGCTACACAAGGAGTATCAGACAGAAACAGGGTGGGATACGAGCCGCGACTCACCTTGCACGTACTGTAGCCGTACGAAATGTTACGTATGATCAGAGGTGTGACTGTATCGAGAGCCACTGTAGCAGTGCTAGCCGTTCGCTTCACCACACGCACCCCAAACGGCGCCTCCCCAGCCGCTCTCTCCCTCCGCCACGCCAGTGCCTCCTCAAGAAAGCCTTGCAGGGGAGTGAACGGCACTCTGGTAACACATGAGAAAGACCGAGAGCATGCGGAAGGGGGTAGACAAGCGAGAAAATGAGTGTAAGTAGAAACCCTGAAGACGGAAGAAGGGCAATATGACAACCACAGCCCGTGAGGATGTGGAAGGGGATAGAAGAGAGAGAAGCTGAGTTACTCTGCGGGGATACTTAGCGGACTTAATGTAATTGAACGTACTCAAATGACGAGAGGTCGATGTGCTCGTAAATAGCCTTGTACACGAATTTCCCGTTATTGTGCACTTGGTTGAGGCACACACGCATGTCCAGCACCAACGTCCGGTTCAGATACCGAGCCTCCTTGATTCGGCACGACAGGCTGGTTCGGAAATGCTTCACGCCCGCACACATGTCCCGGATTCCCGTCACAAATAAATATTTCCGGTCAGGATGGAAATATTCCGCCCGGCTGACCGGAAGCCACTCAGTCTCCCACTTGACTTTATGGCCCACGTCCAGCTGTTGGATTACGAGAGGGTCATCCAGAGAACTAATCTTGGCCGTTGCTTTCTCAAGCGCCACGAGACCCGTCGAGTTCCGCCGTCCGCGGCGCCATTGGCGGTCTCTTTTCTGTTTTTTGGATCCAGCACGGTCGAGAGATAAGACCGGCTCCGCGTCGTTTCGAGCCTTTTTTTCCGGACCCACACGCTGGGAGGTTTGGGACTCGAGAGGTCTCATCTGCTCTGCATGGCCTTCAGATGAATCCAGATCCAACGGCTCTGAGACAAGACTGTTCCGAATACTGCCATCCAACGGCCCTGGGACGAGACTGTTCCTAGTCAAAGCACTGCCATCCAACAGCGCGAGCTTCAGATTGACGGCGTGACCTCGCGACGACGACGGCGACGACACAATCAGCGCTGCGAAACCCTGAGACGAGACGCTCGCCTTGCGCGACGGTCGATCCAACGCACCCAAACTTATCGGTCCTTCTGAATAGTACGACGGAGAGTCCACACCGGTTCCGCCTATAACGCGAATGAATTCCGGGGAAGCTTCTAGAGGCCATTGGACGACGAGGATAACAGCTACGGCGAGCAGCAGAGCGAATGCGATCGGCGCGATTCGCGCGTGGACGCGATTGGCGGCGGAGAAGGCGGAGAGGTCGAAGAATGCAGATAAAAAGCGCTGATTCGCGGCGTCGGAATGACCACTGGTCCCGCTAGTAGTAGTGTCGCGACATGGAGATAGGTTCAGGGAGATTTGCTGATGCGAATGCTGGCTACACGTCGGTGACGCCTGTTGGGAAGCTGGCACGGCCGTGGGGATTAGCGGAGAGTTTGATGGGCTGGGGGACTGGGAAGGCGACGGGGACGATTCAGCTATTTCCATGTTTTAACCGTTACGATAACTCGGTAAGACTGTCGTCACGAACAAGGTATTTGAGAGTGAAGCGCTGATTGGACGGAGAAGCTAGATGAGTCGAATCTTTGAGACCGAATTAATGAACAGACCGTGACGAGAACGATGACATGAATCTAAGTCGATTACCCTGAGTCATCACCTCTGAACGAGAGTGAGTGTTCGTCAGAACTGGTCCAAACTTGACTGAACGGGAAAGCTACGCGTGGTAAACGCGGATGGCTTCAGGTAAATAAAGATGGAGCACGTTATTTCACGGAGGTTGCGAGCGTCAAATGCACTTCTCTGGTCCCGATCACAACGATACAAAAAGCTGAGACATCCGTCACAGACAGAAGAAGTGGAAAACTCAGATATTCAACTCTGCACGGAACATAAAAGGTTGTTCGTCGAAAACTTCTAGGCATCTATCTGATATGCGACTGCGGGTTGTTGAAGGTCGTCTTATCAGCACAGTACAGTACTGGGGGACAGGATAAGGCAGGAGGATATGTGTGGGTTGTGCGGGTTCCGTGGAGGTAGGGAAAGGTGTACAGTAGTATGTTGGGTTTGGGAGTGCCCGAGGTTTGGGAGTATGTAGCAGGAAGCAGGTCACCTTGAAGTTGGCTTGATTTGAATCAATGAGCCCAGCCATGCGGGCGCGCGAACTACTGTAAAGGAACTCGCGCCGCAACTGTCTGGCATGTCAGAGAATCATCTGACTTCACTCGTTATTGAGTGGCAGATAGACCTCGAGCGACGCGTGTCGGGCAGATTCAAGATTCCCATGAATTTGGACAATAAAAACATAAGCTTTGAAGAATTTCCACCATGAAACAACTCGATAAAACATTGAAAAGCACACACCCAAAACTCCCAATTGTCTTGACTACACATGAAGCAAAATAGCCACTATTCCTCCCTATTGCTGGCCATCTCATGCAGCTATTGCAGCATTGAGCAGAGCATTGTTAACATCCTGGCTCAGTGCCCAGACGAACCACCCTCCATAGCCTTGCGTCTTGGCAAACTGGACCTTCTTGGCGATGGTGGAAGGGTTGTCATAACAAACCCACTGGTTACCCTTCCACGCATACATGCATGAGGATGGGGTGTGGGATGTAGCTGTGTAACCACCAGTGGTTACCAGCTGATCGATCTCCTTGTAGAAAAGGATACCGGCATCCTGTTGGTGGGATGGAGAGGGAAAATGCAGGCCAAAGAAAAGGATGACATGAGGTCTTGGTGAAAGCTACAGTACTTGTTTGGAAGTTTCGGTCTGAAAGCGTGAGAGGAAGGAAAGCAAAAAAACAAAACGAAAACAATGCAGAAGGCTGGCAAATTATGCGAGAGGGAGAGGAATCACGATGCAGAATGCAAACAGGAATGGGGAGCTAACCTGACTGATGGACCCTTTCAGACCAGCCCCACTGGCCGAAGCTCCAACCCCAGTGCTTGTCGAGCTTAAAGTCCAGGTTCGGCCGTACATCGCCAAGCCTACCATGGCCTTGCTTCGGGCCAAGCCTCGAGACACCCAGGCATCCATGGAAGCATTGACGCTCAGCTTCGAGCTCAGGTCCTGCAGAGCAGTGTGCATGCCGGTCTTTGCCTCCCACGACCCGTGCAAATCGTAAGTCATAACATTAACAAAGTCCAGCATCTTGTTAACCGTCGTCACATTGTACGATTGAATGATTCTCGCCTCATCGGGAGCAACCGCCGCAGTAAGCAGGAGCTTGGGTTTCCCAGACGAAGCGGCTTCGGATTCGATCGCCGCCCGGAAATCCGTGACCAGTGCCGAGAAAAGGGCGGCCTTGCCAATCGGGTACTCCCAGTCGATATCCAGACCGTCGAAGAAGTACGTGCGGGCGAGGGCGATCGCGGATTGGATGAAAGCAGAGCGGGTGGCGGCAGAGGAGGCGGCGTTGCCGAAAACGGTGGTGTTAGCCGAGGCGCCCCCAATGGAGAGGAGGGTTTTAATGGCAGGGTTGACAGTCTTAAGAGTAGTGTTGAAGCGCTGATAGAGCCCCCCAGTGACGTCCACTGCTGTGTTGGGGAGGACCTGTGATAGGAGAGAGAGGAGGGACGGAATATTGGGTAGGGAAAGGGCTGAGGCTGCAGAGCGAATGGGAAGACCAGGCGCTGGATTGATGGAGGGCAAGCAATATGGTATGAGTCTGAGATGGCAGGGGGAACGGAAGAGGAACGGAAGAGGAATGGAAGAGGAATGTCAAAGCACCTGCAGCTGATGGCACGGAGAAGTGCGTGCATGGCAAGACAGCGGCGCAGTGCCGTAGCTACCTTGTAAGTGGTGGGGTTGATGGAAGCAAAGGCGTAGAAGACATGCGTGAGGCTGGTAGCAGGGATGAGAGATGGGTCCATGTTCGCCCAGTTGACGAAATACGCCATGCGCTTCAGCGGCACCGTAGGGGGCGGAGGAGAGGGGGTCGGGGGCGGAGGGGAGGCGGCCGGGGGCGGAGGGGAGGCGGTTACGGGAGGCGGGGAGCACTGGGAGAGGCAGTTAGCGTTGCAGTAATCGACGGTGGAGCCGCAGAAGCCCCACTGGCTGCAGCAGAGGTTGTTGGGGCAAAGCACCGTGGCGGAGCACGCCTGCTGCGCCCGCGCGCGGAGGGGGAGGTGCGCGGACGACAGCAGCAGCAGCAACGCCGCGAGAAGGAAGGCTCCTCCGCGGAGGACGAGGAGCGGGGGACGCGGCGCTAGGATCGCCATGGCTGCCAGACAGAGGGCGGGTTCAACTCAAACAGAGACTGCGGCGGCTGAGGTGAGTCACCTTGGTGATTCCGCCGGATGAAGAGCGAAGGGGAGGGATGAGTTAGAATGGAGAGGCCGCTACGATTTTTAGTGTCTGAGAGATGCGGAGGGGGACTGACACGGGCGGGGGGCTGGCGGGATCGCGGGGGACGGGCGGGTTGACGGGGAGACATCGTGGGAACGCGCACGTTGGCTTGAAGTGCGCGCAGAAGTCTCACGGCGTCCGGCTAAGGCGGAGTGACGTTTGCCAAGTCACGGTGTGACTTGCTACTACAGGCGTGTGAAGAAGACTGCATCTCGGAAATGCAGTGGACCGTAGGCAGCAGCAGCTACTACGGCTACGGACCTGCAAGGTGCGCAACCGACGCAGCCGCTCGCTAAGAGTATGGCGACACTCAAAATCTTGCCCACTCCAACACGAAATACACGTCTGGAAATTGAGTTCAAACGCGACTAATACGCCGCCTGCGCGACCGACGCAGCTAGCAACGGCACCTGCGTGCGGGACGCAGTATTAGCCGGGGCACCTGCGCGTCCGACGCAGCTACGAGCACCGCACATCTCGACTGATGGGAGGGGTGATAACACTACAGGCGGGATGTAATTTCCGTGGGTGACGTTCCATGGAACATCATCCACGGAACATAATCCACGGCTACGGCTGGTTGGGAATTTTTCCATAGTATGGAACATTGTCGTAGTAAAATCCGTGGACGACTTTCCATGGAATCATCCACGGAACATCGTCCATGACTGCGGGTAGATTCGTCAATGGAACATGGTAATTGTAATATCCGTGGACGATGTTCCTTGCGAAAAGTACTGGTAGCCATGGATGTCGCGTGGGAGGCGGTTACATATCAAACAATAATTGCTGCAAGGCACGCGACGGTCATAGCTAATGATTCCTGCGAGCGCGCTGCCCTCGCGGACGTCGCTCTTCTCGAGCAGTCTTCGATTACACGGTTACATATTTACTCCGACGGGAGTCTAAGAAGTCGGCTACATCTGCTCGCAATGGTGGTCTGGTCCGACTTTATCCATGGTCGAGAAGCTACACACAGCGTCCCAGTCCTAGGAATTGTCGAGAAAACCACTCTGTTGTGTTTTGGGGAAGAGGAGAAAGGAAGTCAAGGGATTGCCGAAGTGATGTACAGTAACGCATTTCCAGTTCAGCGATGGCGGTTGAGAGAGATTTGGTAGGAAACAGAACGGTTCAAATGCGGCAGATGTGCATGAAACAAACTGAACTGGACTGGATGGGACCAACAGACCTGCAGCGCAGTGGCGCTCCTGGTTCACACTCTGGGTCTCGTGAGTCGCATACAGGCCTACCATAAACTGGTTACCCTTCGCGACTGGTTCAGGCCGTTTCGGCGCTACCTCCGTCAACTGTTCACAAGTCGTAACTGATTCGCGAGGCACCCTAAACTGGTTACGATGCTGGTAGTCTGTGAGTACGTCCATCGCAGGGGTTCGTTTTAGAGATCCCTTTCGCGATCGGAGGTCAGAATAGATTCGACGCGACGAGAAGCAAAAGCGAGAAAAGCGACGAAATCTGTTACCAGACGAAATCTGTTACGAGACGTTAGTGGTGGTCAGACGCGGCGATCAGAACCCACGGTCAGAAAGCAGCCAGTGCGCGGCGCAATGGCGCCTCTGCCTCCCTCCGTTCTTCCGTACCCCTCGCTTGTTAGAGGGCCCTACGACAGCAAGGGCCCTCGATGACCTTTGACTTGGCAGGTCGGCGCCTAACGACTGAGTCTACTCGGCACCGACGCACGAGTTCGGTGGTGGTCATTAGTGACTACGGGTGACTGTGAGCTACTGCAGCGAACTCGGCGGAATCGGTGCTAGGAATGACGAGTCTTGGGGGTCGTAGGTGCCTTGCTTGTGAGGCACGCTGCTCACTTGCTGTGTTGGCAGGAGTAGCGTGCACGGTGAGACATTCCGGTGCCGAGTTGGGTTGGAAATGTGCGGGGCGTGTTCACCCACCTGCACAGCACTTTCGTGTGGGTTGGGTTACTCGCAGCGCCACGCAACAATTGTGCAACTCTTGCTTGCCTATATATGTTTGTGTTTGCTTGTGTGTTTGATAATTGATATTGCAATTCTACTTGGCCCAAATGCTACTTCAATTCTCACAAAGTCCTTAGAGGCAAACGCTACCAAAACTCTACCAAGTTGCTGGCGCAACATCATTCCCATAGCAGAGACTCTCTCGCTATCGCTACGCTCTCTAATATATTCCTTCATGGTGCGGTGAGCGTGGAACGAACACGCATAGATTTCCGTCGTCGTTGATATTCGCGTCCGTATACTCGCCTTGGCGTGTGGTGTTAGTGAAGGGCGCTTATTAATCTAAGTTGAACCTCTCTTGATTTCCCTCCAGTTACGTTCTCGGACCCAAGGATAGGGCGTTTGGTAATTTATTACCACTCGTCTGAGGACCCTTGTGAGGTGACCCCGGGACGAGGGATTTAAGGAAGGGGCACTTTATTTTATTTTGTGGTACCTTATAGAGACGTCGTAGAGGATGAGTACAGAGGAGGCGAACGTGGAGGCCGGTAATTTGCGCGCCCTAGAGGAGGATCTCGTGGCTCGTCATTCTCGTGGTGAGATTAGTGATATCGAATACGAGCTAATGTTGGAGGGATTGCGCTCGCATCGGCGTCGTGAGCACCCTTCGCCACATGTAGAGAATGTTGATCAAGTTGCGGGAGGTACTAGTGCGTGGGATATGGCTGTCGATGGCGGAAATAGCGATGACGAGGAGTTTGATGGGTTGATGTCGCGTGGGGTCCTGCAAGGACCAACTCGGTTTAGTACGGCTAGCGTCGGCGGTGTACAGGAGCGTGTTCATCGTGCAGCAGCGTCACGAGAGCATGCGAATGTAGGACGGCGGAGCGTTGCTGGAGGAGGAAATGCGGAAGAGTACGATAGTGAGGCTATGCCGGGCGTTACCCCGATTGGATCGATGTCGAGGGACGAGGGAATAGCCCCCAACTATGGCTACTTCAGATTCACTCCTGACAAGATCGTTGTCCCTAGGCCGTTAGAAGGACGCCACGACCTGTCAACGTGGACAGAATCGATCGAGCCGCAGCTTGAGATCGCTCAGCTAAAGCGATTCATAGATGGCACCACTCCCATTCCACCAGCGCGTGCACTTGCACATCTCTCCCAGTTCCGCGCGATGCAGTTACTGACATTCACCACCATTTCCCGATGCTGCTCCCCAACCGTACAGATCGCCCTTAAGGCGTGTCGCATGAAGGTAGATGCCGGCTATCAGGCATGGCAGTTTATTATGCGCACGTACATGGCGAAGGACGATCTGTACATCGGTCAGTTAGAGCAGGCGCTCACTAACCTCGAGATGGGAGAGCACGAGTCCACTACGTCCTATTGCAATCGTGCGCAGCAGATCCTAGTGAACCTGAGGATGGCCGGCGTAGATTACTCGCAGGCGTCATACATTACTCACGTTGTGAAGGGGTTGCCGCAGCAGTACAACCTCTTACGCAGGATGCTGAAGTTGCCGCAGGTGCGCAAGGAGTTGGACGAGGACACCCTCGCTAGCTACATCATCGAGGAGGAGTGTACGCTGGCGGCGGAGGGACGAAAGGACCAATTCCTTCCCCAGGCTAACCAGGTCTTTACCAAGAAGGGTAAGCCCCAATTCCAGCAGACTTCATTCCCTTCCCCTCCCACTACGGCACAGCAGCAGCAGCCTACGAATGGGGGTGGGGTTGGTGGGGGAGGGGAGAAGTGGAAAGGGGGTAAGGATGGCCAGCCGAAGGGGGGGAAAGGGGGCTTCAAGGGGAAGTGCTATGTGTGTGGACAAATAGGGCATGTTGCTAAGTACTGTCAGAAGCGGGCGGATAATGAGGCAGACACTGGGGGAGAGGGTTCTGGAGGTAGCAGCAGCAAGGGGGGTAATGGCTCTAAGGGGAGCGGGCAGTCATCATGTGCGATGGTGAAGCCCGTTGTGGAGCAGACTCCTCTCGTTGTGCTGGAGCCTGAGGCCGGGGAGGGCTTACAGGCTGTTGCAGCTGCTGTGAAGGCGAACCCGAGCGTCGTGCTGCTTGATAGCGGATGCTCCCACCATCTCATGGGAGATCGTTCTGCCTTTGTGGAGATGAGCAGCGGCGGCAGTATTAAACAGGTTACCGGCTTCAACGGCGCTCTTCAGGAGGTGCAGCGGCGGGGCACAGTCGCTCTTCTTGGAGAGGGGGGCAGGCGTGTCTTGGTGCCGGACGTGCTGTACGTACCAGGAGTGCAGGCGAGTCTTCTCTCTGCTGGGCAGCTGCGTGATAGTGGTGTGCAGCTGCTGGATGCCGGGGATGTGACTTTGCTGCGGGCACCAGATGGATCGCTCCTTGGTCGTGCGGAGTTCAAGGGGCGTGTTCTCTGCACGAACTTCCAGCCGTGTTCGACGCAGCAGCAGGAAGGCGAAACGGTGGCACTTCGTACCTTGGCGACGGGCGTGCGGTCTAAGGGGGACCTGTGGCATGCGTGTATGGCACACGTTGGTATTGATGCCATCGAGCGCACAGCAGCTCACGGGTCAGTGAAGGGCTTGGATTTGGAGAAGGGGGGCAAGTCAGGCATACCTTGTGTCTCCTGTGTTGGGGGAAAGATCACTCGTCATACCTTTCCTTCTGTGGGAGAGGAGGAGGATGAGTTGCTCGGGGTGGTGCATGCTGACCTGTGTGGCCCTTTCCGTGAAGCAGCTAAGGATGGCAGCCGCTACTTCTTGGTGCTGAAAGATCGCAAGACGCGGTTCGTCTGGGCCTACCCTTTGGCCCAGAAGAGCGATGCATTGGCGGCGTTCCAGAAGTGGCTCCCGATGGCAGAGAGGCAGTGCAAGACCACGGTGAAGGCGCTGCGCACTGATCGGGGTGGTGAGTTCCTGGGCCACGACTTCACGCTCTTCCTCGACGAGAAGGGGATCA